TGACAAAAAAATTTTTAAAAACTAAATTACACTTTTAAAATCTTATCACAATTTTACACAATCTTTGCTACAAAGTAAGGTTCAAATCAAGTTTCCAAGTTTTTACAAGTTCAGTTCAAAAAGCATTCACTGTTTGTTTAAAAGTGCAAATGCCCAAGAACTGATATCAACTACAAACGATAGATCAATCGTTGTAATCTTACAACTTTTTACACTTTTTTGATTAAAAAATTGAATTTTTTGATAAAAAACAGTAAAAAATCTACCACACAACAAGGAATGGCACAAATTTTGTATTCTTAATTATAGAAGTTACAGTAACGGTTTAATGTTAACAATCTTTTGTACAAAGATTATAACTTTTTATGTTACAGCAAGTCAATTACCTTACTGTGTAGTTTCTTACAGTAAGTCAATTAACTTACTGTAAGAAACATTTGCACTTGAAAAATCATTCTTCTTTACTTTGATATATATTAGGTGCCGACATAAAGAACCCGCCATTTTTTCCAAGAAATTACAGGCAAAGTATGGCGATTTCTTTATGTCGACACCTAATAACTGTTCTCTGACTTTCTTTCTTTTTTATGTCTACAAAGTTAAACCAACCTGTTTACATAACATATAATTACAACTTGAATACAAATAAATTTCAAAATTTACTCGCAAAAACTGCTCTGGGTTCTTTTGAGTACTTGGTTTAACAATCAGACAACAAACATCAAGCAAATGTTACGAAAGGCTTGTTTATCAAAAGTTTACAGACTAGCTGACCAATTAAAGATGTGTGCTCTTGACCTTACATTATACGTTTAAAATCAAAGAACCTAGCCTTAATTCAGAGCCCTAGCCCAGAGTCCTAGTCTATAGCCCTAGCTTAGAGCCCTAGCCCAGAACCCCAGTCCAAAATGTTAGCCCAGAACCCTAGTCCAGAGTCCTAGCCCAGAGCCCTAGTCCAGAGCCCTAGCCCAGAGCCCTAGCCCAGAGTCCTAGCCTATAGCCCTAGCCTAAAGTCTTAGTCCAAAGCCCTAGTCCAGAGCCCTAACTCAGAGCCCTAACTCAGAGCCCTAGTCCAGAATCTTAGCCTAGAGCCCTAGTTCCAAGCACTAGCCCTTGTTTTAGTGTTGCTATACCAAGCTTTATTTAACTATTAGTCCTACACTTTTTAAGCGTTGGCATGCCTTCACTTTACCGTTATTACACCAAATATCCATCGGCTTTTAAAACGAGACTTGTATAGGATGAAAAAGCGTAAAAAGTTACAGGAAAAATTGTTTTCAAAAGCTGTAGTGAGGACCGAGCCTATGCCTTTTTCTAGCGCTATTCTACCTTAAGCTTAATCTTTGTCTACCTTGCACTTCTAAGAAGCATAATTTACTTTTAAAAATTGATTTTTTAAAATTTTTTAGTTATTTTTCTTTTTGTTTTACACTGTAATTGCACTGAAATCGTCGACAAGACCACCAGCGATGCTTCTTTCCTCGTTTTTGATCAAAGTATCTATAAAGAAACTTTTTGATTAAAAACAAGAATTTACTAGAATGCAACAGAAAACACTTTTGATAACACAAAATTACTTTTTTTAAAGAAAACATGGCACATTTTACTTGGCACATAGTACTTTGCAATAAAAAAACTATTTCTTCCTATTTTGCCCTACTCTAACCTATCTTACTCTACTCTACCCTAGCCTGCCTTCTCCTGCCTTACACTTTGCTACTCTAGCTTGCCTTATCCTAACCTTACTATGATTTACCCTGCGCTACTTATTTTTTAACTTTTAAAGTTTACACATTCACGTTCAATTCACGTTAAAATCACGTTACAAAACATTTCAAACCTAAAATTTCAAATTTCAAAATGCACCTTTAAATTTACCTTTAAAGTTTCAAAATCGATAAAAATGACCTAAAAATAAACCGAAAAATCAATGGAAATTCACGTGAATCTTAACCTTATAATTCCCTTTAGATTTAATGAAAAGTCGTCGACTACGGTACGAGGGTTTTTTTAGCTACAATCAATCAAAATCGACCGAAACCAAAATTATAAGATTAATAACCCGTTATCATCAAAAACAATCTCTTCTAGAAAGCAATGGAAGCTTCTCATCAATACGAAGTTTGGAGCGGATAACCGTGATCTTTGAAAATGATTGAGATCATGTCAAGTTTTACATTTATATGCGTAGTATAATAGTAAAGACCAGCGACAATACTTTTAAAAATAAAAATAAACAAAAGCACCAACTTTATACTTCACCTTACCCAGCTCGTGCTTTGCTTTTTGCCTTTTGCTTTTGCCTTTGTCTTTTGCCTTTTGCCTTTTGCCTTTGCCTTTTGCCTTTGCCTTTTGCCTTTTGCCTTTGCCTTTTGCTTTTTGCTTTTGCCTTTTGCCTTTGCCTTTTGCTTTTGCTTTTTTTTTGCTTTTGCTTTTTGCCTTTGCCTTTTGCCTTTGCCTTTGCCTTGCCTTTGTCTTTGCCTTTTGCCTTGCCTTTTGCCTTTTGCCTTTTGCCTTTGCCTTTGCCTTTGCCTTTGCCTTTTGCCTTTTGCCTTTTGCCTTTTGCCTTTGCCTTTGCCTTTTGCCTTTTGCCTTTGCCTTTGCCTTTGCCTTTGCCTTTGCCTTTGCCTTGCCTTGCCTTGCCTTGCCTTGCCTTGCCACCAACTTTATACTTCACCTTACCCAGCTCTTGCTTTGCCTTTGCCTTTGCCTTGCCTTTGCCTTTGCCTTTGCCATTGCCATTATCGATTTAAACGTTTTTTTACACTCACAAGCCATATATAATACATAAGTGACCCGTATTACGGCCATATTAAAAGCCTGTTTAAGCGTCTGTTTGGTGTAAAGCCTAACGAATGCCAAAAATATAGTAGACTGAACTCGAAAAGGGGTTGAAGAAGTTTTTTTTTCTATTTTTGTAAGACAATTGTGTAACTTTTTTAAATTTTTTTTAAATTTTGTATGCTGTAGGAATTCCGGCGGTTGTGACCCAGCGTTGGTTGTGACCCCGAGACGATTGTGACAAACCCAAAAATAGTTAAAACCACCCCCCCCCCTCTCTTTTTTAGAATTAGGAAGTGAATTAGGGGGTATCTTCTTTGATATTACTACATATAACTGTTATCTATCTTTATCTTTTTTACTCAATATGTTATAAATATACGGAGATAAAAGTATACTACGTACTAATTAATATATTATACATATAATTAAAATATATTACATCTGGCTCTATATATAACAAATATAGTAAATACATACTACTTTTTACACTATATATTACACATATAGTTAAAATATACTACACATTACTCTACGAGTTACTTTATAATTTTTTTTACATGTTGTACTTCAAAAAGAAGCGATCTAAAGGTACAAGTTTATTGAACAACAATGTAATAGTAGTAAACAATAATATATGACTAATAAAAAAGCGCTTAAGGCTGGTACCAGAAGCAGCCTTGATCTAATGCTGACTGGGGTGCTTTTGGGACCAGCGCTTAAATAGTGCCAAGACTACGTAGAGCTTGATTAAGTACCAAGTTAGTACTGTTCACGCGCTGTAGTGCTGATTAGTTTTTATCGGACATGTGTGAAGGTGGAACGCGTGTTTGTCTTTGTCAATCATGCTGACGCATGCAGGGCCGTGCCGGGACTTTTGGTCCGGGGGCGGAGGTCGAAAAAATCGACACAATCGAACTCCAGATGGAACTTGACCTAGAGCGTGAAATCATAGAGATGGAAGAAGCCGGTCCAGCTGTGATGGAGCAAGCTTCTCAACAAGAGCTGGATTTTTTTGAGGACAAAGATCCTTGAGCTGGAAAAGATGTTGTTGGGAATTCGTCTCGACTAACTACAACCTCAACAACAAAAACAACAACAACTGGCTTTGCCAGTGATCCAGCCTCAACCTCAACCACCAGATCAACAAGTGGAACAACCACCGCGGCCTCAGCAACTAATGGGACAACCTCTAGTGGAAGTAGAAAAACAGCGGCCTCTCAGACATACTAATGAAACACTGTCTTTTCCTTAGCAATGGCATGAAGATGCCCTTGGGTTTTACGGCCAGGTGCCACGGGAGGTGCTTTGAATCGTATGGTAGTATTGAGGCAGTCGTTTGCTTTGCAACGACCGGTTTGGTGATTATAGCCGCTCGGTTAGTAGTCATTTTTGCTTCGGAAAACGTGACAAGAAGTTTGTAAACGTTCCTACAGAAACTAGAAATAATATTTTATCGTACATCGAGAGAGACTTTTACTGTCCTTGTGAGTATCCACCTATGAAGCCTGTGACGGGCTTAGTTATTACCCATCGGCCTCGAGCCGAGAGACTTATGGCCAATATGTTTTCAGTTACAAAGAATGCTTTTAGCATTGAGATTAACCACTTCAAGAACTCTGTCCACCATGGTCTTCATCACGATCTCCTTCAATTAAACTTAGGTACAGGGAAAAGTAAAATTATTTACTGCAGATTTAACGGAAAAGACGTTCCTATGCTAATTTATCTCAAGTTTTTTTTTTCAATTTTTAATCGAAAATTTTTTAATTTTTATATTTTAAATTTTTTATTAAAGAAATAGGTAAGGCGTCGTAATTTTTTTTACCATCTATTTATAGTTTACAGCTAAATTTTTTTCTATTGATATTTTTATCACTTTTTGATTTTTTAATCTCTTCTAAATGTTTCGTAATTTTAATTATCTTTAAATTTTTTTATACAACTAAAAAACAAAAATTTTATTAAATTTATTTAAATATATTATCAATATGTCAATTAGTTTATTTTAACTAAAAAACATGCTTTAGAGTTATTAACATAAACATACCTTTCAGCGTATAAGAAATTTCTTGCAGTCCGCAAGTAACTGTGACGCAGTTCGCGCCGAAAAAATAATTTTGAAATATTTTTTCGGGGTTTCGCTTTACTTTTTTTTGGCATAAAGAAGCTTTTAATTGCTTTTACTATTAATAAATTAAAGCTAAATTTTTCTTAAGATGAGTATCAGTAAACAGGACTATTTGAAGAGGTATTTGGATGGTCCAACAGAGGAGAAGAAGAAGAAAAAGTCTAAGAAAACGAAGAAATCTGCGATTTCTAATGGGTAAGGTGGCTTTGATTTCAAATTTACTTAAAATTTTTGTGTACTACGATGTTTTCTATTGTGTATTTTTTAATTTACTAGTTTTTTATCAGGCTATAATGTAGTTTTGACTTTATTTTTAGCGTTTTAATATTGATATTGTTTTAGCATTCGGATTCTGGATGAAGATGCATTTATGGCAGTGGCTCCAACTCGAGGACCTCGAGAAGACATTGAATCAGATGAAGATGACGAAGAAGATCTTGATGAGATTGTTTTACGAGAATACAAAAGCAAAGGATTCAAGGAAACGTTTGCGACCGTTGAAGGTAAGGTCTTTGCTTTGTTTATCGGTTTTTAGGAAAAAATTTACAAAATTGATCTACTGTTACTTGGAAAACCTTTATTTGGGCATTTTTGTGAAGTTTTTGTTTTTTAGAGGTATAATGATGTCTTTTGTAAATTAGTTTATCATTTTTTGGGCGTTTGTTTTAGGTATAGGTAGTAGTTACTCTTTTTTGCTAATTATAGTCTAGCTAGTTATTTAAATTACATTTTTTATTTTTTTGTAATGCTGAGTTTTAGTAAAGCAAGAAGAAGCCAGTCCATCAAAAGAAAATCAAAATGACAGTAGAAGAAAGAGGGATGATTCTGAAGATGAAGAAGTTCCTAGGAGAAAGCGGCACGATTCTGATGAAGATTTACGCCGAAGAAGACGACATGATTTTGATGAAGAGGTTTCTAGACGTTTAAAGAATACTAAAATAGGTATGTGTAATATTTTTTTTACCGTTTTGGCTTTTAATTTTTTTATATTTAAAATTTTTAAGTATATTTAGTAGTAAAAGTTCTAAAAATTTACAATTTTTGAAATGAGGTTATTTACTGAATTTAAATTTCAGTAAAAGAAGAGCCAGTTAGTTCACGAAGAGAGAAAGTCAGAGCTCAAACGAGGCACGATTCTGATGATGAAGAGGTTCCAAGGAGAAGAAGGAAGGATTCAGATGACGATGTATCTAGAGGGAGGCATGACGATCATAAAACTCGAATTTCAACAGCTGTAAAAGGTAATGACTAACGAAATTGTTTTGATTTCAATATGTTATTTAAAATATAAAAAAGAGATTATTTAATGTATTAGATCTTTTTTCTGCTTTAATACTATTTTTGATAATTTTTTTTTGATTAAAAAATTTATAAAGTAATGTTATTTCAGTTAAAAAAGAATCAGAATCTCCGAGAAGGCACGATGATCGACGACGAACTAAAAAACGAGAGGATTCTGACGAAGAAGTGTCACGGAGAAGACGGAGGCATGACTCGGATGAAGATGTGCCGAGAAAGAGGAATAGGCATGATTCTGATGAAGATGTACCACGGAGACGAGCAAGGAAAGATTCAGATCAAGATTTAGAAAGAAAAAAGGGGCATGATTCAGATGAAGAAGTTCCCCGTAAAAGGCATAAGGATTTGTCAGATGAAGAGGTACCTAAAAGAAGGAGAAGACATGACTCGAAGGGAGAAAAGGTTTCTAAAACTGAGAAAAAGAAGGCAGGACTGTTGAGTAGAGAGGATATGAGAAGACATGAAGAAGAAGCTGCTACTGAACATTCGGTAAGAATAAATTGGCTATTGTAGGCTGTTTTAAAGTATGAATTTCAACTTACTTTCTGAATGTTTTAGCCATTATATTGCTTTTTTTAATCATTATGTTTCCTTTTTTGACTAAAAATTGTAACGAAATTACTATAAACTTTAGTTCGATATTGTTTTAGATATTTAACGACGCGGAAAAGTCGGGCAAGTATGCAGAAGCTGTTCATCGTGACTCAAACTATGGTAAGAGAAAGAAGGAAACGAAAGAAGACAAAGAAAGGTCAGAAAGAGAAGCAAAAGTCCAACAAGAACTGAATGACAAGTACAAGCAAGTCAGCAAAGGTGTTGTTCAACAGCAAAAGGTAGGGGAATGGATTGAAAAGCTGTTTTTGATGAGAATTTACTTTATAATTATACTCTGTACAAAAATGACTTTTTTCTACTTTTATTACCTAAACTTAAAAGTTGCCTTTTTTTATATCTAAAAATTAAAAAAAAATTATTTTTATACCAAGAATTACAAAGCTATTTTTCTTACCTAAAATAAAAAAAATGTTATTCTTATACCTAAAATTACAAAAAAAGATCTTTTTTATACCTAAAATTACAAAAAGTCATTTTCATACCTAAAATTTTTAAAAATTGTTTTTTTCTTATCTAAAATTTAACACAAATGCTATTTCTCTACCTAAATTTTAAAAAAATGTCATTTTCATAAATAAAGTTCATTTTTTCACGTTTGATGACAACATTTTCAGCGTGAAGAGAAGAAAAAGGAAATGGCAGAAGTGCTACAAGAAGGCTTCACTCGTTACCGTGATGACGAAGCTATGAATGAATATATGAAGGATAAGATTATAGATGAGGACGATCCTCTCGCTGACATGATGCAGAAGAAACAGATGAAAATAAGAATGAAGTCTGAATTAGGTAGGTTTTGACTATTTTCAGAATTTTTTTAGGTTTTTTGGCCATTTTTCAGTTTTAAAACGACTTAGTTTTTTTTTTAATTTGAAAAAAAACTTTTTTTTTCAGTTTACCCAACCTACAAAGGTCATTTTCCACCCAACCGCTTCAATATCCCTCCAGGCTATCGGTGGGACGGTGTCAATAGATCAAATAGATTTGAGGACAAATTAGCTAGAAGAGCCAACGACGAAGAAGCCAGACAGAAGGCCGTGTACAGGATACAACAGGAGCTCAATGAATAGTTGTTAATTGTTTATAAAGATTAATATATTTATTTGGTGTGTGTTGAAGATATAACTGTTGATGTATATTAGTAAAGGGTTAAAAGAAAGTTCATTATTATCAGATTGTCCAAATACTTTACTTTCTGAAAATTTCTCATAAAAATATAAATTTTGAAAAAAAAAGAAATCAGCTTTTTTTATTTAGCTTTTTAAAAAAATGAAGCAGATCGACCTTAGCCGCAGCATAGGCGGTAACGTAGGCGACTGAGTAGGTACTACTAACCACTTCCGGGATGGTCATCAGCTCTTCATCAAGAAATTCGAGAGCTAACTTGATTTGCCTATCGTTTGTCTTGCTGGTACTGACCGTCCTAGCCGGTTCGGCGCAATGAAGGATGTTGAACGGCTGTGTTTTGTGCAGAGCCTCGGCCAGAAAAGCCGGGAAGATGCGAGGCCCAACGTGTTGTAACTGGCCTTTGTATACGACTTGGCTGATATGAATATATTTACTTGGCGTGAGAGTAAGTTATAATTGTCGATTTTTATTAATAACGGTAGATTGGAGATATAAATGTTGATGTTTATTAAAAAAGGTTTAAAAGAAAAGTCATATTATTATAAGGTTGTCTAAATATGGCTGGGCCAAATTTATTTTCAGAAAATTCCGTTGTTCTGTTTACTAATAATAGTATACATTTTGAAAAAAGAGTCGTCGGTCTCTCGACCGGCCTGCATATCGCTATATTTCACAACGATTTATCTCGGCTTTGTCCTTGATCATAAATATTTGCTTAAATCATCTTTTCTTTTATCCCTCCTCTTTTCATCCCTCCTGTCAAAGACTCGCCTATTCCCCCGATGAAATTAAAGTACTCCTTTCTCTGCCTATCACTCATAGCACAAAGATATCAACAAGTTCGAATCTCGGCTACTGTCACCGCAAAACTGGTAATCAATTACTTGAAACCCAAATTTCCAACTGATTTCGAAGAGCGCCGACCTTGATAACGAGATTCTGAGATCCCCTTTGTTTACCTGGAGGCCGTTTAAGGCGATTTAAAATGGGATCACTAGTGTTAAGTCGGGTTTTCCGTTTGCGACGATTAAGATTTCCAGCTGATGGTCGGTCCGGTTCGTGTTAAAATGCGTTTACTATATAAGGGGTTGAGGGTTTACTGTGTGAAGGGTTAGGGTTTCGGTGAGGTTTCACTATGTAAATGTTGGTTTTAGTGAGATTTTACTATGCAAATTTTGGTTTTAGGGAGGTTTGTCTATATACTAGGGTAATGAAAATCTATTGTAAGGTTTTACTTTGTAAAGAGTTAAGCATTTGCTGCAGTAAAGTAGCATTAAAATAGTAGGGTTAGCCAAGGCTAGGGTAATATAACACAGGGTAGGGTAGAACACGGTTAGTAGGTCAGGGTAAAGTAGGGTAGGGTAGAGCAGGGTAGAGCATGACAGAGTAAGATAGAATAGGATAAGGTAAGGTAAAGAAGAGTAGCACACGGTAGGGTAAAATAGAATAAGGTAGGTTAGGATATGGTAGATTGAAGTATGGAAAGACCCGTCAATGACCATTTATAACCTATGGTTACTTCTCCCTTTACCATTAAATTATTTTCAAATTTCAGCATGAAAGCTCAACTCCTAGCCCTATGTCTAGTACCACTTGTTGTGGTAGCCTTCAATCGTCAACATGAACATGGTCGACGCTCTCACCGTCTTTTAATCCGAGGTACTGAAGCCAAATGCCAACGAATTTGCACGTATCGAGTTGGTGATGTTAAGAAACAGTTTCCACTCAAGAACTTGGACGCTTCTATGTGCTCTCATTTGATCCTTAGCAGCGCTGATATTGAGGTAGGTGGGGAGAGAGAGATCTTTTTTTGATATTGAGGTAGGTTGGAAAAGAGAGATACTTTCCTGATTGAAATTAAGGTAGTTTGAGAAAGAGATACTTTTTGATATTAAGGTAGGTTGGGAGGAGGAGATATTTTTCTGATATTGAGGTAGGTTAGAAGAAAGATATTTCTAGTCGTTTACAAATGCTTAATCACCTACCAATTCCAGCTGACCGGAGAAATCAAGCTTTCCAACCAATTAACCGACGTGATCGAAGAGTACAAGAAGTGGGATGAAGTCAAGAAACCAGTACTAATTCTATCAGTAGGTGCCAACACTTCTGAAAAGATCTGGCGACGAGTAATTCAAAGCAGTTTCGTCAGACATCAACTAGTTCGACGGTTAGTCCAGATCTATAACAGTCTGGACGTGGACGGCCTCTCCATCGACTGGATCCAAGGTGAAGTTTCCAACCGTGACGCGTTCGCCAAGTTATTCAACGAACTTCGAAGGCAAGAGAAATTCCCAGAGTTCGCGGTGTTAACAGCTGCCATTACTGATGAATCCACGACGAAAGATGGCTATGACATTACTGTTATGAACAGCACAGCCAACTTTTTGATCATTGAAGGCAGTCGGCTACAGAAGCATGAGCAAATTGTGACCAAGGGCGTGAAGCAACAGGAACCTAAAAGGACTGTGGTAGGTTTAAGCGATTTTATAGTTAACAATAATATAAATCTCCAGGAGATGATTTTAGGCCTTATTATGACTAATACAATTTTATATTAGTTTCTTTAGCCAATACATCTAAAAACCTACAAAAACTAAATTTTTTTATCAGTTTATGCCTAAATACGAAACTTTAGGTATCAAATCATAAATTTAAGATCTTTAAAACATAAAAAAAACTGTGGTTGTCAATAAATAAATGCTTGAAAAGTAATGATATGTTAAACCAATCGCTTTAGGAAAGCCTCGCAATGGAATGGGAAGCCTATGGAATCCCAAAAAAGAAGCTCATCATCGGTTATTCTGTAGCCACACCAGCAAAGTTGGAAGATGAAGACGTAAGTTAAAACAGAATAACATTCATACACCTCCATAAATGTTGCAAAACGTCTATCTTTAGTCTAAACATTGAAAATCCAAAGAAAATTTCGTGGGGTACGGTAAAATTACTGTAACTCAAAAACCGGCTTGAAATTTTGAAATATTTTGTCGGATTAGTTGAGCAAAAGAATTTTCTACAATCACACAAAATTTCACATGAATAGTATTAGTTTTAAAAAAGTTATAATAATTTTCCTGATCAGCTGTATCTAAAACGATATAAATTCAATCCCTTAAGAAACCCCAATTGCAGATTTGTGCCACCCCTTCAACTCCAGACGCTTCATCCGAACAACCTAAACAAAACCGAGGAATCGGCGTTGGAGTCCGAGCTTTCGCCGTTGGCTCCATTTCACCGGAAAGTGCACCAGTTGACAGTCGACGAGCAATGAGACAAAAGACCCAATGGGCATCGATGAACCAATTTGGAGGTATTGCTTTACGAGGAATCGAAAATGACCGAGCTCAATGCAGTGAGAATCCATTCCCCGTGCTGAAAACGATAGTTGAAACACAGAAGTGTTAAAACAATGTTGTTGTACATAGTTGATAAGAAATAAACATAAATAAATTAAAATATTGTTTCAAAAGCTTGAAAATAAGGTAATTTACGAAATTTATATTGTACTTACCAGAATATTGGCCATGAAAAATTAAGCGTATTTTACAACAAAAGTTCAGTTTTATAAAATTCTTCGTATAAAAAATATTTCGCCGGCTGCAAACTTATAAAGCTCCTTTATGTTTTCGGGCGCGAGCCGTTATTGTTAAATATTTTCGTTTGGAAAATATTTTACGATTTATCGTTCAGGTCGCTTTTCTATCGTATTTTATGCCTCATTTATCAATTACTAGGGTTTGTAGCTAAAGATGAGTGAATTTGGTAAGATGCTACTTTTTAATATTTATATATGAGTATTGTTATAGAAGAATATGTTTATTAGTTGTTTGGAAGATCATTGATAAAGTTTAGAAGGTAATGTCTTTTTATTGTTTTAGAAGCATTGATTTGTGCAGATTGTGGTGCTGGAAATGCTGAATGGGCTTCAATCAATCGAGGAGTCTTCATTTGCAATGAATGTTGTTATATACATCAGAATTTGGGTAAGAATATTTAATTTTTTTTTGGTTTTTAGGTAGTAGAAGCGATTTTTTGCTTTATGAGATCTTTAATCAATGAAAACGGGTCAGAATGTTTTAAAAATGAATAGTTTTAATAATTTTAAAGGTTTTAAACTCAAATTAAGTCTTCTGATTAACAAAAATTTTACAGGTCGTCACATAAGTCAAGTAAGATCTCTACGAAAAGGAGTTTGGGTGCAAAGTCAATTGGAACTTTTGAAGGTTTTGTATGAAAATGGAGCTAATAATATTTGGGAACATACTTTATTTGAACATCAGAATTCAAGTAAAGGACATAAGAAGCCTGTTTCAAAGTATGTTTTACTTATTTTTGTGGTTTAGAGGAGTTGTCGTCGAACTAATGAATATTTTGGGTACAGCATGAACAATTTTTTGTGTTTTATTGGTTTTTTAAAAGACGATTTCTGAGACAGTGAAGCAGCCTGAAACAGGCAGGTGCACTAGAAATTAACCCCCTGTTTTTATCGTCTTAATGCATGAGATAAACCGTTTTAAGATGTATAGTGAAGTTTTTTTGCACAAAATGTCATTTTGACATTTTTTGTCAAAAACAGTGAAAATTTATAATAATTTTAAAAATTAGCAGAATGTTTTAAAAATTTGTACACTTATGTTTTTAACCAAAATTTTAAAAAAGTGCAAATAAAAAAAAATTTAACACGGTTAGTCATAGTCAATTTTAGCATATTTGAAATCTACATGAAACTTGGGTTTGAATAAACGGTACGCTCAAACTTAAAGCTGCCAATTTTGGGGCATTACGGCCGATTAAAAAATTACGGTAGCACAATGTCAAAAAATTTAAAATTTTACTGTCGCTTTGCTAATGAAACTACAAGTCTGCAAATTTGCATACTTATATTTTTTAACATGTTGAACAAACTGGTAATTACAAAAAGTTTATAAAAGCACCGTAACTTACCGTAATCCCACCGGTCGAGTATAAAAGTGCAAATATCCAAAAATTTAACACGGGTCTCCATAATCAAGTTTAGCATATTTAGAACCTACATGAAACGTAGATATTGATTGGGTATAAGCACATCTTTAAAGCTGCCAGTTTTGGTGCTTCACGGTAAATTAAAAAATTACGGTGGCATACTATCCAAAAAATGACCGTAAACCCCCAAAATTGGCAGCTTTAAAGATTATCTTATAGCTTTTCAATATCTACGTTTTATGAAGAATCTAAATATGCTAAAATTGACTATGACTAACCGTGTTAAATTTTTAGATATTTGCACTTTTATAATCGACCGGTCGGATTACGGTAAGTTACGGTGCTTTTATAAACTTTTTGTAATTACCAGTTTGTTCAACATGTTAAAAAATATAAGTATGCAAATTTGCAGACTTGTAGTTTCATTAGCAAAGCGACAGTAAAATTTTAAATTTTTTGACATTGTGCTACCGTAATTTTTTAATCGGCCGTAAAGCCCCAAAATTGGCAGCTTTAAGTTTGAGCGTACCGTTTATTCAAACCCAAGTTTCATGTAGATTTCAAATATGCTAAAATTGACTATGACTAACCGTGTTAAATTTTTTTTTATTTGCACTTTTTTAATCGACCGGTTAGGTTACGGTAACTTTAGAAAAAAATGTTCAACTACAATTTTAATCAGCATAGTTAAAAACATAAGTGTACAAATTTTTAAAACATTCTGCTAATTTTTAAAATTGTTATAAATTGTCACTGTTTTTGACAAAAAATGTCATAAAAATGTCAAAATGACATTTTGTGCAAAAACACTTTACTATATCTCTTAAAACGGTTTATCTCATGCATTAAGACGATAAAAACAGGGGTCAATTTCTAGTGCACACCATGCTTCACCGTCTCAGAAATCGTCTTTTAAGTTCTTGCAAGCGAATGTCTTTGGAAGTCATTTAAAACTTACTATATATAATATACGATTATTCAGGCGGATTCGAAATTCTTTAAAAATTTGCTTTTTCAACTGATCACAACTTCTTTAAAAATAAAAACAAGCTTAAAGTTTAATAAAATGTCATTTTTAGTGATCCAGTATTCCCCAAAAAAGAGAATTTTATAAAACAAAAGTATTTGCAAAACGACTTTACTATCCGACCGTCAAAAGAGGAGAAGACCTGCTTGGACGATTTGAATCGACAACTATGGTCAGTTTGTCGCACATCTCGAGTCGAAACAGCATTGAAATTGTTGGCATTAGGAGCGGATCCGAATTATGCTGATCCTGAGAACGGTCTAACACCGGTTCATGTGGCTGCCAAAGAGAATCAACTGCTTCAAATCGAGTTGTTGGCCATTTATGGGGCCGATGTGGCTCAACAAACGGCTGGTGGGCAAACTGCGGCTGAGGTTGCGAGAGCTGAGGAGTTTGTGAGTTACATTTACTTTTGTTTATTAGGATGTTCAAGTAATTCTGTGCTCCTGAAGGCTAATTTTTGGGTTTAGAGGCACAGAATTATTTTATCAACCTATTATTTCTATTTATTAAAAAATTTTGTTTCTAAAATTTTTTTAAATGTTGTTACCTAATATATTTTAGGACCAATTAGCAGCCCGGCTGGACGAGCTAGAGTTTTCGATTTCTGACCATTTTTCCATGTTTCTATGCGGCCGAAAAGCCGATCACACAACAGGAAAACATTTTTTAATCCCCGAAATGGCCAATCCCAACGAACAGTCAAAGGAATTTCGACAAAATTTGCATAAAATCCCGCCAACGTTGTGCGAAAAGCTGTGCCAAGATGTATATGATGAGGTGGATCGACGAGAAGTTCAAGCTCAATGGAATGCTGTAAATGGGCTGAATTCCGTTGGAAGATACGATTCGAAACATGTCGCTGTGTTTTTACCGGTTAGTTATATCTTTTTATGCTTTGATGTTTTGTAAAGAAAGTTCTTGCAATTTCTTTACAAGATGACACAGCTTGATATTGTGCAGCTAGAGGGTGGCAATTTCTTCTATAAAGCGCGTTTTTTGCTTGGTAAAGAAAGTTTTTGTCATATTTTGTTTTGTAAAGAAAGTTTTTGCCATTTTACGTAATCTAGAGGAAGTTTTGCCATTTCTAATAGCATAAAGTATATTTTTTGAAAATTTTTAGTTTAGCAGTACAAAATCCTAATTCATACTAATTGTTTGTTTTTTCAGCCGAATGCTAACCTAACAGCCACACGTAATCAATTAAGGCAGAAATTGGCCAAGTACGACTCTCGAGACTTGTCACAATTGATTTGTGACCTGTTAAAGGAAGCCAGGCGAAGATATCTAGGAGAGGAACCGATTATTATCGATGAATCACCTAGAGCTACTCAGTTACAAGTTGAAACGTATGTTGTTTTAGACAATCTTTGTAGGTATAGTTAATTTTTAATGGATATTAAACAACTGTGTCTACTATAACATGGTGTTACTTGTCTGAGCTGTAACATGTTGTTTTCTACCTAAAATATCATTTTTTGAATAAAGATTTACCTAAAAGTTCAAATTTAGAAGGCAATCGGCGGACAATTTCGAATCAGTTCAAGATCTGGCCGACTCTCGAAAATCTCGAGGCTCCAACGGCACTAGAAGATCATCAGCGTTGCGAGCATCAGAACGAAATTCGAATCCAACATTAGATGATTACTTGGAATTGAAAGAGAAGTTGACAGAAACGGATCAGAAATTGAATACTGTGGTTCAGACTTATGTTCAAATGTCAAAGTGAGGAAGTTTTTGGAGTATGCTGAACTTTAGTTTGGATTTTTAGGGTTAGGCAGGGCTTTTGGTTTTGATTTTTTAGGCTTGAGGAGGGTTTATAGTTTTGATTTGTAGGCTTAGGCGGGCTTTTGGTTTGGATTTGGGTTTCGATTTTTAGGCTTAGACTAGGCTTTTGATTTGGATTTTTTAGTTTGTGTGGGTAGGTATCTTAAGGTTTAGTTCGCAGTTGGGTTGGGATGTTTGGTTTACTGAAGGCTGAAATTCTTTTTTATTTTTACGTGATTTAAAAGTTTCTTACAAATTTTTGTGAAAAGATTCGTGAAGATTTCGGATCTTGGAGCAATCTCACTTTAAAAAGTTGTATACAAAATTTTTCAAATTTTTTAGTTGTTCAAATAATTATGTGCTTCTCCTAAAAGTGAATTTTTGCAGTTAGGGGCATAGAATTATTAGAGCGACTTAATATTGTGGCAATGTATATTTTCTGAAAATGTCTTTTGAATTTCAGAGACCTACAACTTCTTCAAAAAACAGTGGAACAAATGTTTGAAGAGCGAAAGACACTAGAGGGACAATTGTCTTCAATCAACCAACAACTTACATTAATATCGAGAAGATCTCCTCCGCCTCAAATCCGGCCATTTTCACCAGCGATTTCTCCCATACCCAAGAGTTTTAGCCCCAGGCAGAGCAATCGTACGTTTTTTGTTTGAAGTATAAATCGTCGTTGAAATTTCAAAATTTGAAAACTAAAAATTTAATTTTACAATTTTTTTAAAGTACAAATTTTGGTTTTAGCCGAACCCCGAAAGAGCACGATGCATCGCCAAGCCAGCCTGAACGGTCCAGAATCCTCAACGCATCATCGTCGGGACGAAATGAGTGCTTCAGTACCACCACACGACACTACAGATGGTCGTCAGTTCCCGGACACTTTGATTGTGGAAACGGAGAAGCTGATTGCGTTTATCAAGAATCTGTTATCACAGCTGACACAGCCACAACCTCAGAACAACAGCATATTGATCTTGGTGGATTCGGTAGGGTTTGCGTTTTAATTTAGCTTCTGACAGTGATATAGTTTTAGTTTCGTTAGGTTTAGCGATGTTACTCTATTTTAACTATAGTCTAGTTTTTCTACAGTGTATCCTTACTACGTTAGGCTTAATTTTAAATTGTTGAACAAGATATAACAATAAAATCGCATATAAATTAATATTATTATAGATAAACTATCAGATCAGTCGAATAATCGACACTATCCCCACAAACCTACGATCCGGGAAAGTACAACGGTCAGTGGAGGAAATACTATATTACATGAAGGCATTGTACGCCAAATGCAGCCAACACCCTCTGCCAGCCGAAGAAACGATCAAATCGGCGTACGCGGTCGCTCAATCGGCGAAGGAACTCTTGGTCAGCGCGAACGATGCAGCTGAAAAAGCTCAGAAACATTGAATATTGTGAGGTTTGAAGTGGAGATCAAGGTGTTAGAGAAAGAATTGGGTATGAAGGAGCTATAGAAAGAATTATTAGGTTGTTCATATACTTCTGTGCTCTCTGTCAAAGCAAATTTTTGGGATCAAGGGCACATAATTAATTATGAACAACGTAGTAGATATTTCGATGCTACTGAAATATCAGTATGGAGAATGACACTTGTTATTGCATATTATTGGACAAAACTTTCTTTTTTGGTAGTTTAATGTAGAATATAAAAAGCTAAACACATTGTTATCTAAAATTACATTGTTCAGTTCAGGTGTCTAAACTTTTGTTTTTATAAGTTATACTATCTAAAATACCATTTTTAGATATTTTTATTACCTATGTAATGTTTTATATGCATTATATATCAAAAACAATGGCTTTTCCTTAAGTTTATATCTAAAACACAGTGTTTTTCTACATTTTTTACCTTAAAAACAGGCTTATTCTTCATTTCATACCTAAAATCTTCTACATTGGTGCCTTTACTGTTGTTTTTTAATTGTTTAAACGATGTGTTAATTGTGCTCAATTGGTCTAAAAGTGTACTTAAGTTTATAATAATTGATATTAGCCTTGTACACATGGGGAACGGACCGGGCTCACTTTTCAGACTCAGCCCGTTTATTATGTCTACAACCTTGTGTTACAATACTATAATTATTAATGTTTAGCTATTTTTATAACATAATGTGTCTTACAATGATTTTATAACTAATCATATAATATTATACGTCATTTTATGGTTTCATAGTTACATTGCATAGTAATCCTAACGTGTATATTTGTAAATATGCATTTAATACTTTGGCGTTTGAAAATTTTTAAAAACTATGTTGTTTTTGAATTTTTTGAAACGCTAAGAACTTTTTAATTATCTTTATATTGTAGTTAATAATAAAGTTAATAATTGGACGGAATGGGAGCTATATAGAGCTGATATGGATAATATAGCGTTTGATTCGCTGAATATTTGAAGAATGAATTATTTGTATTGTGTTTGCATTTGAAGATTTATATTGGTATCGTGATTTTATTTTTATGTATCAAGTTGTCCGAATATGTATGAGCCATTCAAATAGCCTAACTTTTTTTTTTAAAATTTAAATCTTGGCTCATGCATGTTTGGACAACTTGGTATATAGGAGTAGTTATCAGATCAGCCGATATTTTAAAATTTCATATATGGGTCTTTAAATTTATCTAAGGCTTGAATTCGTATTACAATATGTATATTAAGCATTATATATATATTGTAATATGAATTAAAACCTGATTATGCTGCTTAATATGTGAATATGTTACTTTAGGTCGTGAAAAAAATTTTTAAAGGTTAACAAAAGCTAATATTGTTTTAGATAGAAAATGGCAAACGCAGACGCTGTCAGAAATCAATTTGCGGTTTGGGAGCGGTTGATGCACATTAATGTAAAGGCACACACAGCACTCCGAAGTCTGAATCAGTTCCCTCGAGGCGAAGAGAGTCAAAAGTTGTTGGAACAGCTTGATCCCGAAACGAGATATCAGCATTTGCAAGGTAACAATATTAAAATATGGATTATTTGTTTGTTATTAAGTCGTGATAGAGAGGAGGGGTAGTGATATTTCAAAAATTAGGAAAAACTATTAACTAGGATGGGTTTTTATATTCCTGATTACAAAAAGGATAGGGATGATATGCCAGATTATGAATTAAGAGGGGTGCTTTGAGAGCTCAGAGCAAGGTTTTGGGATTATTTACATAACTTAAACTAATTTTAATGGCTGTGTCCTATATAGAGCTGGACTACGTACTTATCACTTTGCAAAGTTACCATTAAAATAGGTATAAAGTTACAAATTATTATAGAGAAGGCTTCAAAAACATTTTTTTTATTAAAAATAAAATATTTATTTTAAAATTTTATTTTTAGTTCGAAAAAACGTCTTCAAATTGATTGAAGTCTTACGGAACATTGAAGGAAAACTGGTGGAGCGGTCGAAAAAAGTGGAGAAGAAGGAGGAAGACGACGATGAAATTGTGAGTTCAGAAGACGAAGCGGATGCTGAAGCCGAGGACAACGATTCGGACGAAGAAGAAGATAACGAAGAAGAGGAAGATGAAGACGTTGTGGAAGAGAAAAAGTGAGTTTTTTGGTGTTTTACTGGTAAGGTTAGATTCATGAGGTGTAGGAAAATATTGAATTTATATTTACAGGCATTAAAAAAATATGCTATAGACCATCAGTATTTTAAATTTTTTAACAGAACTTTAAGTGAAATTTGGCTATATCTCTTTGTTTTGCAATGTTTTTCGTAGAAAAAAAAACGTAATTTCTTGAATTTTTTTAAAGTTTTTGAAGCAGAAGATGTCATTTTACAAGTTTTATGAACCAAAATGAACGGTTTGAGGTTTTGAAGAAGGTCAATTATAATGAAAAGAGCCGGAAACGTGTTTTAAAAGTATAAAACATTGAAAAATAAACGCAAAAACAGAAAAACGATGACATAAAGGAAAGAAAAGTGTGAAAAATAATCTTTTACATATTTACAATTTAATGAATTTTGAAGTTAATTTTTATTATTTTTTACTGGAAATTTGATATATATGCTCTGTGCTCCAATATTAATATACGGCTTTTTAGAAAATCTTCGATAAAAACCAATCCAACAGCACTAAACACACTGGAACGATCAGTTCAACGTGAATCCAAAGCCTTCAAACAGAATCGGAACGCCATTTTGGAGAAATGGTTCGAACGAACAAGACTAGCCGTGTCCAAGAAAGCGGCCAAAGACAACTTTGATGCACTGGAGACTTCGGCTGTTCATCAAATTGGAAAGGTGGGATTTAACGTTGGTATATATTAGGGACGCCTATTATAATGTATACTTTGACTAAGCCAGGGTATAATATGGTAGAAAGGAGGTATTTGCCGGCAGGGGCGGGCGGATATCTTTATTTTTTGGGTTATGTAAAAGTTTTTTTTGTGAAAACGTGATAAATGACGTTTTCAGATTCTGTCGGATCGTTCTCGTTTAGTCCGCCGAACTCAATTGAAAAGAGTCAATACAGACAGGATAGCTGGCCCAGTAGATCAACAATATGACCCGGAAGTCTTTGATGACGATGACTTTTACCAAACTTTGTTGAAGGAATTTATCGACCAAAAGTCTACCCAAACTTTGGATCCAATTCAGATTAGTCGGTGAGTTTTGGCTTGTAAAATATTGCAGGTTTGGATATGAAAGATATGTATTATGGCTGTAAAATGTGATAGATATAGTTTTTTTATAGAAGTTTTTAATGACTGGTATCAGTGTTTTGCCGGACCCGTCCGGTCCGGACCAAAAGAAAATAGAGCCGGACTGGACCGAAGATAATTTTTTTTTATTTTAATAAAACTGTTTTAAAAATTGCAAATAAAACATATTTTTAAGAGTTTTTAAACGTAAAAAAGCAGTTTTAGCGCTCTTGGCTTTTTTTAAAAATAAAAAATTTTTTCCCGGTCCGGTCCGGCAAAACACTGACTGGTATAAAGTGTTCAACCTCATTTTTATAGTAATCTTATGCTTTCTTGGTTTTGTTATAACCCTCTTAATTTGTTACAATCCTTCAATTTTTGTTTTAGACAATGGTTAGAGGTCCAAAAGCTACGACAACAGCGCACGAAGAAGCGTCAGGTCGAGAAACACGCTACGAAAGGACGGAAGATCAGGTACGTCCCTATTCCAAAATTAGCCAACTTTTGCCCCGCCGAGCCAGAAAAGATCAAATGGAGCCATGAAAGACGAAATGAACTTTTCAAGTCTATCTTCAGATACTGAACGCTCATTTTGTTTTTACTTGTTACGATACGGATTTCTCCGTATTTTTGAAATTTTATTGTTGATTTTGTTGTTTTATTCTTTGTTTTACTCTGTGACACTTTGTCTCAACGTTTAACACATTTTTTACTTCATGATACTTTTTCCTGATAAAGGTAAAAAACGAAAAAAATTTTGAAAAAATCGGCCCACAGGTAGCTGTTCCAAAAAATTTTTTGGGTCTTTACCCCTCTCCCCCCCCTTCCCCCAGAGAAAATCCGTAGCGACGTCTCTGGTCACAGATGAAAGTGCTCTAGTAAACTTTTTTTTCATCTTGTTGATGTGTCATAATTAGTAGAAGATATGTTTTATATTTTATTATTTTTACAATTATAAAATAACCGAAGTTTACATAATTACAAAATAACCTGTCATATAGAAAAGGATACATAACCTATGATGTTTTTGACGCCTCGATAAGCTCTCGTAGCTTCGACAGGAAACTGTTGGACGGTGGTGGGGCTTGCGGGATTTTCTCTACATTTGCCAAAGCAACACTTCTGAAGTTTTCCAACTTGTGCTGCATTTTTCTTGTTCTGTCAGCCATTGGGTAGCCATTGTATTCATCCACTTTGTACATTGGCGCGTCGAAGCGTACTGTCTTGGCCGGCGTTTTCCTTTCAAAGCTCGTTGAGTTCTTCCTCTTTCTGTTGACGCCTAGTTGACGTTTTGCTTTTTTAAGGTTTTCCTTGTAGTCTTCATCAGCGAGTTTCTGCATTCGTTCTACAAATGATTGTGTAGGTTCGTTGCCTTCAACGTGTGTGTAACCTTTAATGGCTACAACATTGCCCGGTGTGAGCTTCTTCGTTTTTAATAACTCTTCTTCTTCTCCAAAGAATGGCACCGTGCAGCTTGCTTTTTACCCGGCTGAAATAAAAAAACTCTCTTAACGTTTAAAACACAAAAAATAAATTGGATACTGAACGAAATATAACGATGTTTTTAATAATCAAACAACTTACTCATCTATAAATGCGGGTGGGTATCCATCCTTTTCCAATGCCCTCATACAACGCACGTAGTGCGGCACTTCGTCTTCCTCCAGCTGCAGTAGCCGTCTTAATTCCTCATCAGAACATTCGGTTGGATCTTCGATAATCCGTATCCGTTCTTTCTTAGGTGACGGTGGGGTAGGGGCGGGAGGCTCGTAGGGGTCCTCGAACTTTCGAGGGTCCGTTAGGCGTTCCGGCAGAATTCTTTCGAACCGGATATAGTGGACGCTTTTATCCTCGTGACCATCGCAGTACACAAATTCATCCACAATATATGCTCCGGGTTCGTCCAGGTAGACCACAAAATCCTGGCGCGGTGGACGTGGTGATCTTGAACGGCTGGTCGTCCGGTTCATCGGTCTGAAGAAATAGGGCTCTGTGGTGGGTTGACGTCTTCTTGGAATGACGCTGCGACTTCTGCGTTGGCAACCCATTGTTGTTTTAATTTAAACGATCTAAAGAAAAACAATATTTTAAAAAACGAGTAATTAAAAAAATATTTTGAAAAACGTGGTTTTTATAACGAAGGCACGCTTAATATTTAAAATGAAAAATTTTTTCTTAGGGATTTCATAAAAATTCTTATAACGGGATAACGCGGAATCATAATAAAAAAGTTTCATTGTATATTAAAACGAGAATAGCGTATAACGAACAACTTTTGAATTCACGGTTTATACAAAACTCTATACAAAAACTCCTTTATAACGAACAAATTTTAAACTCTATTGATTTATTATACAGCATTTCCATTGTAAAACTAAAGTTGCTACATTTTGCTCCTATTGTAGTCAAACGCATCATGAATCCCACAATTTATGTTACTCTACCTTTTAAAGAAACATGCAAAAAATATATATATAATAAGAAAAACAAATGAAAAAATATTCCATAAAAAAGTGCATTCAGCAACGCAAAACGCTGAAAATGGGGATTGACTTGTTAGTCGAATACTTGGGGACGCATAGCATTTGAGCGCGAATGATTTTGTGCGTAAATCTGCATTACGCCACACATAACGCGTTGTTTTTATAAATCAACCCACAAAAGTACAATAGTTGTAGTCAGGGCCGGGCGGGGACTTTTGGTCTGGGGGCAGGGGTCCAAAAAATCGGCACAGGTGCCGTTGCCGATTTTTTGCGAAAATTTTTTTCCAAACATCCACAGGGGGGGGGGACCACGTTCAAATTTTTTTCTGGGGGGGGGGAGGGGGTAACCCCCCGTCCCCCCCTCGCGCCCGGCCCTGGTTGTAGTTGCTGTGAACTTTGACCTTTATAAGCGTAACTTGTCCAAAAAAATTGTTGTAAGGCTTACATTGTTGATAGTTTTTTAAAAAATGTATAATTAAATTTAAAAAATATTTTTACAAAGATTAAAAATCATCAGGAGCAGTCAAAGTAGCACATGTTTGTAATATAATACAAATGCTTGGGCGGATTTGCAGAACGGTGCATATTTATTCGTATCACAAACAAATGGAATTTTTAAATTGTTGCCAAGTTTTTGGACGAAGAAAGGACATAGGTATAGTTACAATATAATATTCCAAAAAGCTTTTATTAGGGTTTGTGACGATTTGGGTCGATGACGAAGCAAGAATGTAAATACTGGGTCATTTTTTTCAATGTTTATTTTAGAATTTTTTCTAATGAATAAATTTTTAAAAACATTCTTCATATTACTGTAAAAAACTTTTTGCAATGTAACGTAGAACTTTTATGTGATACGAATTTTAAAATTAGCATAGTTAGTACTAGAGTGTCCAACGAATTGTCTCAAATTTACGCTATTTGATGCCAAAAGTCTTATTTATGAATTCTAATTACCGTCGTTGGTGGGGGCGAGCGCCTTAGGATTATCAACCGGCGGTAACGAAGTTAATTTTTCGCTTACTGTGGGCGTATGGTACGGCAAATACTATGACGATTTTTTGAAATTTTTTTGGTTTTGTTTTGATGTCATACTGTGCTGTAGCTAGATTTTGCAGAGGGGCCCAATAGGGGCCAACAAAAATTTTTAAAGGTCCCGACCGGACCGGGCAATTTACTTAAAAATGTTTTTTGAATTCTGTTTAAAAATTGTGTTAAGTTAATAATTATTTAAGTTACAGAGACAGTACGATATAAATTGTCCTTATTATTTTAATAATTTCAAATAAGTGGCTGGAATGGGGACAGGCGGAAAAATTGAACTCGGCTTTTACAGGTCTAACTTTAGGCTTATTTTGTATTGTTTTAATTTTGTTTTGTGGCGGGAAGTGGAGCGACGATAATCAGGCGTTATATCATTGCGGTTTTGAATCTTAAGTATTTAAAAATTTTACCCAAAAATTAGCTAAAAAGCACTATATCAATTACTAGGACATGGCCAAATAGTACGTACCCGTACCAACACGAAAGCATTGGTTATAACGAAGACAATGCAGAGAAAATTTCCCACCGTCACGTCACAAGCTCCGCCCACTTTCTCCAGAACAGCCGGAGGGCATTCGACGGCCACAGTCGGTTGGGGTTTTGCGTTTCCGGCCGCTTCGGTTTTATGTGTTTTTCCGCCGTACCGTGATTTTTGCGGACTTAATTTGATTAATACTTCTTTGTTAACGTTTCAAACTTTAAAATATACTTACTTTATAGTAGGAAGGAAAATGAACTTAGTTTTTGGGTAAAAAACGTTTGATTCATTAAGCATCAAGGCCTAGAAAAAACACCAAAATTAGCATATTTCACCCTGGTGGTACCAAGTTATATAATACTTACTTGGTTTTTGTTAGATAAGCAGAATTCTTTTAGTTTAATGTTTTGTAAAGAAAGTTTTTGCTATTTTAAAAATAACGAAAATTTTTATTTTTCAGTTTGCAGGTAGCGAGTTATACGGTGAAATTTGGTTTTAAGTATGTAAAGAATTTTTTTCAAATATTTTTTGCATGGTTATATAATTTACATAACAGTAACATACGGCTAATCTATCAGATTTCATGAAATTTCAATTCTTTCTAAAACATTATACTCGACTGATTAGCAGTTTTGTTCATGACGTGCGGAATTACAATAACCCTTACTCAAAACTGACACATTATCATTACTCCTTTGTGGCCGGCGTTTTTCGTGTAAAATTTAGACATTTCTTCCGCCCGGAAATTGCGTGACTAATTAAACAAATTTACCGTTATCTTACAATGAGCAGTTTTGTTACAATAAGCAGTTACTTGGAACTACAGTTATTGCTACTTTGTTGTATGGATTTAAATATCAACATTGAAATTTTATCACAGAAAATAAAAGCTATAGAATAATAGGTTATGATAGGCAATAAACAATAGGTTAGGGTAGGGTCGTTTAGTGTAGGGACGAGTAACGTAGGGTTAGAATAGTAATTGCTTAAGTGGAATCAAACTTTGGTAGGGGCTTTCAATGCGGAGGAAGGAGTTTTCTGTTCTGTAAGGGCGTTTTTTTTGCGCTGTGAACTTTAAATATTTAAAAAATTTAAATAACTTTTTTAGAGATAGGGTTTGGACAAATTTTTATTGGGCGCACAATGAATACACAATTTATCTACTTATCCGTCGTTTTGGTGGTGCTCGGCTGTGTCAGAGCGGTATGTAATTTGATTGGATATGAGTATTTATGTTACTCTTGGTATAGACAAGAAAATTTAACAAGATTTTTATTGTATTTTACTTTACATATTTTCACTAACAAATAGCTCAAGGACTTAAAATTGTTTGTTATAGTGTGAGTTTGCTATACAGGAGTTCCATTGTATTAATATATGAACAATACAGTATATGAAAACATTTAAAAACAAAATAATTAGAATTTTATATCAAATTCACAGCTTTTGGCATCAAAATTTGAGTTCTGTAAATTTGATATTAGACCCAATGTTTCACTCTAAATTCTTTAATTTATGGTTCCAAATTACAATGAAAAGACATGGTAGATATATAGTTTTAAAGGCATAGGCAATATAACGAATAAAAACTAAACAAAGCATGGCATTACTTTGAAGTGCTGCAAATTATAATCAAGCGCTATTTAAAAAAAACAATAATTTATGTGTAAATTTTATGAATTTCAAAAAGGTTTTTTGGGAAAGAACTATATAACATGGTAGATAATAGTAAATTCTTAAATATGTACTATGCCAGTAAATGATAAATACTCTCAAATTCTGAAAAGGCGTATAGTACTGTGGGTACGTTTCGAACGTAGTTTTGGACCTAATTGGCAATAAAAAGTTAACAAGTTGTAAATATTTATGTTTCGAATGAAAATTACAAAAAATAAAAATGATAGGTTTTCTAAACAATTTTTTGATATAGGGTGCAATATCAATAAAGCGATTTTTTGGTCGCTTTAGCCAAAAAATTTAAAATCTTTTTTCTGTAGTTTCCAACATTTAGTAGTTTCCAACATTTTTTATTATACTGATAAATCAGTTTCTAAAACGTAACTCTTAGGCGTTGGCAGGCGTCGCAAACACTCAAGAAAAACGAGCCTTCGACGCACTAACAGCTCGAGGATTCAACGGATTCGACAAGCGTGCTTTCGATTCATTTGTAAGTATGGCCTTTGCTTTTTTTGAATTACGTCTGCTTTTTGTTAATTAAAAAAAAAACCAATTAATTACGGGTTTTTCGAATTACAATATTTTGTATGAAATATTCGAAAATTCAATTTCTAGATAATAATGAGAAATTTTTTAAAATTTTAGAAAACTATGCAGTTTCATAAGACCGGTCAAAGGGAACTTTAAAAATGACTTCTGAACGCCTTAAGCCAACCGAAAATCCGGTCTAAGCCTTTCTCTGGCAATTTTTTGAAAAAAAGACGTTGAAAGGATACAAAAGTGTCATAATTGAAATAGGAACGAAATATCCGTTTAGGAAACAAAGTTTGTGTTATAAAGAAACTTGTAGGGGGTGTTTTTGGAACATGATTTCTATTTTTAGTCATTAGAGCGACAAGTAATTTTGGAAATTAATTTAGGGTAGCATAAGGTAGTGTGGGATAAGGCTTTTTGAAGTGATGTAGAGGAAAATAACAAAATTTGAAGTATTTCAAGGGCCAAAAAGTCTTATTACGAATTTGACCCAAACCGGTCTCACAACTGGCGTTAGAATTCTCTCAAATTCTTGTGACAAATTATTTGCAACAATAAAAGAAGAGCTCATTAGGGATTCCAACCAGAAATTATATATAATTGTCACACGACCACGCTAAATTTTAATTAAATTTAAAAAATGCGACAGTTTTACTATGTAAAACCTGATGGACGGTAAAGGTCACTTTGTTGTTTACATAGTAAATGTAGCATTAGTTCGATATCTGTATGATGTATATATAAAAAATAGCGATATTTTAACAGTATTCAAAACGCCTTTACTTTTTTCAATTTTCAGACAGGCACAGGTTTCACGGGAATGGACAAACGCTCATTTGACTCGTTTACTGGACCCGGCTTCACTGGTATGGACAAACGGTCATTTGACGCTTTGGTAAGAAAAATTTCAGTTCTTACACTGTCTACTGACGATTTGCATTTTAAAAAAGGTGTTTTGAGTATTGTATCGTGAATACCGGCCGAAACAGTAGTCGGAATAGGACTTAATACGTTTTTACAAAGAAAAGGAGAAAGATTAGGTTCATACGTGATAAGATATAGAAAGAAATAGATAGCAGTAGAATATAGTTACAAGTTATATTATGTGCCAACAAAAGTATGAGTGTTATGAGAAAATGTTTGTCGTAAAACTTCCTACTTTTAAGTTGTTCTCACCATTACCGATGAAAGATTATATTACACATTACACGACAAACAAAAATAAAAAAGATGTTTTTGGCATTTTGCAACTTTCAAATCTAAAAAAAACAGAAAATATAATAAGATTTTAAAAATAAATTAACAAATGTTTCACTTCAGACGGCACAAGGTTTTACTGGAATGGACAAAAAACGTTCGTTCGATTCGTTTACTGGTCCAGGATTTACTGGAATGGATAGGAAACGAGCTGTAGCACGCATGGTAAGAGATAAAAAATTTTAAAAATATTTTTAAAGAGTAGTAAAAACTTTTTGCTTTTTTTGCCTTTGAAATAGCATGGTGTTTCTCCTCTCTAAGAAAAATTGCACTGTCTATAACGATACTTTACTGAGACGTCTTAGAACTACTAACGATCTTTGAATATATTCTCAAACCAAGTTTCAAGCTGCTAGTTTAGGCTGTTTACCGAAAACAAATAAATAAAACGTGGGATTATTTTGTGAAAACAGACGGTTTTTATGCACTATTGCACTTCTAACTTGAATCCTCTTGGGGCTTCGATTTTTCAAATTTAATGGGTTCAGGAAGTGAAGTTGGGTTAGTAAAAGTAAACCAACATTATCAAAAAGGTTTAATTTGTAGCTTTATAAGCTTATCAGTTTTGGATGTGGAACACAATCAAACCAACATTTATACATATTTTTGCGAAAATTTGCAACTTTTTTTATAAATTTTTTAAAACTTCCAATTTTTAAATATCAAATTTGAATTTTTTAATACCTCAATAAATTTTACAGTACAAAATAAAAACACTCAAAGAGAGCTTCTTTTTGTTTCCTAAAATGTCAACAAATTTCAAAGAAAACGATTGTTATTAGAAAAACAAGGAACACTATTCATATTTAACATCAATTCAAAAACGAGGCCACATTTATATTTACAATGCAAAAAAAACAATACAAGGTGACGGATTACTAGTACTACCAGAAATTAATATCCTATTCAATCTAGTACTGCATTTTTTCCGAATTTTGCACTATTTTTATTTTATGGTTATGACAGCTTTGGCAGGGTATTTTTGTATAAGGTGCAGTAGGACTATAGCTACCGCCAGTTTTTCAAAAAAAAAATTTAATCGAAAAATAAGTCAATTTGTAAAAAGAATTGAGTTAGGCTACCCAATGATATCAGCCAATTTATATTGAACCGAATGAAATAACATGAGTGCATTCATGGAATGTGCTCAACTTTGTAAAAGATTTCAAAATAAAAAAAACAAAATATGTAAAAATGCAAAAATTTTTGTAATATTGTTCCATAAATGAATATATGAATGAAACTTTCAAGTTATAACCAGGGACGATGTCGTTATTCATGTTTTATTCAGCAGTTTTGGAACAGACATTTCCCCTCAGGCTAAACATTCTTTTGACCTCTATGGCCGCAAATGTAAATTAACATATTACTTTGCGCCACCTACGCTAATTGTTAAAAAATGGAAAAAATTTAAAATCTTAGAAAGCAATAAGGTCCAAAAATGATTTTACATTTTTCTATTTATTACTCAAATAATTTTTTAAAAATTGCAGATGGCACAAAAGCGAGCTTTTGACTCGATGACTGGCCGCGGATTCACCGGCTTCGATTAGACAATAAGGAAACAGCCACAGATTCGAAAACAAACTGATCTCTGAAATGAAAGAATTGAGCCGCATATTTTCTCTAACTCTCTTACTCTTTCCCGTTCTCTCTCGGTAACTCTTAAACTTCTAATAAAGTTATTTTTAATTGTAATTTTAAGTGTTTATATGTTTTTGTTAGGGAACAGGTAAGGGAACGTTAGGGCTGAGGTAGGATGAACTAGGATATGGTATGGTAAGTTAAGAACGTAAGTTGACCAAATATGATTAATATGTTAAGCAAGTTTATTTATAATTGTAATAGTAATAATGGTAATAACAGGGCATGATGATTAAAAGCTTGAATATGTTAATTTTGACAAACACCCGTATTTTACATGCTATTGTTGTTTTTTTAAAGGAATTATGGTGTGACATTAAAACAAAGATAAACAATATATGTAACCATAATTAAAAGACATGTGACAATACGAACAAAGCAAAGTTGTATACATTAGCATTATAGTTTTAAGTTATAAGCTACAAGTAAATGTGTTTCAAATTATTTTCTAAACATGTTATACAAAATACTGTATTTATAAAAAGATTACAGTAACGATTTTTATCATGAAAAGTAATGTTGTAGGTAAAAGAGTACTATCATAAAACTTATACGGATACTATTAATGTATGATGATGTTTGCAATAGTAAAAGTGATATTATAAAAACAAGATGTATATGTATATTGTGAAATAATATGACAATAAAGTAAGTAAACAGTATGTTTATATAGTGAAGATAATATATTATTGCTTTATATAAATAAGAGTAAAAATTTAAAAAATATTACTGTATCAATGCAGTAACCCTAAACAGGGACTAAATTAAATACAGTTATTGTATTGCAAATATTCTTTAACTACAATAAGAAAAATATTCTGTTAAAAAAATTAACACAAGCCAAACTTATTGGCGTGATTCATCACGAACGCAAAGATTCAGAGGTTGGTCTTCATCGTTCTCCTCCGTCTTGTATTCTGTAGCATGATTGTTGTTGACCGGTTGTAGAACTAAGGCCGGCTTCTGTAACAGCTCGGCGATTGCACTGTGCTTTGGTTTATCGAACGACGTTGTGTAGCCATTTTCGTAAACGTTTTTGACATTGTACACTGAATTCTGCGGATTCTGAAGCTCAGCAGAAAGTTGAGTGCGTAGGTTTATCGAATTCGAGTTTTGAAGGTTCAAAGAATTCTGATTTTGAACATTCACTTCTGAACTCATAATGTGCCCGTTCTTTCCACGCAGTAGCTCGTTGTACGAACGATCGTGAACTTCATTAACGTTGCGGTGTACATCAATATTGCGATTTTCTCCATTTCTTCCAGATTCATTGTTATCACGATGTCCAATACTTCGAAGGTCGCTGAAGCTAGCATGTCTACCATTTAATCCTTCAGTGTATTGATCACGGTCGAGCCGTAGCAAACTCTGTAGATTCACAGACTTAAATTCTAATGCCACATCGTAGCGTGTTTCTCCACTTCCTGAATCCGAACGATTGAATATTGGGTTCTTCATGGTAAAATCTTTTTCAATGCCAGAAACTTCGAGATTCTGGAAAGAATTTTGATGAATTTTAGACTCAGAAGCTGATTTGACATTTTGAGTAGGATGTAGATGCTCAAGTAAGTTTTGGTGTCGGTTGAGTACACTTTGAAGCTGATTTTGACGATGCAGATTCATATTTTGTTGAGTATTTTGAATAAAATTTTGAGCTTGATGGACGTTTTGAGTCAGATTTTGGTTAAGGTTTTGCTGAGGCTTCTGAAGTAGGTTATGATCCAATTTCTGACTTTCGTTTTGAAGATTCTGGCAAAGCATAGTATCTTTGTTTTCTCGCCCGCCGAAACTGCGACTTCGGGCGAACGAGACGTTGCCTGGCAGAACGTTGTCCAAATTTTGTAGCAACGTCTGGAACGATGCCAAGTAATTATTGTCAAAGCCATTTTTGTAGTCGTCTAATGGCAGAATGCACGGTACTTGCTTTAGATGATCGTTGCACATCGTGCCCAGCGTCTTCAAATCCGCAACAGCTGCGAACACGGATTGGATCAGCAAAGCGGCCAAAGTGTCCATCGGCTCGCTGAATAGTACACTCTGGAGACTTAGCCACAACTTCTGCTGTAGCATCTGCACCAACGATCCTTCTTTCATGTGGGTGGTGGTACCCAAATTGGCTTCAGACTGACACAATACTATAGCCGCAAATATTGCTAGTGACTTATCGTTGAGTTTTATCATTCTGAAGCGTTGTACGAACTCAACGATACTGTTTTTCAGAAGATCAGATTCGGTATTGTCGGATTCCAAGAACATGAACTTTGGAAATAAGGAAGCGTCGATTTGGTTGCCATCTGCACCACGCATACAGCTGAGGCGGATCAGCAGGATTTGGAAGAAAGATTGCTGAAAAAAATGAAAATGTATATTAATTTTAAATTTATTTAAAAATCTTTTATGATATTGTAAAATCGCCAAATTTCATTTTCAAAAAAACTTACCTTAAGCTGTTGAACTCGTTCCGCTGACTCCAAATGGCCAAAAACTTTGATAGACTTGGCAAACTGTGCGACGGCTTGTATAATGGGCAAAAACTGTTTTGAATGCAATTCTTTGCCATTTAAGCCCAAATATGCACCGCCTTTGTAGATTTCATGGCTCATCGTATCACCCAGCTCAGCAAAGGCTACAAAAACCGAGCTCATAAGTCCGTGCGTATCCTCCAAATCGACCGACAACGAGTCGATTCTGGAGCGAACGCTGGCACGCTGCATCTCTTCCACCATCTTCACTTTTTCACGTTTTGGCACTCGGCCGAAGCGGACGGCTGAAATACTGTTTTTTAGCTTTTGTTTGAATAGACAATGAAACTATATTATATTATAACGAACAATTTTTAAATACCTTGAGAGACGGGTTATACTGGGTCCTATTTCACGAAAAAAAAATTTTTCTGCTGTTAAATTTTAGTTTTTTTTTAATTTCTAATTATATTTTTAAATAATTTTTGTAACATTTTTTTGACGTCATTCCGGCCCCGTGATACAAATTCCGGGCGTGAAACAAGGTTCCACCGGAAGACAAACGGTGTAAACCCATTCATAAAAACCGTTCTCACATTGATTCCATCAATTGATTTGGAATCAATCAACAGCAAAAATTCAAGGAATTGTCATTTTTGGTTAGAAAAAAGAGTTTCCGCGCTGTTGATAAGTTTATTTTCTGATATTAACTTTTACTTTTGTAATTGTGCCATGTAACATTCACTACACTACATTTCTTTTGGTTACACTACTATTTTGATCCTACAAAAACCTTTACAAAAAATAAAATTTTGCAAAAATTCTTTAACGTATATGCACTTTTAGTAATGTGAGCATTTCATGTGGTTGGAAAAAAACAAAAATATGCGTACTTGCTTTACCCACGTGCGTTGTGCACTTGTTTTAGGCATGTTACCCTATGATGGTACTTTAACAAATGTTATGCGTTTTATGACAGGAATCTTTTTTTTATTGTTGCACTTGTCTTTAAAATATGAAAAATAGGAAATTTTAGAAACTTCAAACGAGAGTTGTTACCGTGACCATGAAGGTTTAAAATTAAGCGCAACAATCTTTTTTTAGTTATTCGAAAGTTTGGATGACCTTGTAACCCAAACGACCGTCTTACTTAAAAACGCTTTTAAGGTCTTAAAAGTAGGGATTTGAAAAGTGAACAATTAGTACAGCCACAAAAATTAAAAAATTTAAATTTAAGACATTGAAAAGTCAAAAAAAAATTCCCTTACCATCCCTGGACATTCCAACAGAAATGCACTTCTTTAAGCGGCAATCTTGACATCTGTTTCTGTTGTTCCGTACAATAGCACAACGTTGTCCTTTTGTGCACTCTCGGTATTTGATTTTTTGTTGGATCGACCGCCGAAAGAAACCTTTGCATCCTTCACAACTGGTCACTCCATAGTGAAAACCACTGGCTTTGTCAGAACATACTTGGCATAATAAGACACCTTTCATTGGGTCTGTCGTTGAGGGTGCTAAATTTAATGATTATATGTTGTGTTTGTATGTTCGTGTTTTGTTTCTGTTTTTTTTTTGTTTTAGTTGTGTTTGTTCCTAATGTTTTCTTTAATAAATGTTTTTATGTTAAGACTAGCCATAGCAATTAATAAGAAAATAGTTTGTGGGCTATAACTTCCATGCAAACCTATTTGTCTAGCACAAAAGGTTGTCCTACCCAGCTCACCTTCTAAAAGCATACCCTACCAAACTCATTTATATCTCCTTACACCTTTCAATATCAACCTCATTTACCCCTAATGCAACCTGATGATTCGCAAAAGCCAATTAAAAACGAAAAGAAAAGTTTTGATGGATATCGTGGATTCGGATCCCCGCCGTTTTTAATTGCACACAAAACCGGTCTTGTTTCAGGTGAAACGACGAAGACAAGGTGAGGAGACGTCATCCGCCTGGGGTGATAAAACATGGAAAAGATTTTTAAAAATCAGGTTTAAATTTAAAAAAAGAGACATTAACCTGGATAAGGGTAAAATGCTATTTAAAATTTAGGCATGTAAAACAGACTAGGTGTTTTTTGGTTTTTTTGCAAATAAAATTTTTAGATAAGGTAGCGCAAAAGTTTTAGAAATTTAAGGACCTTATTCTGAGACGTACATGCTGAATAGTAAAAAAATTGTTTTTTAATTCTTAGAATGTGTCTACATTCATATTAACATGTATTTTCCGTCCACGTGTAGCTTGCATTTTTCCGGTAATTAACCCTGACCGCAGACACAGATCCTTGCAACTTTTTTGCTTCGCCAGCCGGTTCGCCCTCCTTCAGCAACCTCCGCACAGCCTTAGGGAAATCCGGATTTAGCGCGCGAAACGGGGTTTCTGTGCGAATTAATGGATTCCGATTTCCGGATCTGCGCCTCGGGGTAAATACCACAAAAGTGAAAGTTGCGTCACTGCAAACAAAGTTTTGTCTTAAAACCGTAAAGGGGAGAAATACGCAAGGATTTTGTTTCCAGTTTTTAAAAAAATTGCATAAATCTGTACAACCTTAACTCAAAAGTTGCACAACCCCGCGACCTAGACCTTGTTTACAGTGCAGGTCAGCCAATCGAAGAAGTTTTTGTATTTTTCTCGAAATGGCCTTGTCCTATTTTCGCTAAACTAAAATGTTTTTAATAAAATCAAATTTCGAAAATGGGAAAAATAACATCAAAGTGCACGAAAAGTAGAGCACAGGTTCAGAGAGTGTCTGGTTTTCTTATCAAGTTTTGGGTAAATGAATTAATATATTCTTATATATTTTTAAAAAATTTAAAAAAAAGATAATGAAATTCAAACGATTAAACTCACAAGCACTGTCGTCATTCCCATTGCACTCTCCTTCCACATTGACCAATGTATTTAAAGCTGAAGACAAAAAGTTGTAGGCCGATGAATTGTTGACACTATTCTCTGTGTCCATGGGACTGGCTGAATTGGCCGAAGCCGAGGTAGAAGCCGATGGTGTATCCGAAAGTGGGCTAAGTTGATTTGACTGTGTCGTAGTCTGTTCGACCGGCGTTTCAGTAAATTGTTCATTCTTGGCCAAACGGCTCATCAACTCGGACATGGCTGACGTAGCTGATGTGAACATTGTCGGATCAACTGAGGTATGGAATAGGTCGCCAGAGCTCGTGCCTATACCTAATTGTTGGGGGTCGATTATACCAGTAGTTGAAGATAGTCGAAACTGGTTGAAATTATGTATTTGCGACATTGATGTCTCGGGCTGAGATTTTGACATGGTAGTATGGGAACTGCTGGATGAAGAGTTCAGTAATGAAACCTGGGGCAGTAGATGTGCCAGGTTAAATTGGTCCATGGACTGGAATATAAGAAAATTTAAATTTTCAAAGTACAAAATTAAAAATTAATATTGCGAAAGATTTTAAACGTATAATACAGCGAGCATATACATCTGGAACGCGTGATGTAACAATTATACAAATAAAAAAACAAGTAACAAAACTTTAAAAATATTAAACCGAATACATAAAAAGCATTAAACAGACATATTAAAACTATTAAAACATTCGCCATCCCTCCAAAACATCCAAATTACCCAAAAAATAATTTAGTTAAGCCCTGCAGCAATTTTTGCCCTTTCTACTATCAAGCAAATCGCGAAAATCAGAAAAAAGTTGTGAATCGACCGGCTGGCAGTTTAACTAGGTCATGGCCATGTTTTTCACAACAAGCTGAGTTGTAAAAATTCTACGCGCAGCCGGCTGAAAACGGAGAAAGGAAGAAAGTGGATCATCGGGCGGGCGATCGCCCTTACTCGAATTTGGAGAAAAGGGGGAAAGTAGTCGAAGGACGAGAGGGTGAGGAGGAAAAGGTGCCCAATTTTTTGTTATAAAAGATGAAGAAAAAAAAACACAAAATACTTGGTAATAAATACATGGACGTAAGATGCTTACTACCTATTCTCTAGCTATTTTGTTTTATAAAAATAATTTTTTGTTTAATCATTGCAAGCAATTAATAAAAAATTTCGTACTTATGAAAACCTACTAGCTCGTTACCTTCAGTTCTTAGAAGGTAGCATCACCGTACTCGAGTTTAGATAAACGAACAAGGAAAGGTACCCCAGTTACAAACGACAAGAGGAGGAAAGTAAAAAGTACCCGCAGAGACAACTAATTCAAAAAGCAAAAGTAAGAGGAGGTGGGCGACGCGCAAAAAAAAGTAGTTTAATGGAACTGCGAACCAAAAATCGACAACGTTCCGACCGGCTGTTGTGTGTGTGTTTTTTTTTCGTCCCTTATTTGGGTGGAGATTTCGGGGCGAGCTTAGGTAATGGGGTTGGATGTCTGCAACGCCGAGTTTTTGGACTTGGAGCAGCCAGCCGAGCTGCTGGGGAAAGTCGGAAATCGAGGTGACTAAAGTCGTTTTTCTTTAGGAAACCGACGATTGAGGTGAAGAAATCGTATTTAGAAAACGAAAATCAGGGTGATCAAAGAAAAGATGAGAGTTGGTTGACATAGTTTCAGGTATGGTTTTAGATGATTAAGACAAAAAAATTTCGAGCAAAAGCTTAAATGATATAAAAAACACTGTACTCTTTAATAAGAACCTAAACCTCAAACCGTTGAAAAACTTCAAAATAAAACAAAGTTTAAAAATTTTTTTATTTCCCTAACCCCGGCGGCATTTTCTTTGACAAAACCGCGCGAAAGTAGAGTAAAAATGATGGTCGAGCGTTTTTCGGGTGAAACGAAAATCAACCTTGAAATATAATAAAAGATCCATTCATTCCTCCATTCTACCGTAATCCCGAAAAAGGGAACGGCTGGCAAGAATAATCGCCGAGGTAATACCGAGAAGGACCTCGGCTGGAAATGAAGTCATTTGGGCAGTAGTTGAAGAAAGTAAGGTTACATGGACAAAAGTACTAGAAAGACTCTTAGGCGGTCAAAAAGTACGTAGAATTAAATTTAGAGGCAAAAAAGAAGAGCTGCTACTGTAAAAACATTGCCTTTAAAGCTATTTTTACTCCCAGAAGAAATTGTTACCAAGAATAATTACGAAGCAGTAGCAATCAGTTGTCACCTTGAATTCGAATAATATTTATTGATAGTAAGGCAAATCAGTAAATGAGTTAAGACGGTTTATTTACGAATACGAACGGAAATGGACGAGTTTACAATGTAGTAAACTTTTACTGTAGTAACGTGGATAGTTTAATGTAGGGTATTAAAGTAGAAGTTTGATACATGTTTACAAAGTAAAAAAAATTTTAAAAAATTTTTTTGGTTGACCTCTTCCCCCCTTGCGAATTTACACATAAATTAGAAGGCTCTTTTATAAAATAATTTATTTAATTAAAAATATTGTCAAAAATTTTAAAAAATCAAATTGTTTTTCAAAAATAAGCTGTAGCTACCGTCTCTTGAAAAGTAACGGCGGCACGTCAAGTTCGCCCCGCCGAACAAGGTGAGCGTGGATGTTCACGTAAACCAGAATCGCCGAAACCCTTGATGGATCAGCGAAACACTACTCGTCGATCCATCCTTTATCCTCCCCTTTTGCAGCCGTTTTTTAAAAGTTTTGCGCTAGGAGGTTGCACAGGTTGAAATATGTAAGCAGGTTCATATTGTAAACGTTACAGTTTTTTGTTAAAGGCAACAGTAAAAATTTTTAAAAATAATTTATTATGTTAGACAAAAAACGTTTATCTAGGCTTGAGTAATTGTTGCACTTTTTACCGTGCAATTGAGGAACAACCCTTTGAAATACCAAAATAAAGAAAAATGATCAAAATACTACGAAACAATATTAAAAACAATGCTTTTTCAACAGAAACGACAAGAATAACAAAAAAAAACTGATTTTACAGATACGACACAAAATTCCAGCCCGCATTCGTCGTATATCCGAAAGTGAAAGCAGACGAAAAGCGCCCGAGGGCTTGCAGATCCCTTTCAGTCGACCGACTACATTCAAGTGTTGTGACGTAAAGTGGATTAATACGAACGAATCTGGGTGATTTTTTCCCAAAAATCAAAGCTACAGGAAAAAAATATGAGTGCAAAGTTACGACAAAAAAATTCTTTTAAATTCCTTGGTGAGGGAAAAAGAAATTACTGTAAAGTATCTGAAAACTATCAGGTCAAGAATGAGTAAGATAGACTATCGTCTAATTGGTTAAAGCCGGTGGGATGGGTACGAAACTGTATGGTAGGATATAAATAATAAGACAAGGGTAGGGTAAGGTAGGGCAGGGTAAGGTAGGGTAGGGTAGGGTAGGGTAGGGTAGGGTAGGGCACAGTAGAGTAAGGAAAATTAAAAGCAGACGAATAAAAAACAAAAAGTGCAAAAGGATGTGTCTAGGTGAGCAGGTTTTCGTCGCCCAAATAAAGCCGCTCCAAGTGGCTAGCGAAAGTAATGGTCATCCAAAAGAGGAAACGATTACATCGTGACGTGAATCACGTTGTCTGTTTTCAATAAAGGTAGACGATGGATTTGGAAGAGGATATTCATTGTTATAAACTGTAGATGTGCTTTCTAATTTTCCACTTGTTTATATAAAAAAAAGATTCAAAAAAGGTTGAAACACAATGCCAGCTTGATAGAAACCAGAACACAGAAGTAATTTTTTGAAAATGTTGGATAATATATTTAAAAAATGAAAAAATAAGGAAAATTGGCAGGACTATTAATTCCTTTCGAAAAATGGGTGTCAGACCATAAAACAAATTTTTTGCAACCCGCCCCCGCAATTCTTACAAAAAAACAAGTTTACCCTCTGACCTACAACTATATATTTTATTGTTTCTTTGCTCGACTGACCTATTAAACTCAAAAAAATCCAGTTGACACCCACCAAACCCATATCTTCTTTATTACCACAGACTTTTAAAACAAATTTCCTGTTTTCACTTTTAAGATCAAGTTCAAGAGATTCCTTTTTGGATAAAATCGAAAAAAGTTCACTAATCCGCCCGCAGGGTGTCATTACCGATTTTTGGTTGTTTAGCCGACTTTTTTTGATGAGCGACTTGTTAGTCAACTATCAGATGTAGTGGGTAATAAACATACAGATATCATTCGCTGCGCCTCGTTTGTCGCATTCTGCGCCCAGCTATTCGCGGCCTGCGCCTTGTTCTATGTATTATACGCCCAGTATTTTCCAACCTGCGCCCATAATTGACATTTTAAAAGTTTATCTCCTCTCCTGTAAACTTTATTCGAAAACCTCCATGCTTTTGTGGATGTAAACATTGAAACCTATCTTTATGAAAGGGAATGCGCCGTGCGAACGAACCGAAAGACCTGCGCACAATATGCGACCAGTCGGAAGTCGCCGCAACCCACTGCACTCTAAACCTACAGTCCTACAAGAACGAGGAGGTAGGAAAAGGAATGACGGTAGGGAGTTAAAAGTAGAGAAAAAGAGACAATAGAAAGAGAGAAAGGCGAATATGAGAGAGTGGAAGGAGTGAGAGACGAAAGAAAATATAGAAAATCGAGAAACAACAATGAAACAGAGACAAAACTAGACAAAATACAAAACAAATCCACTGTTAATTAACTCAAAGTAGCATACGAAACAAAATATCAAATTAAAAAAGTAGAGTTGCAGAGCAAAAAGGCCCGAATCCAAGGTTACGATCGCCAGTTTACAATTTTGTGGGAGAGGCAGTAAAACCAAAAATGGGTTAAAGTTGTTACAAAAGTGATGTGAATGCACTAACGTCAAACTCAATAACACCGCTTTTGTCAAACAAAAATTGTGATTTCGAATTCTTTGCGCTTTTGATCGGAAGTGACATGTTATACGGTGAAAGGTGTTTTTGACAAAATAAAAATTTGATTTTTAAAAACATTGTCAAAATAAACAAAAATATTAATTTTTTAAACGTTGGTTTTGAAGTTTTATGTCCGGTAAGCAAAAGTGACATGTCATACGATCAAAGGTGTTTTATAACAAAAAAAATTTTCATTAAAGATGTAAATACCTAATTTTCTGTCTCTATTAATATTAAAAAAGTAGCTTCTAGCGATGTATAACTGATGTTTTATGTGACAAAAAATCAAAAAGAATCCGCTGAGTTAAAAAAATAAAAATGCGCAAGAAATGACAAATAGGCCAGGTGGCCAAATCTGACTGGGCGATGCTAAAAACAGCTGAACGTATTTGTTATTACTACATTACGTGCCATTTGAGCTTACAATAAAAAATATGTCAAACTTTAAAGACTACAGTAATACCCTTCAAAACGAAGGTACTGTAGCTTTTTGAATTTAAAAAAAGTATAGTAAAAGGCTTCAAATTATGTTTTTTACAGTAACTAACATTTTGATCTTTGCTTGAAATCAAATCTGTAAGTTACTAACAAGGAAAGTACCCGACCTGCAACACTCAGATTTCGTTCAAATTTTTTAGTTGGACAATAATAAAGAAAAATGCTTCAGAACACCACTAGTTTTCGTCCGTTTCAAAAATATTAAGATCTGACTGAGTTATGGTCTTCGCCGAGATTAGGTATCTCTGCCGATTTGTCAAAAATTGTTGATAATTTATAAAATTGTGACATGTTGGAGAAAAATGCCAATGAACACCATTGGTTTTTGTCCGGTTCAAAAATCTTAAGAACTGGCCGGGTTATGGTCTCCGCCGAAACTAGATGTCTCCGCCGAATTTTTAAAAATCACCATTTTTTTACAAAGTTTGGTCGATTTTATAGAAAAAAGCTTCAGAACACCACTGGTTTTTGTCCGGTTCAAAAATCTTAAGAACTGGCCGAGTTATGGCCTTCGCCGAATTTCTCCGCCAATCGTCCGCCGACATAGCAAAAAAGTTTTTCATTGAAAGAAAATGTTTTGAGAAATGTTTGGGCAGCATGCGAAAACAAAATTACATATTTTTTGGCCGAAACATATAAAATTCAGTCTCCGCCGACCTCCGCCGAGCCTCCGCCAAATAATCAAAAACAATGTACCAATGCCAAATCCGCAAGCAATTTCTAGTCTAGTGCAAAAAAAATCGTCCAGATCGGACCAGTAGTTTTTGAGAACGGAGCTTTTACTTTCCTTCAGAAAAGTTAGGACACCCTGTAAATGTAAGACCTTATGTAAAATTCTAACAAGGAAAGTACCCTACTTGCTCCGCTCAGAATCAGCTCAAAATTTTCATATGAATTCTTCGTACCACCAATAGTACCCATAAAAATTTTAGTTCGCGCTTTTGTGTTTTAATTTTAAATTATTTGAGTTTTCCGCCAATTTGGCAAATTTGGCATTGTGTTTCAAGCACTTTTTTCGGCTTTCCAGACAAGATACGCTTACAAATTTAAAAATGTAGGTGCATTTAAAAGTATTCTACTAGTATATCAAAGAAAAATTATTAAAAGTGAAAAAATGACAAAGTTACAAGCTTGAAACACAATGCCAAGTTGGCGCGAAATTCAAAATATCATTTTTTAATCTCGATTTTCTCGAGATTTCCTGGAAAGCGCGATTTAGTACTTTGCTGAAGATCTTATATTTACATGATCTTTCTATATAAAAAGTTTGAAGTCATTCAGAGCGGGGCAGGTCGGGCACTTTTCTTGTAAGTTGCAGTTTGTGGCCAGACTTGAGAAAATCGAGCTAAAAAACTGCGTTTTTCCGCCAAATTGGCATAGTGTATCAAGCTTAAAACTTTCTCATTTTTTGACCTTTGACAATTTTTTTAAATATAATGATAGAAAATCCAATTTTAAAGTTTGTAAGCCTATTTTATCTGGAACATCAAAAAAAGTGCTTGAAATACAATCCCAAATTTGCTAAATTGGCAAGAAATTTAAATATATTAATTTTAAAACCTAAAACCGCAAGCCAAAAGTTTTTACATATGCTACTAGTACTGCAAAAAATCCGTATAAAAATTTTGAACTAATCTGAGAGTTGCAGGTTGGGTACTGTAAGCATTAAACATAAAGAATATTTATTGTAAAAGCTAAGGAATATTTGTGCAATTTCCTAGTTATCAATATAAACTAAAGAACACAATCTTTTGTTATTAAATAAAAATAAGCCCAGAATACTATTTAAACTAGCCATGTATAACAAAAAAGCGATTTACTTAACCTAAACTAAAACCATCAGTCTATGTACAATCGAACAGCCTTGGAATTACACAAACTTGAAAGTAAAATGTAATGAAAAGGGAACAAGATCAAGGTGAAAACGGAAGAGCGCCCGAGAACTTTCCTTCCAAATCCGCTCGAAATTCAAAAGAAATTTTGTCGAAAAACAGGGTTTCACGCAAAACGGTCAAGGACAACTGCGCATGTTGTCATACACTTTGGTTACGTATTCAAATTAAATGTATGCAACTAAATTTTAAAATACATATAATTTTTATTTTATCGTCACCCTATCATGGACCTCGTCTTAGCTTCTACATTATACTGCATCTCTTAGTGCGGCTTTACATTGGCCCTTACTTTACCAAAACATAGCTCTTATTTGTAGCATTTATTCGGCTATTGCTCTGTCCTAGTCTTACTCTAGCTCTAAGCTTGTCTTCACCTAGCGTTACGTAATCTCAACCATCTCTTACTTTTCCGGGATCCCTAAAAATAAATTTATCTTAACCGACACCTCTTACCCTAAAGTAACCTTAACCTAGACCTGAATTTACTCTTTGGTCTAAAATTATGTAAATGTAAACTTACTTTAATTTAAAATTTTTTCCCCTTCAAACCTTTATAAAATACAAAAAATCACTCACTTTTTTCCAAAACAACACAACTCAACAGAAAATATTACCTCGTAACCTCAACTTGCGAATGCCAGCTGCGGCGACCTCGACAGCCGGCTGCCCTCACTCTGTTCGTCTCACTGACCTTGAATGCAATGTCCTACTGCCATCGTTCGCGCACCGTTCCGATCGAGTCTTTGGCCCATCTCACGAGACAATGCGGCAGAGAAAGAAGGTTAGAGAAGTAAAGAAAAATATGAATGAGAGTGGCGCCGTATGCTAATTTTGAGAAAAGTAGATACATTTTTGAAAAAAAAACATTTAAAAAATAGTTTTTAATAAAATTTGTAAAAGTTAAAAAAAAATCAATGGATTTTTCTTACTGTATACTACTGTAGCTTTCATTTACCTTTGGTCTAGCTTTATCCTAAACCTTACTGTAGCCATATTCAAGTATTCGTTAGAGGTGTTTTATTAATAAATCTATTCACTGCAGTACACTTAACAAAACAATATTTCCTGAACGCTTACCATGCCCTCATTTAGCGTAAAAATCGGTTGGAAATTCGAAACTGACCTTGAGAGTCTCAAAACTTTTTATGTTTTTATTATGATACAACGACCTAGTTTTACTATTGAAACAAACAGATTATGCTACAATCACATAAACAGCTCTGTTCCAATTCAGTTCGTAGGGATTTGAATTGATTGAATTTGAAGTGCAAAGCAAAAAGCCTTCAATTCGTGAACATTGATTACAATATTGAAGCTTAATACGTGTTATACTTAATATGTTAAGTTCGATTGATGAAAAGAGGGAAAATTGTTGTGTGGTATAGAAGCTTTAATAGTCTTAAGTTAAGAGCTAAGACTAAGGCTATAATTATAGCTGGGGCTCGGGCTAATTGTAGGGCTAAGAACAAGGGCTAGAGCTAAGACTAAGGCTATGGCTAGAGCAGGGGCTACATATAGAGCTAAGAGCAAAGGCTAGGGCTATAACTAGAGCTGGGGCTCGAGATATATTTAGGGGTAAGAGCAAGGGCTAAGACTAGGGCTATGGCTAGAGCTGTGACTAGGGCTAAGGCTACGGCTAGAGCTAGGGCTAGAGCGCAATTCTTAATTGTTTTTGAACAATGTACTCCATTCCAAACAATATTTATTAAAATTACAATTTTTCAAAAAAAAAAATTTAAACATTAGTACCACTGACAGTGACGGAACTGTACCGTGTTGAATGCGGCCGAAGCGACGTTTTCGCTTCTTTTTTCGTTTTTATTGCAAAAAAGCAACAAGCGCGACGAAACTCTTTGCGAAACTTTTCTGAAATGTCAGTATTTGCATGACTAAAACCTTTAACACTGTTTTGACTTGTCAATACTAACTGAAGTTTTAAAGCCCTAAAAAATTTTTTTTTATGGTGTTTGTTAACTTACCACACATAAAGTTGTATAAAATAGGGTTGAAACTGCTCGAAGAGTAACTGAACAGCCGCGGAATAAACTTTCTGACCGCTATGGCCGTTAAACTTGGGTCTTTTTGGGGTTCAATATGAAAGGATCTGAAAAATGACAACAAATATAAAAAAGAGCAAAAATATCATATTTTAGAGTTATTACACCTACTGTAAAATAAACAATTGGCTATAATGGTCCAATAATGTCAATTTCGATTAAATACACTATGATGTGTACAAATAAAGCATAGATACAAAATTTTAAAATTATTTAAATTTTAAACAAAAAAAATTTTTTAATAGAAAAACTTTTTTAATATAAAAAAACTTACGTTAACATATTATGAACATGAACAGGCAGATAGCTTATTCCAAAGAGTAATGTCACCGTGATGACAATTCTCGCGGCACGTTGACGGCTTTTTAGTTGTCGTTCTCCAATTTGAAGAGATTTTCGTCGAAGTATAATGGACATGTGAATACATAACCCACTAATTATAACTAGTGGAATGAAAAATAAAAACAGAGTCTGTGCTAGTTGATATTTTTGTTGAAACTCTTCGCTCCAGGACTCTTTACACCGGGTTCCCCACTAAAATGATATCGATAATAATTAAAAACGACAAGTCTTAAGGTTTTAGTTTGATTATTTCAGTGGTTAGCTTATTTTTAGACATGAGAAATGGGCCCGGCCGGCCTTAAGCAAAATTTCGACCGGGCCGGGCCCGGCCCGTTTCCACGTAAAAAAAAATTAGGCCCGGACCGGCCCTGAGCAAAAATTCAATCGGGCCGGGCCTGAAAATTGGGCCCGGCCCGTTTCTCATGTCTACTTATTTTTAAAGATTTTTTAATAAAATTGAAAGTTTTTAAAATTTTTAATTAATTTTAACTTTTTTATAGCCCTCTTATCTGTTTCTTAAGAACGAAGTAAAGTTATAACAAGCTTGCAGGCGTGTGCCTCGTTAGCGCAGTGGCAGCGCGTCAGTCTCATAATCTGAAGGCCGTGAGTTCGATCCTCACACGGGGCATTAAGCTTTTTGGTTTTTTTTTTACCAATTTAAAACAAATTCTGTCATTATAAAGGTACTGCCATTTTTAAAAAACTTAATTTATATTGTTCAAACATACTTTTACCTATCTTTTTAAAACATCTTAATTTTTTGCCATCAAAAACATACAGTGGTCTGTAGATCCTTTCTAGCATATTCAGCTGGGTATATTTTCAAAGTAATTGGCTCGGGTAGTGAGAGGACTGACGATATGATCCATATCAACACAATAACTTTATGTGTTTTCCAAATTGGCACAGACAAGGGCAAAGACACGGCTCGCCATCGTTCTATTGATACCACCATCAATGTAAATACTGATACGTATACGGATGTATTCTGCAAGTAAAGTTATTAGTTATTGTATAAAATCATGGTTATCAAACAATGTCTTTAATAACCATACCTCTAGGAATAAGTTGTCTTTAGTGTATCCTACTTTATTTTACTATAGCATAAGTTTACTGTGTAGTATAGTTATACCGTACTATTATAACTAGCAGTAAAATATTTCACCGCGACAGTACTCCATACTCAAAATGAAGACTACCTTACCTGAAAAAACAAAATTGCTTTGCAAAACTCGGCACTAAACCAAAACGTTTTGGTAATGTCGTTGATAACAGTTGGCGTGAGACAAATTGTAAGCACCAGAAGGTCGGATAAGGCAAGATTTAACAAAAACCAGTTCATTGAGGTCCACTGGAATGGAAAATTATAAAAAATGGCAAGAAATTTCATTGCAAAACCCAAAAAAGCAAAATGTTTTTGAAAAATTGTAAACGCTGTTAGTCGTATAACCTGTCACTCGCAAGCTGCGGGGTTTTATAGTTTAATTGTATCAAGAAGTGACAAAAACTTTCTTTACAAACTACAAACTGACAATAACTTTCTTTACAAACCAAAAAATAACAATAATTTTTTTTAAAACAAACTTACCATATTTTTGTTGCGAAGTACTACATATACCACTAGACAGTTCCCAATAACTCCGATGATCATTAGACAAAAGAAAACCCCAACAAACCCATATTCAATTGGAGTTGGCCTTAGGAAATCGGCCACAAACTCTATATAATCATTGTCACTGAGATTCTGAAAAAAGTCGTCTTCATCTGTAGTTGTAGCTTCTTCCATCGTGGCATTTGATGTGGTTGGCAGAAGGGTTGTCATCACTGACATGGTGGAAACAACTGAAATGTAAAATTATAAAATGTTTGAAATTCAGTTAAATGTGTCATTTATTGGTAAAGTAGGACTAGGGCTAAAGCTAGGGGTAGAGTTAGTTCAAAATGTCAGCTATTTTTCTAGAATTAAAAAAAAAGTTTTGGTTTCGGATTAAACCGTTCAAAGCAAAGCACCGGACATTCCATGACAGACTAGCTTCCGCAGCCAAAGAATTCCTCATTGCTGGGACAAAAAACAATCTTACACTAGTATTAAAAATAGATTTGTCACAGATTTAAAACGTTTACTACGCCGAATATTAATATTAGGCGTACTTAAACTTTTTGCACTACTTTAGACATAAATTGGCGTTTTGGGCATAAAAAACACCGTGCCCTACCCTACTTTGCCCTACCTTACTTTACCCTACCCTACCCTACCCTACCCTACCCTACCCTACCCTACCCTACCCTACCCTACCCTACCCTACCCTACCCTACCCTACCTTACCCTGTTCTGTCTTGTATTGGCTTACCTTTTCCAATTTTACTTTGCTCTACCTTACCTAAGGCTTGAAAGTTCAAAATTTTTAAAACTAAACAAACCGAAATTCAGTAGTTTATAAAATGGACCAGCATTAGCTCACCTGAATTGGCATAATCGAGAAGAGTGCCATTTTGGCCGTGGAGCGCCATAACGACTAATCGTATGTGTCGGATATGATGACACAAACTCAAGCCAAACACACAAAACGAAAAGACTTAATTGGCTTCAATTTTCAGGCCCTTAATGATGACACCCTACTACCGTAATAGCCGGATGTAAACTGAGAATATTTTGGCTTCGAGCCGCTGAAGCTGTCTACAAGAATTTAAAAATGACTTTAAACTTAATTTTTAATAAATTTTGATTTAAATGTTTAAAATCGTTATAAAAAAAGTTGACAATACGAAAAATACAAAAAAATATAAAAAATTCAATTTTTTAAAGCAATATCTACCAATAAAACCATGTTGTAATAGTAGATAAAATTAACTTTTCAGACCACAGTACTCTAAAATGCCCTTGGTTTTAAATTTCATACCTCTTTTAATTCAAAATCTACCCCAAACAAAAAAAATTTAAAGAAGAACTGCCCAAGACCGGAATCGAACCGATGTCGCCACGGCCACAACGTGGAGTACTAACCACTATACTACTTGGGCCGGCAGCTCATCAAACAAACTTCGGAGAAGATTCAGAGGCTTCTTTTTTTGCTATACAATGTTCTACATGTCATTAATTTTTCGCAATAATTTCTTATTAATATTGGGATCATCATCTTTACGCTATATTTCTTCAGTTCATCCTACGTCAATTTAAAAGGTAGCCCAGCTCTAGCCCTATCCTTAGACTGAGCCTTAGATCTAGCCCTAACTCTATTCCTATCCCTAGTTTTTGAATAAGTCTTAAACTAATTATCAGACTGAGACAGACTATGACTTCCTTAGCCTTAGCTTTAATCCTTGATCTAGGTCTAAATATAGCCATAGCCTTAACCCTAGTCTAAGTTTTAGTTTGAGCTTTAAACTGAACCTTGACAAAGACTATCTACCATAACATTATTAAAAGTATTAACAACCCAATGATAACCCAAGTACGTAATAAGTACAATTGTTAGTACTTAAAAAAATATAACAGAGCATAAGCTAGATAAGTATATTATAAGTGCAAAACTAGTTTATATTGTATGCTTTAACGTATGTATACTTTTCTTTGCGTGTTAAGATTAGTGACATTACTAAAAAAGGCTACTATAATGTATTATATGAATGTGTACGTTAGTGCAAATATTATATGTAAAACACGAATACAGTGTTTACTATTGCAAATATAATATAAAAGGGTAATGACATCTCTTAATTAATAGGTTTTGTAATATGTATGAACAACTGTTTATTTAAATTATAGTAGGCAAGGCTTTTGTAACAAAATTTAACTATTGATTGAGAAGGAAGGTAAAGAAAAATATAAAGTTTAATGATTTCTCTTGTTACTTTCTTTATTTTTCACCTTATAACCACTAAATTATTAGCCTCATAGTCTACCGTTATATCCAACCAAAAAGCGTCAAGTCTTTTACCAGACCGAGTAAAGTCTTTTTCTTCATTTTTATTTTTTACGGCCTGAAAAAGCCATTTGACTTTGATTGTTTTTGTATATAATTCAATAGGGAATCTACGACATTTTTTACTAATCTCAAGATCAAAAGACATTCTTTCTAATTTCTAATCTGAATATCGAACTAACAAACAATGGCAGTGGAAGATGTTGAGCCCACTGAAAGCAATGTTGTTGTGTTACCTCCATCAGAACCGTTAAAGGAACTTCATACCACTTTGAGAAATAAGTAAGTTTTTATATTTTATTAGATTTTTGCTTTTAGGGCTTTAAAATAGCAATAAAAGGCTTAAAATGGCGATGAAAGTTTTGTTTGAGCTGAAAACAAGGTGTTACATGAAAAACCTTGTTATAGATATCAAATGAGTGGTTTTTGGTAAACTTTATTGCTAAAACGATACAAAGGGGGCTGTTATTATTGTCTACAGAGAAGATTTGCCCCTCGTTTTTATTGCTTATGGCAGTTGATTTTATTCTGTATATAAGTCTACCATAATATTTACGAAGTTCATATTCAAATGTCCTTTTACTTCAACCCACAATACTCTTTTATATAACTTTATAAATTTTAGAGACACAGATCATTCTGATTTTGTATTTTCGGCCGATCGCCTAATGAGACTAGTGCTGGAGGTAGGGCTGAACAGATTACCTTATTATCCTTGCCAAATTACCACGCCCACTGGACATTCCTATGAAGGGATACAATTTGCTCATGGAAATTGTGGTGTTTCCGTTTGTAGAAGTGGCGAAGCGATGGAACAGGCCTTGAGGCAATGTTGTCGGTAAGCTTTGATACATTAAGGCCGGGAAATTTTAAATTTGAATATTTTAAAGTAAAATATCTTTATGTGGAGCAGAGGTACCGAGTTGACGTTTTAATTACGTGTTTTTCTAATTTCATTTAAAATTAGTATATCTGTCAAATTTTGTCAAAATTATGATAAAAGTCACATCATTAAGTACCTACAATAATATATCCAATATTTCTTGTCAGATCAATTCGAATTGGTAAAATTTTAATCAGCGACAATCAAAGAATATTATATACAAGATTCATGGGCGATATTCATCGAAGACGAGTGCTATTACTGTACCCAGTACTTAGTACTGGCGTCACCGTGCTTAATGCCATTTTAATGCTCGTGAAGACTTCAAAAGTCCGGGAAGACCACATCTTTTTGATCACGTTGTTTGCTAGACACAAATGTAAGCTTTTGTATTTTGGAGGATATTTTACTCTTATTATCCGTGTTCGTATACGGCTAGGTGTATATACCTACATAACGTATCCTTATCTTTTAAAGATGAGAAAGAATTAAAAAATAAAAGATAAAAGGTGATTTTAAAAACCTTTTTTTACAGGTATTGAAGAGATTTCTAAGCGATACCCAAAAGTTACCATTGTGACCAGCGAAATATGTGAAAACGTACCATCGTATTTCACCACCAAATACTTTGGAACAGATTAAACCTAATCAAGAATAGAACTCATACAACTTTCAAACTTCACTTTTCATATCTAACCCTTTCACATTCAGCTATAACTCGCATAATTAGAGCTTTTTCATAATAAATGTCTACTACAATATTGAAAACGGGGTATTATTGGAAGAGTAAATTATTTTTTAAATAATTTACAAATTATATTATTTTTCAACTTTTAAACGTGAAATAAGCTATTATTACAACTGTTTTTATTGGTAAATGATAGCTTTTTTCAATGGTGGAAAAGTTGACTCAAAAAAGGAAAACTTGACGCATTTTGAGAAAATAATATTTTTCTAAAAAGTTTGGTGAAATACGCGTCATTTGCCGTTTTATAACAATATTAGTTACCTTACAAACTCAAAATTTGTTTATTAAAATAGTTTTTTTTTATTTTTTGTTAATATCGATTAAACCTTACTTAAAATTGATGTTGTTTTAGATGAGCCGAGGTGGAAAGGGTGGACAAAGTGTATCTGGTGTTCGGGCCATTGCCAATGCTTTGGGCCTTCAACGCCACGAAATTGGAGCATACACACAGACGAAAAAGGAGCCACCACCGTTGTTTCCGGTAAGTTTTTCTGAATTTTGGTTGTTTTTGGTTTTTAGGCACGTGTGTTATGAATAATGTGCGACAGTTAGGGAAGACCTGGTGTTTTACTTGAAATTGTCAGTACTGCGACTTTGTTTGTTTTTTGACGTTTTTAGTTTAAAAAGGTTGTGTAAGACAAGAAAATGAGTGTAAGGCGGCTAGATAATCATCTAGATGTCTACCTTAACATTGTTTTTAATAATACAGCTTGTTTAGGCTTCAAAAACGTCCGAAAATGCATTTTTATTCAAAATTTTTTATTTTGAAATGTTTAAAATATAATCAAAAAGTTAAGTTAAGATGTAAAAAAGTCTTTGAAAAACATAAAGACCAATTTATCTCTACAACAACAAAAACTAATGTAAAATTCCAGCCATTGTCTCGACATGTTCGTGAACTTCCAGCCAGCCGAGAACTATCATATATGACCGCGTTAAAAGAAGAACTACTAGAACGATTCCACGAGTCCGCCGTATATCAACCAAAACGGGCTAGCAAAGATGTATATAGGTATACAGACAAGTATAGGAAAGTGAGGAAAGAAGCTTTTGAGCCGATTTTTTCTCGAGTACCAGCAGAATTGAATTGGGAATCAACAAGTACAGTAAGGACAGTGAAGAAGAGGAAATTAGACGATAAAATAGTGGCAGAAAAGCTGGCCAAATTGGAGGAGAAAGAAAAAGTGGTTGTTGAACATGTAAGTTAATATTATTGATGTTTTGTGGTTTCTAGGGGTTTTTGAAGGAAATTATATGGGTATAGTGTTGTTGGAAAAAGATAAAATTATATTATACATCTGTGTCTATTTAATTTTAAAAAAATGTTGAAAGGTCACAGTCCAATTACTGTAACTTTGAAGTTTTTCTGAATACCGAAAAACTGATTTTACCGAAGTTGACGAAGATCATCTTCTGCTATCACGAAAAATTTTAAATTATTAACTACCTTCTGACGATAGTTATGGCGAAAACAATTTATGACCAGAACTTTTCTTGAACAATATTGATGTTACAGTAATTTTCATGAAACAGTTAATCTTCTAAATTTTTCAGTTTCAGGAAGAAGAGCCGAAGGAAGAAGAGGAGGAAGAAGAAGATTTTGAGAAGAAGGATGATGATGAAGACTCAATATCAGATGATGACTATCTAGAGGAAGAGAATGATTATGTCAACAATTACTTTGACAACGGCGAGGGCGATGCTTCCGATGACAATTTGGATGAGAACGATGCTTATTGAACTTGAAATTTGTTATATTTTTGTTGAGTTTATTTTTGGGTATAAAATTTTCAAAATTTTTGAAAAAAAATTTTTTTTTGGTACTAAAAAGGCTTTTTTTATATAATGGTACTGTTAATTCAATTTTTGTTTTTTTTTCGAAAAATAGAAGGTTTTTGGGTTGAATTTAGAATTTTCATGAGGTTGTTTGACTAAAAAAATACTTTTGAACTGATAAAAGCTTCATTTTTGTACTCGACCGATAATGACCGGTCAATGTTTGAATGGATTTGAGACGCTTAGCCCCTACTTTCATTACTATTTATCAGCTATCATTGCGTTTTGTGCTGGAATTGTTGTTATAATTGCATACACGGTACTGGAATGCCGGAGGAAGAAGGTAAGTGTTCATCTTTTACCTTTACTTTCTATAACATGGCTTAAAGAGATGAGGTTCATGGATGATATTAAGTCAGATTTAAGGGTTTTTCTAAAATAAGTTTCTAGAGTTACTGTAAAATGAGATTCAGGCCATATTATAGTTGATTTTTAATATAATGATGGTGAAAAAGGAAGGTTATTCCGTATTTTACATTCGGTTATAGACATTTTACGGCGTAGAAGACAAGATGGAAGAGGAGGAGTTGTTGAGAGAGCGAGAGAAGAGCATCAAGAACAGGCCGACCGAGATGAAGATCGTACGTTCGCGAGAAGCTGAAGACGCGTCAAGTAATGGGATCCGGGTCCTAGTCAAGGCCAAGAAACGTTCTCATCGAGGCTCATTGATTCGAGAGTAAGTCTTTTTTTATTTAAAGAGAAAGGTTTTGATTATTCGATTAAGCCTAAAAAGAGAAATTTGGCTTTGAAAGGGGAATTTTAGGCTTAAAACCTTGATTTGAAGCCTAAAACAAGGTCTTTTGAACAAAAAATCTCTTTAAAGCCCTAAAAGTATGAATTTTTAAATTTTAAAAATAATAAAGTAAACTTAAACTTTCAGCTACACCCCCGCCTTTGCTCCAACCCCCCTAATCGACTCGTATATGCGACGATCTACTCGACATGGCAGCCCCGACCTCAAAATGTTGCAAGGCTACTCTCGCGAAGCCACCTCACGACCACAAGGATCGGAAAACGCCAAAACTACAGTCAAATCGAAGCCAGCCCGACCCCTCTCGCAGAACGCCACATCCAAAGGCCGTGCCAAGTTCTCCAAGGAACATACGACCGGTCGAATGGGACCAGCACCAGCTTCCGTCGACTCGCCTAAAACGAATTTGCTCAAGTCAGACAAGAAGAAGGAAACTACAAAGGCAACACAGTCACAAAAACTGGATTAATAATGTTGTGAAGGATAATAAATTAATGTTTTTAGCAGTTGCACTGTTTTTGTGGTTTTTGCTGGAGACACAGGCGACCTACTATAATATCGCTACGAAAGGGTTTGTAACTAAATAAGTTGTTGAGGATTTGAAAGATTTAAAGGCGATTTTTTAAAATTAAAATTAGTTTTCATATTTAAAAATCATGTTTATTTCACCAGCATTGGTTTCGAGGTAAATATTGTGAAATTGCAGCCTGCAGTTCGTCGGGCGCAGCTGTCTATTATTAAATTGTATTTTTGTTTTTGAACTTGTTTGAATTTCTTTTCCTCCGGATTTTGGACGTGTGTTTGACTGATTTTACAAAGTTTTGAATGAATAATGTATTTTATATTATGTTTTAATAATTTTGAACAAAATTTCGTTTATTCGATTGAAGTTCGCGTAAGAATTTGGGACAGGAGGTTGTGTCGTCTAAAACAAGATTTTTGATGTTATATTGCGCATTTTGGATTCGCAAAACTGTTGAAAGCTGTAAAATAATGGATTGAATGTTTTAGAATAAATAAAGCTCATTTAATCACGTCGAAAAATTAGTTTTAGCATGAGAAGTACATATTCACCTTGGTGAAAGAGTCCGAAACTGAAGAACGGCGAACATTGGATAAGATAATTTGAAATAAAGCAAAATTTGATAAGTAAGTTGACTTTATTTTATTTTCTTTTGGTTTTTAGGCAAGTTTCAACGTTTAAATAAAGGGCTTGGCGCAAAAAGGATGGATAATATAATTTTTGATAATGTTTTGCGGTTTGAGGAAATATTCAGCTTTTGAGCAATGAGACATTGAAATGTAGAATATTGGGTGAACTTTGATCTAGAAACGGTGAAATTTGAATAAAATTTGGAAATTTTGTTTGAATTTTTTGAAATTTGAATAAGCCAGCCCTATAAAAGACGCAGATTTTCGAAAAATGGCTCATTTCCTTAGTTTCGAGTTTTGGGTGTGGTGATCATGGACTTCTTGAAGGTGTACACAGCAATCAGCACGTTGTCCCTTCTAGCAGTGGACGACAGAACCGAGTTATGCGTAGACTTCTACGCATTCAAGGTAGAGAACAAAAATGCTGTCGCTTCGAAGTACGTCCAATGCCCGGGTAATTCCACTGTCGAGGCTGATTTCGCGTAAGTTTTTTTCTCTTCAGTACCTTGATGGTTGAGTACGTTTATGTTTGCTACAGTAATGTTTTTTGTCGTTTTTATTAGTGAATTTGATTTTTTCAGCAAGTACAAGCTGGATTCAACAATCAAGTATACGAAGCATATGATTGTGCCTCAAAGTACTAACGTTGACACAGTCCTCCACGTTGGGGAGTACGAGGGGCGGTAAGTATAGTTGCGTGAATAATTTTCAAAATTTATATTTTTGCTATAAAAATAATTAATTTTCTTATTTTAGGCCCCCACAAGTAGGATTTTGGTTGGCACCTAACGGACGTGACCCAAAGTTTTTGACTGCCAAGGCAAAACGGGATGACTTAGTTCAAGTCAGTTCATCTTCGGGTTACGTGTTCGGCCAGGGGTGCACTTATCTGGGTTCTTTTTATTTTCCAATTAAGAATCCTAATTCACTTAAATTGACGAATTTCGACTCTCCGAAGATTTGCGGTATGACATTCGGCCACACTTCAGAAGGTCTGATTTGGGAAGCACAGGGCCAATGTCTGAAGCTGGTTGTTGAAGGAAAACTTCCTAGTATGAAGGCAGAGCCCTGCCCGACGGTGGACAAAGTTATGTTTACCATGGTAAGATTTATATTTTTTCAAATTTAAAAATTATTTTTGTTTTTTGAACCTCTACAGTAAGATAGATACAAGGTGGAGTTATATTCTGGGTAGAAATTGAAAAATTTAGAATTTTAGACGGCTTTGAAGAACCGCGACTCCTCGACTCAAGGCGACCTCACTGACGCTCAACTCGACACAACCTTGGCACTCTTGTATCTAAAGTAAGTTGACGGTTACTGTAACTTCATCTATTGATCTTGGCTTTTCGAAATTTACATAAGACCTTATCTTACTTTATGTTGGGCTTATGTTTTGTAATTGTTGTACGAAATTTGATAAAATGGAAATGGTTTTAGCTGGAATTTAATATTTTTCCAATTTTAGAGAGAAGCCACTGACTACAACTACTGAGCTTGAGGAGGAAACTACTACCGAAGTCAATGCTACTACCCAAGTGGTTGACATTGTTACCGAGTCCGAGTGAGTTTAGTATGAGGTTCTGGAAAATTTTTGAGGCTAATGAAGAATTGTTTTTAGTTATATGTTGTCAATTCTCACAATGTGAAGTTATTCACACTTTTTTTTAAAATTAAGTCTCAAAAACTATACCTAGAGTTTCTAAACTCATTTTTAAGCACAGTTTTACCACACCTTATTTCAGCAGTTCACTCCCCCTTTGGCAAATCGGTTTGATTATTGGTATTGTCCTCGCAGTGCTGCTTCTTGTCCTAGCTGGAGTCTACTGCTACTGCAGGAAGAAGGGTCAGAATACTCCGCCAGGATCAGGAACGCCAAGTGACACGCCAGTTGCCGAGACGCCGAACGCAGAGGACAAGGCTTCAAAGAAGGAAAGAAAGACCAATTCCAAGTCGTCCAGTTCGAAACTCTCTAACTCCAAGTCTTCCAATCCCAAGAAGTCCAAGTCCATGAAGTCCAAACCTAAAAAGGTCTTTTTGATTTACCTCAATGAAAGTAATGCAAATAAATCTGGTCAATCTTAATGTTTGTACAGGAAAGAAGTTTGATCTCCAATGTTATTTATTTTATTTGTATTTTACACATAGTCCAAATTCGAAAACTAAAATGGCTAGTCGGTGACAGTTTCACCGAAGAGCTAGTCATGATAATATGATTTTCTATCGCCTTCTAAAAAGAATAAAATTTGGATTTTATTTTTGATAGTTTGATGGTCTAAAGCGATGTTATATTTTGTTACTATCCTGTATACATTCGAGCGTATAAAAGGGCATTGCATGCTGCACTGGGAAAACAAGGGCGCAGTTGTTTTTGATCAAATTATGATTTGGCTTTGAAGATCTGTTTTGATTACAATTCCTCTCGCGGGCTCTTGTTTTTCCCCAAAATTTTGTTTTTAATTTATGAAACTAATTTGGATATTTAATTTTAGGCTTAATTTTAATAGTTTTGACGGTTTTTCAAGCAACTAATCGTGATATGATTTCTGGTTTGGCGGGATGTTGCGCGACACTGGTAGTTCACGACCTTGCATAACCTTTATTTTGATGTGGTTGTTCATTTTCAATGTTTCAGATTAAAGAGATTGCTCTGGAAACGAAAGATCTTGGTGGTATGGCTGGAAGAACACCTTCAACTGCCAGGATTCTGGAGAAGCTGGGAGAAAGTGGACAGAACCCACTGGATGAGAGCGCTGATGGTTTGTTATACGTCTGATTAGACGGACTACAAGAATGACATGTAAGTTTTACCGCAGCTTTGTATTTTCTGTTTTTAGGTCTGTTTGAGGATGTTAATCTGCTTTGGACGTAAGATGTGGAAGAAAGTGGACAGAACAGGTCAGACGTGCGTGTATGGTCCGTCAGCTACGATCGACTAGAAGAAATTCAAGCTGGGTTAAACGTAAGTTAGTTTTTTTGCTTTGGTTTTTCTGTTTTTAGGTCTATTTGGACTATTTGTTCTGATTTTGACATCAGAACCAAGGATAATATACTTTTGTTAATTTTGACGTTTTTCAGAGAAACTATTTGGATTGTTTTCTAAAACGAGTTGTGCGAGACCATGGACTTTGTTATTAGCTACAAAACAGGACCAGAAGAGCGCATAGAAGTTCAGAACCAATCGTCTGTAATCTTCTACTTGGTGGCATAGATGGATCGATGGACATTGGGTGTTTGATGGAGTTCGTGGCTATTGTAAGTTGGCTTCATTATGAATGTTATGATTATTGAGGTTTCACAGTTATGTAAGACATATCTAAACTTTTTAATACGGCTTTTGAATGATATTATTTGCGAATCTTGGATGTCATGGATAATATCGTAATTTTGAAGGTAAAAGTTTTTTATCGGAAAAGACATGCTTTCATGATAATTTTTGTTGTATTTAATAATTTTTGAACGAAAAATGTATGGTTTTGTGATTTTTGTGGTTGAGATATTATCATAGGCATCTAGCGTCCATGGATAACTTCTGCTATATTATTAGTGAATACTGGTTGTAGAAGCGTTTTTAGTTCTTTCTTTTTGGTACCTGAGATTGAAAGTGGAGTTTTTAAGTTTATAATAATGTTTTTATCGTTAAAATTATCAGGTGGATCATGGATAACATTCTAAATCTCTTACTTTTTATTATCGAACTTTGAATAATGTTATCGTTTGTTTTAGAAGCATCCCCGGTCCCAATTCAATGTTCAAAAAGCCACGGATCCATCGAGTTCCAATGGGAGACCCAGAACCTTGCCAAACCATAGACAACATCAGATGGAACCATGACCAAGGTGACGTTAGATGAAACCAGCCCGTAATCTAAAGGGCATGAAGAAAGAAGCGTAATCTATCATAATGTTTGTAATATTTATTGTATTGTGCGCGTTATTACCTATTTGTCGCGTTGTTAGGTGGGTCTCTGTACCGTGCTCCCTTCTGATGGATTCGGTTCCTAGCTAGGTTAGGAGGAGGTCCAAGAGCAAGGTGTGGACGACAGTCTGCTGGCAAGTTACAGATGGTCATTACTTTTGAATTTTAAAAGTTTTGACTTGACTAAATTTAATTTGGCTAAAACTTGATTTTTTGGAAGTTTAGCTAAATTGCCATTTTAAAATGGTAAAAGATTGTTTTTGGATTCTGAAAAGCGGATTTTCAATCGTTTAAAACTTTGGATTGCTGTTTTTGATTAAAATTGAAATGCATTTTTGGAAGTAAAAGGTAACTTTGAAGGGTAATTTGGCTTCAGACCCTGTTAGACCTTCTTGCACAGTGCCTGGTATACTCTGACTGGCACTCTCGGCTGAAGACCGGTTGAAAACTGGATGGAAGGTTGATCCTAGAAGATTTCGGACAAAAACTTTGTCTTTAATATTTGAAAAAACGCTCTTTATAGAAACTGTTTACGAAAGACTCTTCTGTTTCGAAAACTTGTAAACTTTTAGTTTTTTTTCAATTTTAAAACATTTTTTCGGTAAGTTTGTTTTTTGTCATTGGTAAGCTTTTTTTGGCCCAAACTTCAACGTTCTGTCCATTTTTTGACTGGTTTTTGGTTGGATTTGCTTGATCTTTGTCCCTGCTGGGTACGCCTTGGATGTTGTCCTAACTGTTCGCGAAGTCAGGGGTTAGCTCGGTGGTCAGAGACTTCACCTTAGGGGAGGGGATTTATTCCCTCTCCGTTGGGTGGACTGAGACCCGCTTGTTCGGCATCCACCTCCAGAATACGGGGCCATGCCCAATTTTCCTCTGAATGAATAAAATTGATTATGCCTGCGTATTGTTTATTCGAATAATCTCCCCCTTTATTTTTCTTGGAGGGTGATGAAGTCCCCCCTCCAAGGGGGGAAGGAGGTGAGAGTACCTCCTCCCCCAAGGTGAAGTCTCTGATCACCGAGCTAGCTCCTGACTTCGCGAACAGTTAGGACAACATCCAAAGCGTACCTGGAAGGGACGAAGATCAAGCAAGTCCAACCAAAAACAGTCAAAAAATGGACAGAACGTTGAAGTTTGGGCCAAAAAAAGCTTTCCAATGACAAAAATCAAAATTTGGAGCCGAAAAAAATAACGTTTTAAAAGTGGAAGCAACAAAAGTTGATAAAAGAACTAAATTTTAGGTTTTTGAAAGTTTTATAACAAACTTTCAAAGCGTTTCTTTCAAATTTTAAGGGCAAACGTGTCCGAAATCTTCTAAGATTAGCATTCCATACAATTTTCGACCAGTCTTTGGCCGAAAGTGCCAGTCAGAGTATACCAGGCACTGTGCAAGGAGGTCAGACAAGATCTGAAGGCAAATTACCCTTCAAAGTTACCTTTTTCTACCAAAAATTCATTTCAATTTTAATCAGAAACGGTAATTCAAAGTTTTAAAAAAATCAAAAACAGATTTTCAGCATCCAAAAACAATCTTTTACCATTTTAAAATGGCAATTTAGCTAAACTTCCAAAAAATCAATTTTTAGCCAAATTAAATTTAGTCAAGTCAAAACTTTTAAAATTCAAAAGTAATGACCATCTGTAACTTGCCAGCAGACCTGTCGTCCCCACCTTGCTCTTGGACCTCCTCCTAACCTAGCTAGGAACCGAATCCATCAGAAGGGAGCACGGTACAGAGACCCACCTAACAACGCGACAAATAGGTAATAACGCGCACAATACAATAAATATTACAAACATTATGATAGATTACAGTTCTTTCTTCATGCCCTTTAGATTACGGGCTGGTTTCATCTAAGGTCACCTTGGTCATAGTCCATCTGATGTTGCCTATGATTTGGCGAGGTTCTGGATCTCCCATTGGAACTCGATGGGTCTGAAGCTTCTTGAAATTTCAAATGGAGCCGGAGAAGCTTCTAAAAAAAACGATAACATTATTCAAAGTTCGATAATAAAAAGTAAGAGATTTAGAATGTTATCCATGATCCACCTGATAATTTTAACGACAAAAACATTATTATAAACTTAAAAACTCCACTTTCAATCTCAGGTACCAAAAAGAAAGAACTAAAAACGCTTCTACAACCAGTATTCACTAATAATATAGCAGAAGTCCTTCAACCTATTATCCATAGATGCTAGATGCCTATGATAATATCTCAACCACAAAAATCACAAAACCATACATTTTTCGTTCAAAAATTATTAAATACAACAAAAATTATCATGAAAGCATGTCTTTTCCGATAAGAAACTTTTACCTTCAAAATTACGATATTATCCATGACATCCAAGATTCGCAAATAATATCATACAAAAGCCGTATTAAAAAGTTTAGGTATGTCTTACATAACTGTGAAACCTTAATAATCATAACATTGACAATAAAACCAACTTACAATAGCTACCAACTCTATCAAAAGGCCATTTTCAATCGATCCATCTATGCCTCCAAGTAGAAGATTACAGACGATTGGTTCTGAACTTCTATGCGCTCTTCTGTTCCTGATTTGCAGCTAATAACAACGTCCATGGTCTTGCACAACTCGTTTTAAAAGACAATCCAGACAGCTTCACTGAAAAACATCAAAGTTAACAAAAGTATATTATCCTTGGTCCTGATGCCAAAACCAGAAGAAAATCCTTTAACTAGACCTAAAAACAGAAAAACCAAAGCAAAAAACTAACTTACGTTTAACCCAGCTTTAATTTCTTCTAGTCGATTGTAGCTGACGGCACATACACGCACATCTGGTTTGTTCTGTCCACTTTCTTCTACATCTGATGCCCAGATCAGTTTAACATCATCAAATTAACCTAAAAACAGAAAATACAAATCAGTGATCAAACTTACATGCAAATATTGTAATCCGCTTAATCAATCGTATAACAAAACATCAGCGATCTTATCCTGCCTATTCCGCCACTTTCTCCCAGCTTCTCCAGAATCCTGGCAGTTGAAGGTGTTCTTCCAGCCATACCACCAAGATCTTTCGTTTCCAAAGCAGTTTCTTTAACCTAAAACATTGAAAATAGACAACTACATCAAAATAAAGTTTACGCAAGGTCGTAAACTACCCATTTCGCGCAATATCACGTCGTAAAACTTATTTTAGTGATCAAAATCAGCTATATCCCGATTAGTTGCTTTCGAAACTACTAAAATTAAGCCTAAAATTAAATATTCAAATTAGTTTCATAAATTAAAAACAAAATTTTGGAGAAAAACAAGAGCCCGCGAGAGGAATTGTAATCAAAACAGATCTTCAAAGCGAAATCATAATCCGATCAAAAACAACTGCGCCCTTGTTTAATGCAGCATGCTGTGTCGTGTTATACGCTGTAATGTATACAAACCAGTAATAAAAAATACAGTATTTCAACGCTTCTGACAAACAAAGATGCCATTTCTAACAAGGAAACAAGTAAAATTTTCCTAAAAATCCTTAAAATGACCTGAACAAAACACTTGAGAGCCGTCCAGTGTCTCGCCAGTTAACAAAGGAAACACAATTTTAGGTAATAAAAGTTATATTTTTAAAAAAGCAAAACAACATTAACAATTGCCGTTTTATGCTCTTTTAGATGACATAAACAGCTTTATTCATAGTTCATCAAAATTGACTTAAATTTACGTTTAAAAATGCCCTACTTTTTGTTAGCAAAATGCAATAAAATGCCGACATTTTTCAGTAACACGGAAGTTAGACCAACATTTTCTAGGATTCCAAACGTGATTTAGAATTTACATTTTATGCCCTTTCGAATGGTATACACTACATTATTTGCAGTTTCTGAAAAGCGACCGAAAATTCGCATTTAAATGCTTTGTTAAAACTTACAAGCGTATCAATATTAGGTTTTTCAAATACTTCTGGGCGCCTAAACCCGAAAATTTTTTTGAGAGGGGCACAAAATTATTTGAACAACCTAACAGACTCTATCACTTTGTTTAGCAAACAGCTCAAGAATATGGGAACACAACCGTATTTTACTATTATTGTACATTATATTTGTCGTAAATAATATTACAGTATTTTTTTCATAAAAAAGTCAAAATGTAATAAAGCGATAAATTATCAAGTCAAAATTATAAAAAAATTCAAAATTTTAAAATACAAAATTTCGAAAAAATTAAAAATTTCGAAATTCAAAAATAAAAACTTTTTAAATTTCGAAAAAAATTATTTTTTCTTTTTGAAAACACCGCCCTTCTTCTTCATGGACTTGTTCTTCTCTTCGGCTTCTTTTCGCTTTTTGGCCGATGGCTCGGAAGTTTTTGACCCCATCGAAGTGAAGAAAGAGTCGATTCGAACTTGTTGAGAGGTTTCCCTGGTCTTCTTTAGTCTCTCCAATGCACTTTTGATTCGGTCTTCGCTGAAATTTTTAAAAATTATTTTAGGTAACAAAGTTTATTATTAAATCTACTTAAATATAGGTAAAACTCCCTTCTAGCCTTATTTAGAGAGGTGTTATATAAATTACCCTCTCCACCATCTAATTATGTACAAAACCTACTTGAATTGATTTTCCGTACACATGATTTGAAGTATTTCGTCTTGATTCGGCTCTTTCCAAACGAAATTAAAGTTGTCCCCATCAGCAACTTCTGGATTCCTGAATAACTCACGAGCTTCGGCAAATTTCCAGTTTTCTGGTGGTGGATATTTCTAAAATTTAAACAAATTTAATGAAAAACACTATTCTCCATCTCTTTTTACCTTTGTATCAAGATTTTCCAACAAATTCTCAATAGTTCCATATTGTTTTATGTATTCGAATGCCTTCTTCGGGCCGATTCCTCTGATCGATGGGCAATAATCACATCCTAACAAGATACACAAGTCGATGAATTGCTCGTTTGTTATCTCCAGTTGCTCTAGAATCCTCGGTAAATTGTATTCCTAAAAATATAATATTAAACTCAAAAATACCTTTTAAAATCAAGAAATAAATTATGTTATCCTACCTTGATAGGTATCTTCTTAGCCTCACTGAAAGTCAAATGCCTTAGCAAAACAGTCGAGCCGAACGTCAAAGCATCCATATCCTCTGTCGCAGTACCATAAACCTTGTTTTTCTTCACCAACTCAGCACATTGAGCTTCGGCTTCGCAAGGCGCTTCAACTACAGGTACTCCCATGGCTCTAAGCAGACGTTTCACTTGTTCATTCTGCTCTTTTGTCACTTTTACCAATCGTCTTTCGAACTTCTCAATCATCTCTGCATCACCCTTCTCCATGGCTTCGTCCAACAACTTCTGGGCTTCGTCACGACGTTCGGTACGCTTCTCCAGTTCACCTGACTTCATCTCCGGCGGCTTACCATCAAATACGTAAACTGGCTTTAGTCCATTCTCCATCATCCGAATTGTACGATAAAACATGCCGTTTAAGTGTCTAAAAGATAAGTTATGTTAAAAGAACCCAAACTTTTTCTTTTTCGCTAAATAATCAACCAGCTTGATGTCTACTACAATATCAGCCAAAGTCAAATGTTTTACAGCTTGCTATGCTAATTATCTAGTTCGAAAAGTAAGGAAATATATTTTTTAAACTATATCAACACCAAAACATAGCTATTTTGGTCTTTAACATCACCAAAATCAAACTTTCTGTTGTCTATACCTGGATACCATAATATCCTTTCATTCTTCCATTTTTCAACCCTAAAAACCAAAAAAACAAAATAAAAAACTAACTTACGATGTAGTTTCACCCTTCTCATTAGTAAGTTGAGAGTTATCCTGTCGAATTGCAATCAAAAACTGATACAAACTCATGGAGGCATCCACAGCCACCTTTCGGCCCAAGAATGCCTTCATTTCCGCTTCTTTAGTCGCTTTTGAAGCATTCTCCGTAATTACCTTGTTGAGATCCTTTATTCCCATAATTCAGTTAGTATATACTGGTTAATTTATACAGAATTTAGCTGGAAAGATAGAAATTATGTTACACATCGACATTTGACAGCTTCATGAAAAACGACAAAAATTAATACAAAAAACCAATCGTAAATAAAAAACCTTTGTCCATACAACAGGTTAAAAAATATATCAACATTTTAAAATATTTTATCATCAAGAAAACGTTGATAAAATAAAGAAAATTAACGTTATATTGTAGTAGTCTATTTACCACTTTGAAAGAATTAAAAACGCATAAAACCCATAGGAAAAATAGAAAATTCATTCTAATATGTATTTAAACCAAAAATGCCACTTTATTTATTTTATATTATCTAAAAAAGGTCTAAAACCTATCGCGCATAACAAAATTTTGCAAAATTATTTTTTCGCGCGCTTTTGTTATTGTGCCAAGTGTTGCTCCGTGTCTTGTTTGCGCTAACTGTTCCGTTTTGTCAATGTAAAACACATTGTTGTCTTACTTTGCCATAAAGTCGTACCAAAGAAATCAAAAATAAGGTTTTAAATTACATATATTTATATAAAATAAGTCAAGTTTAGTTAATGACACATTTTATCAGAGTTTCCTTTTATCAAACAGTGCCAAGTTTAATTAATCATAACTCGCTGCAAACTGATTTTTCTTCTTAACAAAACATACCAACATTTAGAGCAAAATACGCTTTATGTTACTGCCAAGCGAAATTTTTTACCATGGCAAGGTACGATAGTTATGGTGTGTTGAAGAGAGTTCACTCGTGTCACAGGCAGCAAATCAAAACGTGCCAACCTTGATCAATCATAAATTGCTTTAAAGCAACGCCTCCTTACAGAAAACCATATCATAACGTAAAACAAAGTCTACTTAATAAAACAAGCAAACAAATTGTTTTGCTCTCGTAAGATACAATAGTTATTATAGGTTGAAGAACATTGAGTAATGTTTCCATTGAAAATCAAGGTATGCCAACTTTATTTGGTTATAACTTGCTTCAAAAAGACGCCTGCTCTTATCAAAAAATACCATTATGTCGAGCAGAATACCCTTTATTATTTTGTGAGATAATTTATTTTACTATCACAAGATACGATAGTTATGATACGTTAAAGACTGTTGAGTAAGAAAAAACTTTTTCAAAAATAAAATTCAAAATTCTCTTGTTTCAATTCAAAATTACCGGTTCATATCCATAGAAAATAATAAATATTTGTTCTTTTACCATTTACTGTATCTAATAAATATTATTACCTAAAATTATAGCTAAAACAATGTATGTTCTATATAAAGAATTATAAGTTTTGATAGATATAAGCCATGTTGCCAAGTTTTGTCCCGTAGAAGTTATTTACAATTCTAATGATACTATAGTGTTACTATTGCCTTAGGCGATACCATTGCACGTTGTTTTCCAAGTCGGATATTTTCTGGCGCTGAATTTAAATTTTAATCGTTTTTTGAAAAAAATTTCAATTTTTCAAAGTTTTAACCCCCCCCACCCTCAAAAAAATAAAAAATTTTTATCCCTGCCTTAAGAACCTTAAAAAAATAAAAAAATCTAAATTCCCAAACTTCTTTCCCTATTTGTAAACAAAGTTATTACCATTTGCTGAATCTCCCTCTCTTTTCCCTTTAATTTGTCTTCCAGTAGCCTGAGGGCAGCATTGTCATGAATCGACCGGCGTTTCGCACTTTTAAAAGCGTTAAATTCAATTTCCAATACATTGTAGTCCTTCTTCGCTATCTCTAGCTCCTCCACAAGCTGCATGTTTGCTAGGCGAAGCTGAAAAAACGAAAAAATTTAAATTTTTAGAGAAATTTAGGCTTAAAAATGAAAAAAAGTGGTGTTGCTATAGAAAAATCATAGAATAGTTAAGTAAAGCCCTGTAGATGACAAAATCAAGCTTATTTTTAGCTTATTCTTAACTTATATATTCGTTTCAGCTCAAAATCAACGCAAAAAATAAAAGAAAAAACACAAAAACAAGCTTCTCAAGCCCAAAATCGATTAAAAACTAGCCAAAAATCACTTTATAATACCACAAATCCCTCTTTTTTAAACTCAAATACAAAAATATTACCTTATTTTGTACTTATCTATCCTTTTCAACTCAAAATCTACCCAAAAAAATGAAAGAAATTGTCAAAAAAGCAAGCTGCCCAAGACCGGAATCGAACCGATGTCGCCACGGCCACAACGTGGAGTACTAACCACTATACTACTTGGGCCGGCAGCTCATCAAACAAACTTCGGAGGGGATTCAGAGGGATCTCTTTTTGTTATACCTTGTTCTACATGTCATTAATTTATCGCAATAAATTTATATTAATATAGACGTCAAAGATTCACTAGAGACCTTTCATAACATATAGCAAACGTAGTAGAAAAGTTTAAGTACTGTAACTATACCGTACCCTACGATTCCTACCCTACTCTACCATACCCTACCATATCCTACTCTATCCTACCCTACAATACCCTACCCTACCCTACCCACTCGACCCTAATTAGCTACAACGCCCTGCCTTACCCAACCCTCCTGAATCACACCCCACTATTACCTACCTCTCTGACCTGCTCGACCAGTCGTTGTTCCTCTTCAATTGATCCAAAATCTTGAGAAGTGTTTGTCCAACGATGAATCGAATCTCTTGTAGGTACTGTAACATCGACAATCTCATCACGATACGCTACAGTACATTTAGCTCCAAAACCATGGGATGCTACAGTACCTTTTGTTGGTACAGTGCCTTTACTATGAGGTAATAAAGGTTTAGCTGGTGATTTTATTGGTGAGGACGGCTGAGATTTGGTTTGAATTTGAGTGGTCTGGACTGAAATCGACAAGGAATCTGGTTGAGAAGTCGAGGTTTGACGATGAATCTTTTGAACCAGGGATTGACGGTCCTGAAATACGGTTTCTTATTCCTTTTACTTTTTAAAATTACTATAGTTAAGCTAGAGGTACTGTAGAATTTTAGATAACACTATGGTAACACAAAAAAGTAAAATGAAGGTAAAAAACATAACCATAAGTAAAAATAAACGAGATAGTAAGATCATATTTAAGGTTAGGAATAGAATTGGAAGCAGAGACAAGAATAGTGGTAAGAGTAAAAGGTCAGGGTTGAGGTAGTAGTAAAGGTAGAGGTAGAAATGAAAGCAGGATTAGAGGTAGAAGTTAAAGTAGAAGTAAGAGTAGTGAAGGGGGTAGAAGTGGAAGCGAGGAAGGGTAAAGTGAAAAGTTAGGGTAGGGGTAGAAGTAGAGGACAGAAGTCAAAGCAAGAGTAAGGATAAGCGTAGAGATAGAAATGATAATAAAGGTAGGGGTAAAAGTCGGAGTAGAAGTCAAGTCAAGAGTAAGGGTAGGGGTAGGTAGAGTAAGGTAGGGTTGAGTAGGGTATGGTAGGGTAAGGTAGGGTAAAGTAAGTGAGAGTGGGGTAGGCTAGGCTATGGTAGGGTAGAGTACGGTAGGTTAAAGTAGGGGTAAGCGTAGAAGTCAGGGTACTGGGTAGGAATGAAGGTAGGGGTAGAAGTAGAGGTCAGAATAAAATGGTTAAAAATCTTACTGTAAACAATGTTCTTACCTTAGCCACAATTTCCAACCTCTCCGTAGTGGCCCTTACAGTATTCTGAAGTACCGTAATTTGTTTTTTCTGTTGTTCATCAACTACTTTCATTTCATTTATCCGTTTTCTGCCTTCTTCGACTTCTTTTTGTAGTCGATTCGTGGCTCCAACGTTAATACCGGTCGATTGTTTTAGTTTTTCAATTAGCTTGTCTCGCCGTTCCACACCGTTCTGCAGTTCTTTCAGCTTTGTTTGGAGTTTGGCGTATTTTTGGTCTAGGCTTTGGCGTTCTGCTTCTATTCGCTTTTTGTCTTCCCATAGCTTTACAGTATCCTGAAGGTACAAATGGTTAAAATACAGTATGTCACAGACTAATATTTTCAAAAATACAGTATCTTGAATGAACAAATACTCTGAGTTCAGTAGCCTAAGGGCTTACAAATTCAAATTACAGTAACCAAAAGGCTGGGTAGTCTAGGGTAGGGGTAAGGGTAAAGGATAGGGTAAAAGTAAAGGTAAAGACAGAGAAAAAATAAGAGTAGGAGTAGGAGTAGAGGTAGAAATAGAAGTCAAGGTAAAAGCACAGGTAAGAATAGAGGTACGGATAGAGTAAGGAAAAGAGATAAAGCGTAGCGGTAAGGGTAGAAATAGTGGTAGAAGTAGAGGCAAAAGTGATAGTAAGAGTAGAGGATAGGGGTATGATTAGAGACAGGGATAAGGGTAGGGGTAGGTAGGGGGTAGAAATAAAGGTAGGAGTAGAGTTACGGCAAGGTAGGATATGATAGGGTAGAGTAGAATAGGGTAGGGTAGAGTAAGGTAGGGTATAGTAGGGTAGTGTAATGTACGGTAGAGTAGAGTAGGGTAATATAGAATAGGATAAGATAGGGTAGTGTGGGTAGAGTAGGGTAGGGTATGATAGGGTAGGGTAGAATATGGTAGAGTTTAGTAGGGTAGGTAGGGTATAGTAGGTCAAGCAGGGTAGGATAGAGAAAGAGGTAAGATCAGCATTCTAACAATGTAATATATACCCCAAAATGTTACACTGCAGTAGCCTAATCCCCAAAAACACAAAAATACAGTACCCCACTTACAATAGAGCTCGTCTGCTTCTTGGCCTTCTTCTCCATCTCCTCGATCTTCCCCCTCTGTTCCTCGTTCGTCTTCTGTAGGTTGTTGACTTCACGTTTCAAACGTTCACAGTCCCTCCTGAACACGTTGACTTCAGCGTTCGGATCCGGATTCCGTTGACCGTGAAATCGGTACCGTTCCTTCATACTCTCCAACTCATTCCGTAGCTCACGATTCGTGGATTCCAAGGTTGTTAGCCGGATTCTCAACTTCCTGACTTCATTTCGATGACGATAAAGTTGCGATTCTGAATCCACTGGTTGTTTCGTGAATGTGCCACCAGTGGCTTTGGATTCTGAACTGTGTTTCGATTCGGCACTGTTTTTAGAAGCTTGACTGGACCGACTACTGTGAGATTTGGAACGGCGTGGTCGAGTTTCAAAGTCGTCCACTGTGCCCGAATCTGAAGTCGAGGGTTCGGATGAAGTGCCGGATTCTGTGACTGACTTGGAACGAGTTGAACGGGCACTAGACCTGAAAAACATAAAATTGTTAAGTGTAGATAACATAAGATTAAAGAAGCAAAGGTATAATGATTGGATAACAAAGAGAACCGCTAAATATGCTTCGTATAGGGAGGGGGTAGAAAAGGCTATGATAAGGTACGACATGGTAGGACTGGTTGGGTAAGTTAGAGTAGAGAAGCGTAGAGTATGATAAGACAGAGCGCGGTAGGTTGGGGTTGAGTAGAGTAGAAGAAAAGAAGGTAATGTAAGACCAGGTATGTAGACAAGGAGTCGGAAAAAAACTATGTTAAGGTAGGATATAGTCAGGGACGTCGTTTGGGAGGTGGGGAGGGGGTGGTTCAAAAAAATCCACAGGTAGGTGAAATGTACGTAAAAAAAGGATTCTGTGACTGATTTGGAGCGACCGGGCTAGCTATTCATTTCTAAAAAGGCCCGGTCAAAAAAAATTCTTTAAGCTGGACTGGCCCTGTCAAAAAAATTCCGGGCCTACGGTATTTTTTGGTTTTATTTTTAAGCCTACACAGTCCATTTCTCACCCCTACCTGTGACGGTTTTTATTGGTAAAATCGGCTCTGGAGCCTGGATCCACCCCCCCCATACTTTTTGGTCAATTCTCCCCTCCATTCCTCCCACCCCCCCCTCATATCTCAGTCCCTGCCTTACCCCAAACCTTACCTTGATTTATGTCTTCTAACCGTCTGACTTGCAGCCTCTCTGCTCTCCTTTCTTCGCGTGCTATTTCGCCCACTGCCTTTCCTCTCATCCTGTAGTTCTTTTAGCCTTTCGGCCAGTATAGCATTAGCTTCCTCCAGTTCTCTCTTCTCCCACTTCAGAGCTATCAACTCTCGACTCACGTCTTCATTTGAATCGTAGCTCGATAGCCGGGTCAAGAATCTCTGTCGTTCTTCATCGTGACTCTGTAGCGGTTCTTCATCGTCCTTATACCTCAATGTATCATTTTCGGCCGAAAGTTGATGTAGTAGAACCTTGTACTCCTCAATAGTACGATCCTTTTGGTCCAACTGAGCATTGAGGGCTTTTACACTGAGCTTGGCCGCCTCTTTCAACCGGTTGATTTCGGCTTCGTACTGCTTTGAGTTGTCCACTATGACTGGTACCACAACATTGTTTGTACCATCTTGTAGGGCCGATATGTTATCCATGTGATCCTTATCACTTGAAGAGTCAGAACTAATGTCATCATGTTGAGGTTTGGAAGATCGTGAGGTAGATTGAGGGCTATGTGATAGATGTTGAGGTAGATGTGGGTGCTCGAGAAGTTTGAGGTCAATTTGCATAAGCTCGAAATTGTTCAGTTCAGCTTGAAGGTCTGATAATTGATCTTCACGTTGTTGTAGACTCTGTTCTAATGTCTTTATCTGAAAATTGTTATAAGTTATACCAAATTATACTGTATCATAGTATCAAATACTAAAATTGTGTCCTTTATATTATACATAAAAGATACTGTAGTAAATGCTACTTAAATCTATAAAAAAGCTTTTAAGATGCCTTAGCCTACAACATGCTCAGGGACGTCGCTACGGATTTTCTCTAGGAAAGGGGGGAGGTCGAAAAAAAAATTTTCGTCCACAGGTAGGGAAGACCTGTGGACCGATTTTTCAATTTTTTTCATTTTTTCGCGTACAGGTACCGGAATTTTTTTTCGGATCGGCTCTGGGGAAGAGGGTACCTCCCCCCCCCCCAAAAAATTAAATCTGAGCGTTGCAGGTCGGGTACCTTCCTTGTTAATCTACTCTTACACAAGGTAAAACGTCCGTACTCTACATAAGTGTATGCTATAGTTGTAGGGTGTGCCCTACCATAACATTTTTTGAACCCTACAGTACCCAGGTATACCCCTACACTATCCTACTGTACTCTGGACTGTCTTACAGTACGTCTACCCTACCATGTGCAAACTTGCCCATGCTGGACAGAGCAGAGCAAGCTTCAACTTCAGAAAAATCGGAACAAAGTTGGGCACGGTAGGGTAAGGGTGAACAGTATAAGGTAAGGTGGGGCAGGGTAGGGCAAGCATGAGCTGTGCAGAACAAAGTAGGGCACGGTAGAGTAAGGGTGAACAGGATAGGGATAGTTAAGATAAGGTAAGGTGAGGCAGAGTAAGGAAAGGTTGAACAGACTAAGACAAGGTGGAGTTGGACCGGACCTGAAAATACGCGGACCGGGCCGAAAAAAAAAAACAAATCAGACCTGTCGAGGTAATGCACTGGTTTTCAGAGTTACTTTCGCCAGAACAAGGTTGGGCAGGGTAAGGTAAGCTTGGGTAGAGTAGGGTTGAGAAAGGTAAGACAAGATTAGGCAGGGTAAGGTTGGAAAAAGTAGGGCATTTTTTTTTGTTTTCGGGGGCAAAAGTCACTGTGGTAGAGGACAAAACTGGAGGCAGATGTATCACTGAAACCTATGGGTGAGGTGTGAAAGTTGCCAAGGGTGGTTGGGGGAGGAAAAGTTGCAGAAGTTGCTGAACTCATTGAATAAATTTCATCTGTGAATTCTAAACATTTTTCATTAGTGTACTAATATATGTTTTAATTCAATTTTCATTGATGAATTCTACATTTACTTCAATTTACACTTCGTTGTTAAGTTCAGTATCTTACTTCAATATTTATTTCAATATACCTTTCAATAATGAAATATATATATTTTTTTGTTATGCCCGTACTAATCAGTACAAACTTTCGAATAAAATACTTTATTAGAGGTCTGGTTTTCTAGGATATGGCCAAGACCGCGTAATTTCCGAAGCGACATGCCAGTAAGAGAGTCTGATGTAATCCACGTAGAAGGAAATGGCAATTGTTTGTTTCGGCCATTGTCATACGGTATTTCTGGTAGCAACAAGAACCACTTGAAAATTCGAAAACTGCTTACGTATTTCACATCAGTCGCGTTAAAGTCACGAGATTTGTACCCTGGTGAGGTGGAGTACGACTTGAAACTTCGAGGAATCACGCTGAATCCCAAGACGTGTGAAAGTATAATTATGGCACTTTCGAAACATTAGTGAAAAAAGTAATTGAAAAATGAATCAGAGAGGAACTTTTATCATACTATGATGAGTTGTTTTGCAATACAACCGTTGTTCAAGTTTTGATTTGGATTAAAGCAAAACTACCTCTATAGTTTCTTTTTAAATTGATTAATATATATATATTACATTATTGAACGTTGGAATAAATATTGAAGTAAATATTGAATTCATCATTGAAATTTAAATTGAAGTATAATATTAATTTAATTTAAAGTTATATATTTTATCAATGAAATTTGAATAAAAATATCTCTTGAATTCATCAAGATACTTAAATTAAAACATGTGTTAATATACTAATGAAACATATTAAACCACATAATGAAATTATTCAATAAGTTCAGAAGCTTTCGCAACTTTTTCTCCCTCAAACACCCTTAGCAACTTCGACACCCCTCCCATAGGTTTCGGAGAAACATCTGCCTCGCGATTTGTCCCCGAAAACACAGGGCATCTTGGCGAAAGTAACTCTTATAACTACTCTCTACCCTGCACAAATTTGCCCTACCCTGTCCAGCCTTACCCTACCCTGTTCAACCTTACCCCGCCCAACCTTTTTCTGCCTTGTTCAAGCTTACTTTACCCTTTCCAGCCTTACCCTACCCTACCCAACTTACCTTACCCTGCTCAACATTGTTCTGCCCGGCTCAATCTTGCCCCACCCTGCTGAATTAAGCCTACGGTATCGCTACGCCATTTTGGATTCTTTTACTGTATCATTACAGTGGCTCACACTACCTCATCCCCTATTGAAATCTAGTTCTACTCTACATTATCCCTTCACCATACAACAGTAATCCTAACCTAAATTACTGTGTTCTTTCTCATCATTTCCTCTGTATTAGCTTATCGTTCTCCTAGCCCACCTTACTGTGCTTTTAATTCGACCCTGCTCTAACTAGAAAACTATAACAAAGCCCCAGCAATACCTCTACTTTAATACTACTCTGGTCCCATTTTAATACGTTATTCAAAGAATATTTTTCACAAAAAAAATTTTTGTAAAGCAAAGTAAGGCTAACATGTAAACCTACCTTGTTTTCACTCCTAGCCTGTTCACTCTTCAACAAGTTAAACTGTGTCAAAATGGCTGCCATTCTGTTTTGACTTCTCTCCAAATCTGAATTATGTTTCAGTAGTTCTTCGATACTCTCCATCTTGGCTTCGTAGCTCGTTCGAGAAGCTGCGGCTTCGATTTCTTTGACTTCAATTTCTTTCGATTTGTCTGTCAGATACTCCAACTTTTCTTTCATTTCTCGTGACAGCTGGGCTAGAGCATGAAGTTGATCAACCGTCAGGGATTTGGCTGTTTTGGCTCGGAGCTTCTGAAAATTTTTAATTTAAAATTTCATTTTTAGTCAGTGTAGGATAAGATAGAGTCAGAGACGTAGCTAAGATGGGGAGGAAGGCGAATGAATGTGGACCTACCCCTTCCCTCATTCCTTCAAAAAAATCTGTGACATAGTGGAGGTATTGCTAGACAAAGCTTCGATATAGTTAAGGTTGAGCGTGCTACAGTAGAACAGTGTTACTAAGCAAGGCAGCGTATGGTACAATAGCTTATAATAAGACATAGTAGATTACCATAGTCATCTTAATTTACTTTTTATAGACTAACTTAAGGTAAGGTAAAATAGTATATTTTGTGGTAGAGTATGATAGGGTACAATAGCTTATAGAAATACATTGTAGAATATGATAACTACCTTACTTTCCTCTACGCCGGTCGTATCTTACCTTACCCTGCCTTACCTTACACTTTGTGGATATAGATAGAGTAAAGTAAGGCAAGGTAAGGTAAAATTTGATAAACCGACAGTAGGGCCAAAAGAAACAAAAATAGAGTAAAATAAACAAAAGTAGAGCAAAATAAACCACAATAACCTACCTCAATATTAAACTGCATGGCCTGAAGCACCTGAACCAAGTTTTGTCGATCCGTTTTCCAAAACTTTTTGACCGAGCTCAGTTCCTTCCTCAGCTTCTTCAACTCCCTTTCATTGGCCATTTGTTCCTCGTACCCATCGTTCTTCTCCCTCAGTGCCATTATGAATCGGTCTTGGATGTTGGCTAGCATACTCTTCAGGTCCGTTTCCTTCTTGAATTCTTCCAGAAAACTCCGGAAATGGTCGATTTCTTCGCGTTTTTCGTCGTTTTTCCGTTGCCAAAACTGGAGTTGACCTTCGAGAATCTGAAGACGTTCGCGAAGGTCGTTGTTTTCTACTATCAACTCTTCTGGAGAGGTCTCTGATGTTAAGGTAGGAAGCAGAGAGAGGTCAAAGTTTGAGGTTTCGAACTGAAAATCCATTTTTAGTTGAAAATCATTTTAAAATGAAAAATTAAACAGATTTATATATATTAAAATTATACCCCTTATTTTACAACAAAACTACAAAAACTTTCTTTACAAAACATGAAATGGCAAGAACTTTCTATACAACGCAAAAAATGTAAGTTATCGTATAACTTGTCATCCGCAAGCTGCAAAAAACTAAAAATGACAAAAACATTCTTTACAAAACATAAAATGGCAAGAACTTTTTTTACAAATCATAAAATAGCAAGAACTTTCTTTACAAATGATAAAATGGCAAAAACTTTCTTTACAAACGGAGACTTACATCACTTTCGTATCCAGGATCAACACTTTCTTCTGATCTTCCCAATATCGACACGGTGTAATTGTGTAGTAATTCTTTGTACTTTTTGAGTAACAAATTGTAAGTTTTCATTGGAACAGAATGGAAAATCAAGTTTTGAAGTCGTGCTATTTCCAATATGCTTTGGTCCTGAAATTTTTAAAATTTAAAATTTTCAAGCTTTATTTGGCTGTATTTTAGTTTTATTTTACTCTCTGCTTGCTTTGCCTTACCCTATACTGTTCTTCATCCACTACCCTACTCCACGTTACCATACCATACCGTACCTTATCTTGCCGACTCAACCCTACGTTACTCTACCCTACACCATCCTACCATACGTTACCCTACCCTACCTTACATTACCCTAACCCACCACTACCCTGCCCAACACAACATTACTTTGCTCTACCTTACGTTGCCTTACCTTAATCCACATTATCTTGCCATACTCTAACCTAACTTAGTTTGATCGATCCTAATTTATGCCTTACGCTACCTTACCATACCGCTTCCTACTGTATTTTGTCTTAAGCGGCAATACTCCATCCAGACCTAACCTATCCATACCGTAATTTACCTTACCCACCCCTACCGCACCCTAAAATTCGGCATTATTTTTTACCCTACCCTACTCTGCCCTATCGTATCCTAGCTTCTCGTATCCTATCCAACCCTTCCCTATCTCATCCTAGAACAAAATACCGTTTCCTACCTTGGCCTACTCTACTCTACCGTACCCAACCTTACCCTAAAATATAATACAACAACCTTTACTACCCCACCCAACTTACATTCTCCTTGACCAAACCTCTAATCCTTTTGCTATTCTCCTCATCCATCACGGTCAACTTCAACTGGCATGTTTGATATTGTGTCCCAATCACCTCTTTCAACTTCTTCACATTCTGAAGCTGTCTTTCTAATCGACCATTCTCAATGCTCAAGTGTACCAATCGTCTCGTACTTTCTTCAAATCTTCTTTCAAAATCTGATCCATTTAGTCTTACAACATCAGCCAGGTATTGTAACTCAGAATTGGCCGCTTTTAGGGCTTCTATTTCTTGTTTTAGAGTTGAGTCATTTGGGTTTTGCCAATCTGGACCTAGTATGGTGTCTTTGAAGTCGGAGAGTTCGGTTTGAGACTTCTGAAGTTGTGTTTTTAGGGTTAAAATGGTCGATTTTGTAGAGTTTAGAGATGATTGAAGAGATTGAAGTAGGTCGTCTTTTTGTTCCGATTTCTGAAAAAATTAATTTTAAAAGAAAACAAGCTTTTCGAACTCAAAATCGATTAAAAACTAGCCAAAAACTATGTTGTAGTACCAGAAATTATTCTTTTTTAAACCCAAATTTAAAAATATTACCTTATTTTCCACTTAGCTACCCTTTTCAACTCAAAATCTACCCAAAAAGTAAAATAAATCGTAAAAAAGCAAGCTGCCCAAGACCGGAATCGAACCGATGTCGCCACGGCCACAACGTGGAGTACTAACCACTATACTACTTGGGCCGGCAGCTCATCAAACAAACGTCGGAGGGGATTCAGAAGGGTCTCGTTTTGTTATACCTTGTTCTACATGTCATTAATTTATCGCAATAAATTTATATTATTATGTATAACCATCATGGATTCACAAGAAAGCTTTCGTAACATATAGCAAATGTAAGAGAAAAGTTTTAAGTAAAGCAACTTCACCCTACTCTATTCTACCCTACCTGACCAATTCTTTACCCTACCTCAACCTTCATTTCTATAGTCTGCCCCCAGGCTTGGACGTAAGGCAGGGCCCAATTTGCGGCCTTGATACCGAGCCCGCTTGGGCCCTGCCCGGTGCAAGGTCTTCAAGCAGGGCTGGGCCGGGTCAGGCACAGAGGGCAACACCCTACATCCAAGCCTGTCTGTCCCACATAACCTTATTCTACTCTACCCTGCATTACCCTAACTTATGCCACCCCACCATATCATACCCTTCCTTACCCTACCCTATTCTACATTGTACACTCTCACCACACTAAAATGCCATAATTAACCGTACTATTCCTTACTATACCCTGCACGTCGCTTAAATTCTAAGTCGTACTCTACCGTGCCGTATTTTGAGTACAGTACAGCATTGTCCTAACTTACTATAACCGACCCTACCTTACATTATCCTACCCTACATTATCCTACTCTAACCTACCCTACCTTACACTTCTTCTTCCTACCCTACTATAACCTACCTTATCCTTTTTTACCGTCCCTTCTCTACCCTACCCAGCTTTACAATACCCTGCCTTACTATAAGTGCCGACATAAAGAACCCGCCATACTTTTCTTATAATTTCCTGTAAAAAATGGAGGGTTCTTTATGTCTGCATCATATAACCTACCCTGTTCTAGCCTACATTACCCTACCTCCTATAACAAGAATACTTACCGTATGAGCTTCCTTGAGCTGCTGATACATAGGGGCAATGGCATCAAAGGGTACTGTGCTACTGATCTCATTAGATATGTTTTCAATGAACTCCAAAGCTTCTTTTGTTCTTCTAGCCTTGAGTTCCTTCCGAAGACGCTCCTTCTCTTCTTCCCAATCCAAACTACTTGAGGTGCTAGCTGGTGAGCTTGGCTGACTTATTTCTTTTTCATTATCATCCTTATCATCTTTATCTTCACTTTTAGCTTTTCTTTTCAAAGATTCTGAAGTCTTTTCTGATTTCACCCGTTTTGGAGGTTTGGGTGGTTTTTCCTTCGACTGGTCAATTTTTTTCTTCAATTTCTTTAGCTTATCTTCATTAGCATCTACTACAATATCTTCAGTAGATTGTTCCTCCTCTTTTTCCAATTCCAATTGTAGTAAAGAGCACTTGACTGTCAGTTGAGCGATCTGTCGGTCTCTGAATTCCAATTGTCGCTCCAAATCACGTACAAATTCATCAGCACTTCCGAACAGTTGCTGAAATATTACATATTAGGTATCAGTATTAAATCATCATTTTTAAAATTCAAAAGCATTTTACAAACGTATTTTACAAAAATTGATCTTGACCTAGTTGTAGTTCTCTAAAGCTCTACTATTGAATATTAAAACTTAAAAACCTTACTCTACCGTACCCTGCTTGCTGTAAACTAGCTTTTCCGTATTCTACTCTACCATAAAAGCTCCTACTCTAATCTTCCCTGCCCTACCCTACTCTTCTCCACTCTGCCTTATCTTACCCTATCCTATTCTTTCCCAGCCTTACCCTATTATAACTTACTCTACCCTGGTCAATTTATACTGTTTTGGCACCTATTTCATTCTTTTAAAGGCAATTTTTACATTAATTTAAATCTAGTAGGGTCTGCCAGTATCATACCTACTAACGTTGTAGCTACGGTAAGATACTGTACTTGTCTCAAAAATGAATTAGAAATAACCAACTGGTCGATTTATACTGTTTTGGCACCTTTTTTGTTCTTTTAAAGGCAAGAGTTCGAATAAGAATTATCGACTGGTCGATTTACAGTGTTTTGGCACCTATTTTGTTCTTTTAAAAGCAATCTTTACATTAATGTAAATCTAGTTGGACCTGCCAGTAGTAACCCCCCGTTTACCCCCTTACTCTGCCCCTATGGCGACGTCTCTTCTCCTCCAATTAAAAATTTTCAAAATGGTCAAGATTTCTCCACAAGGAATGAACCGAACACAAATTTATTAAAAAAATTAATCGCCCACGCCCAAAATTTAAAAAAAAATTAAGAAACCACGCCCAAAATCCTTAAAAACGACAAAATAAACCCACCCCATACCTCCAAAAACCCCCTACCTGTCGTAACCTGCCCAACTCGACATGACTTTTGGCCAATTGTTCATCCTTGCTCTCCATTTGCTTTTCCAACGATTTCTTTTCGCTTTCCACGTTGGCTAGCTGAGTCCTGCATTCGGTCAGCTCGGTGTTGATGGTGACAATTCTATTTCGAATTTGACTATTCGGATCCGGCTTTGTTTCTGTCTGGACTGCTTCTCCGAACAATTGACGAGCTATGTTCGTGGCTTCTATTAGTTCAATTCGAAGTTTTTCTAGTTCTTGTTCACGTTCTAACGTGAAGTCGGACTGGATTTTGGCTTGGAGCTCGCTGATTTCGGCCTGAAATTGAATGAATTGTAAAGGTAAATCTAGTACAATGTTAAAATTGATAAAAAAGTGTATGATAAACAGTAGATTTCACTTAAAATTATATTTTTAAAAAAAATATTTTTAAAAATTAAAAATTTTTTTTTTTGAAAAAATCAAAAGCTGTAGATAAAATACGTCATCAATACAGAAGCGGAATAGGTTACAGTGTAAAATACAATAGTAAACTTGAATTTACCTCGCATTTCTTGACATGATCTCGAAGTCGATGAAGTTGAATTTCCTTTTGTCTCACCAAATCTTCCCATTGTTTTTCAGTCATTTCGGTCGATTTCTTCGACGCAAACAATTGTTCGTCTTTTCCATCCAACTGAAATTATAGTTTACAATTTTTCTTCCAAAAAGCCTATTCCGTCAAAATTAAGCCTAAAAACGTGCTTTTGCACAGCAATACACTTTAAAAATTAAGAAAAAATGTATTAAAAAATCAATTTTTAAAACTTGTTTAATCAAAATTTTGTATCACCTCATTTTAAAACATGATAAAACATGCTTTTTATCTTTTTTTTCTAACCTTCGTAGGCCTAAAAAGCCTAAGGCGACCTTTAAAACAAGCGAAAAACAAGTGTGCCCGGTTAGCTCAGTCGGTAGAGCACCAGACTCTTAATCTGGCTGTCGCGGGTTCGAGCCCCGCATCGGGCTAAGGCTCTTTTTGCTGTTTTTACTTCGTTTTTGAATTGAAAGTGGGTTTGAAAATGACTATTAAGGTTTTTCATTTTAGTTTTTTAAATTTTGCTAATTTTTTTGTAAAATACGTCGTTTTTGAAGTATTTCGGCATATTTTTTTGAAAATTTAGTTAAAAAACCAACCCTTGTCTATATTACCCCAAAGTCAAAAAAATAAAACTAAAACCTACAATCCTTTTCATATTAACATTCTCCTCAGCCACCTGATCCAAAGTATGATTGGCTTTGTCCAATTGTTCTCTCAAATTTTCGTTTTTCAAATTCGCTTCCCGAATGAGTACTGTAGCTTCTTCCAACGATTGACTCAGGTTCTCAGCCCGCTTCTCTAACTCTTCGTTTTGTTGAATGACACTTCTCAATTGATTACTCAGCTCGATCGCTTGTTCGTGACGTTGCCTCAGCATTCGCGAGTCCGACCGGTCACCAATGGGGATTTCATCGGATCTGGCTAGACGGCGGTTCAACTCACGGTTCGCGTCTTCTAGTTGGATTTGCTGAAAAATGGCAGGAAATTAGGGTTTTTGTTAACAAACTGATAAGAAATTTGAATTTTGAGGTAGAAAATGGAAAAAAAAATTAAATTTTTTTAAGTAAAAAACTAATAAAAAACTTAAATTTTTAGTTGTAAAGTGACAAAATTCTGTATTTTTAGGCAATAAATTAATAAAAAACATAAATTTTTAAATAAAAAATGGCAAAATATGTACTTTTAGGTAACAAATTGACAAAAAACTTGAATTTCTAAGTCAAAACTAACATAAAATAAAATTTTAGGTAACAAGCGGATAAGATACTTAAAATTTTAGGTAACAAATACCAAATTCTGTATTTTTAGGTAACAGACTAACAAGAATTTTAAATTTTAAGACTTAAATAAAGAAAAAAACATTTAGGTAACAAACCCATAAAACATTTAATTTCAAATAAAAACCAGCTAAAGAATTACTAAAATCTTAATTCCAATATCTTTTCACGCCAAAACTTACAGCATTAGTCAAATTCCTTCGTTCATTCTCCAGAATCCCAATCCTACCCATCAACTCCTCGAGTTTGTCCCTTTGTTCAGCCAACTCTATGTCCCGGTCTCGATTGATCTGCTTCAGATGACTGTTTTCAGCTCGCAAACTGTCGATTTCTGCTCGGAATGCCTCACTTGTCATATCGACTCCAGCTTTGCTTGTGATATTCTCTCGAAGTTCGGAAATTTGCTCCTGAAAGATAAGGTAGAATAAGTTGATACCGACCGGTCGGCACAATTTTAGACAAACTTTTTACTTTAATATACTCTACGTATACTACCTCTACTTTTACTCTACCCTACTCTATAAAACACCTAAACTAACCATTAAATTCTCCCGTTCCAACTCCCAAGTCTCTTCCTTCTCGGCGTTCTCAATGGCTTCACGTTCAGCTAGCTCTCTGAGTTCTTCAGCATTAGCATGTTCGTATTGCATCAGCCATTTCACACCTCTGTAGATCAAGTTCAAGTCTTCTGGCGGCTCATTCCCAACTATTTCGTGCTAAAAACAATAAAATTATATCATACACCATGTTAAAGCACTAATGCCCGTTTAAATGGTCATAACTTTTTTAATTTTAAATCTTCAAAATTGTAAACTGGACTTAACTTTTAGAATGCTTTCTGTTACCCAAACCAAAAAACAAAATCTTAAAATGTTAAAAAACGAAAGTTTTATGAGTAAAAGTGTTCAGAGCTAGCAAAATTGCCATGTTTAATATAAAAAAGCCCGTTTTGACGTAAAAAACTAAAAACGATCAAATGACCATAGCGTGCATTACTCGGTAGACTTTGTAAAGTACGACGTAATTACATTTTTCTACTTTTTAACGTTTTTACACAGTGAAAATGGACTTATAAGTAAGTCGGGATTAACACCTGTCCTTAATATAAAAAGCTTTGTAAAACCAAAAGTAAAAGACCATTTTACTTTAAACTGTGCAATAAGACAGTAAAGTATGTCCTTTCATATACAATCGTATTTTACAACAAAACATAAACTTACAGCCAGGAACAGCTCGTACCAATCATTAAGCTCATCTACTGTAACATGCGTTGGATCTTTTTGAAGCGCCTCCTCCAATTTGTTCAAATCCATGGTTCAAACTTGAATTAATAGAGACTTAATGAACCAAGCAAACCTTCGAAACGTCCTGCGGCTGGGAATTTTCGAAAATCTTGGTGCAACGTCGTCATGACGACAAAAATGGACACTGGTCAATATGAATATTAGAAGATCGCCTGTAATTAATATTTTTATAGTATTTTTAAACATAAAATGATGAATTTTGCTATAGCGTATCAAGTTATAACTAAACAGCAATGAATTTGCAATTTAGGTAACAAAAATTAAAAAAAATATCTAAACTAACAAATAACATAATGAAAATCAAAAATTTGAATTAAAAAATGCAAAATAACGTAATTTAAAATAAAACCATTAAAACAGCAAAAAAACTGTAGTTGATACAATTTTACATCAAAGAAACTTCATTGCGATAACCTTTTGACACTTCGTAGCGAAAACCGATTATAAAAAGGCACGACGCCACAAGAATTATTTTTGCCTTGTTGGAGGAAGTTTTTATTAATTTTGACATATTAATCGTATTTTACAGAACTTTATTGTAATTTTTAACGTTTCATGTTCTTTTTATAATATTTTAACACTTTAACATCAATTTATTTCAAAAAATTCATCGAACTTTCATGTTATTCATGCTTTTATTGATCTCCTTCTTTTATTCAACTAATTTCACAAATTTTTAGCCATGGCAGCGAATGCCAAACATTCAGAAGTCTCGAGATGGATTTGTATCTACCCTTTATACATCAATTCAGAGAAGAAACTGGAAAATGGACGCAGAATACCAAAGGATAAGGTCAGTCATTTCTAATATTATTGATGTTCGGTTTTTAGGCCGTAAAGAACCCAACTGCTCAGGAAATTTATGATGTATTGGTTCATCATGGTCTCAAGTGTGAAATACAGGTAAAGGTTTTATATTTTTGGTTTTAAAATTGTGGGCTTTTATGTTATCTATGAGGAGGATTAAAGGTGATGAAGGTTTTGAGTGGTTTAATGGTTTGAACTGGGGTTGTAAGGTTAAATTTGTTATTATTAGGTGAAAAAAGACTTCTTTACCTTGTAATGTTAATAGATATTTAATTTTTAAGTCCAAATTTTTATTTTATTGAATTTTATATTACACATGAGGTCCTTTCAAGGCAAATGAAAACTGTGACAAATTGAGCTTTTAAATGAGACTTTGAAGACAAGTTTAATACTGTTAGATAGAAAAAAATCTCTTCCTTCTTTCAGAATATAGTTTGTATCACGTTTCGTTAATTAACTCCAATTTCAGCCCAAAGTAATGCACCCACGTGAGCCAGACCGTGAGCCCGGATTTGTTGGTCGCGTCAAGGTTCAACTCAGGAACGACGATGGATCCTTTGTGAATGAGAAGTTCAAAAATCGTAAAAGCTTACTTTTCCTAGCGGCCGAATTCATTCCCAAGCTGAAATCCCGACAAGACGGACCATCAGCTTCCTCAACACAAGCTGGTAATGCGGCCAAGTCGAAGAAGAACAAAAAGCGATAATTTATTTGTTTTTAATGTATTCCTTATGTTTTTGTGATAAATATTGTTTTAAGTTTGATAGTTTATTTATTTTTGTTTATATTTTATGTCGAATTTAATTAAATTCATGGAACTAATTATATTGAGGTAGATTTGCAGTTGTTGTTATTTTTTGGGTCCGGTCCAAACTTCAAATTTTTGGGTCCGGTCCAAACCCAAAATTTTTGGGTCCGGTCCGGTCCGCAAAAAAATTTTTTTTTATTTTTAAAAAAAGCAAGGATCGCTAAAACTGCTTTCTTTTTGCTTAAAAACTCCTAAAAATATGTTTTATTTGCAATTTTTAAAACAGTTTTCTTAAAATAAAAAAAAAATTTCTTCCGGACCGGTCCGGAGATTTTTCTTCGGTCCGGGTCCGCAGGTTTTTGGGTCCGGTCCGGTCCGCAAAAATTTCTGTTTCGGTCCGGCCGGACCCGTCCGCGGACCGGACCGGTCCGGCAAAACACTGGTTCTCAGAGACTTTTCGTCGTATAAGCCGTCGCATAAGCGTTTTTTTATAAATTATGCTCGAGAGCTTTAATACGGATAATCCACTGAATTCAAAGCACAATATATTTGAGATTCGATAAAATCTGAATAGATTTAATCCAATTTCCTTGTTTTTGTACACGTGACTGCTATACCTCTTTACCCGCCCATATCGACCGTTATAACTCTTTACACGCCCATATACTGACCGCTATAACACTTTATTCACCCATATCGACCGCTATAACTCTTTTACCCGTCCATTTCGTAGTTTTTGCTCGACAACATAATTTTAGTTTATCGAACGAAGCAAAGTACTTTAGCAATCTGACGTTCTTTCGATCTTTATCTAATGTTAGCGTTGCCCCCACCAACTGCTATTACGATGAACAACACGCAGCTGATCAACGACATATCAAAGGCTTGTAAGTTGGCTTTTTTCGCTTTTTTTGTGGATTTAGGTATTAAATAACATTTGGTCAAGGTAGACAAACCGTTGAACTTGTTCTATCGTTAATATTGTATATTGATGTAGAAAAAATCGAAAAAACACATATTTATATAGTGTTAGCTGATCAACAATATGATTTTTTGTGAAAAAAATAAAAAAATCTTCAAAAATTTTAGTACGTGAGCATGTCTGTTTACTGCACGAAATCGACTTACCATGTACAACATCATGGGAGACATTGCACCGGCTATCGTCTGGTATCCTGGATAGACCTGACGTGAAAGCCGGCTTCTCTGAAGTCAAGAGCTTTCAGAATGATGAGGTCAACTTCTATGTTCATTGCCTGTAAGTTTGCCTTACATTAACATTGTCATCCCTTGCCATATTAACGATAGTAAGACAATGGATATAGTAACGACAGTAAGATAATGAAAAGGGTACCAATAGGACCAGTAGGATAATATCCTTGAACAGCTAATTCGAGCTTGATAAAACTTTAATAACAATATTACAACAAACCATTATATTATAGTACCAGTAATAAGCGAAATGCATGGATAATATATACAGTAACTCGTTAGGCTTGTATAACTAATACAGTAGGACAACAAGATACCAGAAATGTTACGGAAAAAATTATTAGGCTTGTAATTTCTTACTGTAACTTAACAGGCTACTTAGCTTTGACAGTAACCTACTAGAAATGTTACAGTAACCCATTAAGCCACTAAGATTGATACAGTAACGATGTAGGTTGTTTGAATAGGTGTAGAAGATCACTATGCTTGCATTAATTCCACACTGCCGTCATGACCATTCAAATCATACCCATTCTGTAGCTGGGGCTGATGTTGTAGTAGGTTATACTTGAGGTAGACGAGTTTGGCTTTCAAGTCTTCGGGCAATCTGAAAAATGTCATTTATAGTAACTCAGTAGTCCTCTTTTACATATTATTCATCAAAATCGCCCGTTTTCTTACTGTAACTTCAAAAATTTTCAAAAAAAACTTCGCTAGGAATTCGCAGTTCGCGCCCCACTTACTCTTGTTTTTGATTTTTGCGTTGACAAGTTTCGCTCGAAAACGGTACAAAGCTGAGTAGATTGGCAATAACGGCAAGTTTTGTGTTTTGGAAATACGACCAGAACACTTGACTCGACTCCTCGCCCAGCGACTTGAGCCAACTTCGGCGATTCTCGTCGAAAGCGCCGGTCCTGGCACGAAATTCGCCAATTTCTCGGATAATCTGAAATGAAATTCGGTCATTTTTGAATTCCATATTATTCTGCTGTATTTTAGGTATTGTTAAATATAAATTTCTTCATTTTTCTTTGAGTAGTTTTAGAGATATGACCAAAAATATAGGGGGCAATACCTATTTTTATCCTATTTTTGAGGCAAAGTCAAGCGTCTTATTTTAGACACAACTTTTTTGAAAAAAAAATTTAAGAATTTGTAGACAAATAAGATCTTATCTCTTAGCAATCTAACCCTAAAAAAGAGTTTTTGAATTCTTTAGCATTACAAAGTTACAGCAGGTCTACCTTTACCCACCATTTTCTAGAAATTTCCAAAAAATATTCATTTACTTCTTTTCATCATAACTTTTTTTAAAACATAGCTATAAACCTGAAAATTTGTGTCATAATACACTATTAATATGGTCATCAATGCCTCAAAACAAAATTTTAAAATTTGCTAAAATGGGCAGGTTACAGAAGGTTTATCGTAACCCTGTCAGGGTATAGAAGAATGATGGCTATTGTAAAAGGGATCGTAAAATACATTTTTTATTCTACAATTAGTAGCATTGGGATCATTTTAAAAAATTTTCCTTCTTTGGCCCTTTATCTACCCACCTCCTCGTTTTCACCCTAATTTTTGTAAAAAACTTTAAAATCCACCCCCATATTATATCCTACATTACCAATGCCTTGTCTTTACCTTACCCTATCCATAACTTGTCTAAGGCCTACCTATGCCCTACCCTATCTATACCCTACCCTACATCTTTGCCCTACCCGTGCCTTGTCTATGCCCTACCCTATAACAGCCTTGTCTTTGCCCTACCCTACCCGTACCTTCATCCCTACACTAATTCTGAAGATCTACCCCCATTCGTCCCCGCTAATGACGTCCCTGTCTCGTTTCTTGGCCCTACCATACCCTATCTTACTTTATATTAGGTTGTTCAAAAACTTTTGCGCCGCCTAACCCTGATAATATGCTTTGACAAGGGCTCATGATTTTTTTAACAACCTAATAACTGCTATATTAACCCTCTAAAACGCCATATCAGCCTCAAAAATCAACTTTCCAACCTTTACATACCACCTATCGTGGCATTATCTCCTAGTAGAGCTCTTACCGTGGCATTATCTCCTTGTAGAGCTGGATTCTGAGTTAACTTGCTCATGATCATGTTCATCGCCGCATCCATTTTATCATCATCCAGGTTTGTGCCTCTGTTCACATGGTCGAGTAAGCTGTACAAGTGTCCCAGATCCGACTCCAGCTGTTGATAGTGCTTGTTGATGATATTGTAGACCTCAGTTTTGTCATTTCCATCCAAGTTGTGTGCCAGTTTAAGCCCTTCTACCATGATATGATTCGTTTTCCTCAACAAACATTGATATTCCGCTTCAGATTCAGAATCCATGGTTTGTGAAAACTGCTCCAGAATGTGTTGTACGGTGTCGAGGGTGGTCCAAAAGACTTTGTCATTCGTCAGTTCATGAGCTTTTTCAATTTCATGTTCTTCTTGAAGCTTTGGCCAATGAACCGCGTCTACTATCAGTTCTTGTTGTGAAAGAGTGGCTTTGAACAAGGATAAGATGTTCTTGAGGTTGTAGGGCTCTAGTGGCGTCTCTAGAAGGTCTCCTGTGTCATATTGCGAGATTTGTTGGCGGACGTTGGGTCTTCTGAAAGTAGTGTATATAAAGTAAGGTAGGGCATAGACAAGGTATGGATAGGGTAGGGCATATAAATTCTGAAATCCTTTTTTCGTCTTAGCCCCTACCCATACCCTACCTTAGTTTATATTAGGCTGTTCAAATAATTCTAAGCCCCCTTTAAAAGCAAATTTTCGAATATAGGGGCACAGAATTATTTGAAAAACCTAATATAAAGTAAAGTAGGGTATGGGTAGGGCCAAGAAACGAGACAGAGACGGCACTAGGGAGGGGTAAATGGGGGTGGATGCACAAAATTAGGGTAGGGTTGAAATGGTATAAGTGGGGAATGGAGAAATTATAAGTATAGTAGAGCATAGAAAAGGTATGGATAGTACGTAGAGAAAGTACGGGTACGTTAGTGCATAGACAAGGCATGGGTAAGGTAGAGAGGGCATAGTCAAGGCATGAGTAGGACAGAGCATGGACAAAGTATTGAGTAGGGCTGGGTAGGGCATAGACAAGGTATTGTTGAAATTTCAGTTTACCCTGCCCAATTTTACCAAACCCCGCCATAACTCTACCTCACCCTCCCTTTTCTTTTCTACCCCAATTTACCCTACCCTCCGCTGCCCTAGCCCTACAACAATATTGTATATGACCGCCCATTATATATTCATCTTGAAACTCTACTTAGTCTCCCCCTACCCTATAAAACCCATTTCTAACACAAAACCTACCTAAACATCCCCACCAAGAAGCTGGCTTTGTTCCACAACTTCTTGACCACTTCCGTCTCCACCAATTCCTCGGTCGTTTTCTCCACCAAACACCCCTTGCATCGGTCGATAATGATCCAGGGGTAGTTCTCCTCCACCTCCTTCGTCAATGACAACATTTCTGGGCTCTCGGTCTTGATGGCAACAACTTTTTTCATGTCTATTTCAGACGCCAAAACCTGGAGGATTGGTCGACTTTGACCGGTCGTTACTCGGCCATAGTAAAGTGGGTTGGGTGTGTGGATGAATACATCGATGTGTCGTTCCATTGCTGATGAAGTCGTCGATTTTGATGAATTTTGGTCGATTTTTAAGTCATTTATGGTTGATTTTGTCACATTTTGGTCGTTTTTGGTTGAATTTTGGGCAAAATCTGTCGAATTTTGGTCGTATCTCTCTGATTCTTGGTCATATTGTGCCATTTCCGAGTTACTCAAGCCATCAATACCATTACTATACAAACCTTCATTCTCATTAGTACCACCTGTACCAGTAGGACCATTTTGCATCGTCTTTTCCTCTGTGTTTTGCCTCAAAATTCCATTATTTTGGGCTGAATTTTGTGAAAAAGTCCCATTGTCTCGGTCAATTTTCTCCGATTTCTGGTCGATTTTCAACGAAATCGACAGGAATTTGGCTTCCTGTATCTTGGACGAGATTTGCGGTCGAATTTCGTCGTATTCCCGGTCGAGATGACGTTGAATGTCTTGAATTGAAGGGAGATTGAAGTCGGGACGAAGCTTTTGCAGCAGTTCTTTGAGGTACGGGTTCTGGAGGGCTTCTGGAGACACGTCCGAGGTCACGATAAACTAAAAAATACAGATTTTAGAATATACCGTGCGTTTTTGAAAGCTACAGTATGACTTTAAAAGCTACAGTATGTTTCTGAAAGTTACAGTGAGACTTTAAAAGCTACAGTATTCCTTTAAAAACTACAGTATGAAGTTGAACTCAACAGTGCGACTTTGAAGGCTACAGTATGATCTTAACAGTTACAATAAGACTTTAAAAGCTACAGTATGACTCTAACAGCTACAATATGAATCTAAAAACTACAGTACCGTCTTGAAGACCAAAATATGACCTTAAAAGTTACAGTGCGATTTTAAAAGCTACAGTACTACTCTCTACAGTAACATCTTGAAAACTAAAGGTGATCTTAAAAACTACAGTAATGACTAAAATTTACAGTAATCTTACCTTAACCAACAATGAATGGAAGCTGTCCCTTTCTTCGGTGTTCTGATCGATCATGGATAATATATTGTGGATTTGAGTGTCCTCGGGCATGGGTATGAGGTAGTTGGGTTCGGGTGGGTTGCTCATCCTCGCCCGCTTCAAATAGTTCTCATGTCGCGGCCGTTTCGGGTCTTCGTAGTATCCCTCACACTTGTCGTTTTGGGAGTCGATCTCACTTTTATAATTCGGTGGTATTTTGACGCATTGGCTCTGGAAACAAAGTTATTGCGGGGTGTTTTTGTGGGTTTCTAAGCCCTAGTCGATTATACTTTAACTTGCCTAGCTTTACCGCGCTTTCAGCGATAATACTTTAACATAATTCACTCTGTGCTAACACCTAATGCGTTCTAACATAACATATCGTATTTTACCTTACGCTGCCATACACTAACATAGTCCATCTTACATTATAACACCAGGTATCTTACACTACTATACCAGTATATCTTACAGTACATACCCGTCTCTCTTACACCACAGTATTAGTCTATCTTATACTATTTTACCATCTATCGTACACTATAGTACCAGAATACCTTATCCTACAGTCCCCCGCAGTAAAATGCTTTGGTTTACCGTAATCTTCCCTACTATGACCTAATTTGCCTTACCGTAACCCACCTTGTCCTTACTTACCATAATCTACCGTCTCCTACCTAATACTACTGTGCTTTTCCCTACCGTACCCTACCCTGTTTTACCATCCTATACCGTAGCCTATATAAGTCTACATTACTATAACCTACTGTTTTCTCCGATACAACTGTGCTTTTCCCTACCGTACCTGACTCTGTCCTACTCTCCCTTACCCTACCTTACTCTAACAAACCCCATCTAGCCCTAACTGACCATAACATACCGTTTTCTCCCCAATACTACTGTACTCTAGCCTACCATACCCTACTCTCTCCATACCTTACATAACCCTATTTCACAAACACTTACAAGTAGATGTTTCTTGAACTTGTAGGTGTTGTTTCGGTATGAAAAATCGCAGAACATACACTTGGAGCGCTCTTCGTTTACGCTTATAAAGTACTTCCATGACCAACATCTCCTGTTCGGCTCTTTCTGTAATCATATCAATACTATATGGTATTATTTTAGGTAACAATTAAGGTCTTTCTGATAAAAAATTATAGTTTTTCCAAAAAAAATGCCTCAAGGTTTCCTTTCAAAGATTTTTCAATACTATTACAAATTATAAACTTACTGTAACATATCTTGGGCTTGAATGTTGCCGAGATATGGCATTTAGCTGGTCTGGAGTGAACATTATCCAAATTTCCGAAATTTTTTATTTTTAGATATGGAATGGTTAAAACTAGCCAAAAAAGACTACTGTAACACTTTAAACTAGTCTAGGATTACTGTAACAATTGAAACCAATCGAAGGTTACTGTAACTTTTAGAAACTCAAAACTCTGAAAAACAGTTGTCTATGCCCTATCATAGCTATTCTATGCCCTACACTACCATGCCTTGCCCTCCCATGACTTCATCTCTACACTAATTCTGTGGATTTACCCCATTCACCCCTCCCCCCCCGGCCCCCCAGCGCCGTCCTTGTCTCGTTTCTTGTCCCTACCATACCCTGCCTCGCTTTTTTGTTAGATTGTTCAAATAATGCTGTGCCCACTAACCTTGAAATTTGCTTTGAGAAGGAGCACAGAATTATTTGAACAATCTAATATCTTAGATTTAGCTGATGTTTATATTAAAAACAGTGAATTAACAGCTGTACCTCTCACCTTCAACCATTTTAAAACATTCATAACACCTTTGGCAATGTTAAAGTAACCCATTTGATCCAAAATCTAGCCATTTTCCTTTTAAAGTTGTCAAAAAATCAAAAATTTTGGTCAAAAATCCAGTATTTTTACCTTTTTTCCTCAAATATTACCCATTTTTCCCGTTTATTTTTGTATTTTTCCCCAAAACATAAAGTTACAGTAACCCCATAGAGCTTATATTTAAAATACAGTCTATTTCTGACCAAATGACATTATATATGAACTGTTTTGAAATGAAAACAAAATTAAAAATGTGGAAAAAAGGCAATTTTCCGACGGAAAATTCCATTTGCTTTCAATGGGGGCGCTTGCTTTTCCAGCCAGCCCTTCTCTATGCCCCTTCTCTTCATTTCTCATATTCTTTTTTCTTTTCACTGCCCCGTTTCACTGTTTTGAACAATCTATAGCGCGCTCCCCTATTCTTACACTCTCTTTCTCTATTTCTTACTCTGTCTAACCCGCTCTCTCGTTTCTAAACGCTCTGTAGTTGCGAAAGAGAAAGCGCGCGCGATTACTTTTACTCTCTGCGCGCTCTCTTTTAATGGAGCACTCTCTCGCTTTGCTCTCGGAAAAGAAAAGGGAATAAATCATCCCTCTGCCTACTCTCTCACTTTTTCGCGCTATTTCCCGCTCTTTTCGCCGATTTCTTTTTCTGTCTGCTGTGCTAGCGTTTTTGCGCACTCTCTCGTCTCTCTTCATCGAAAGGGGAATTTGTATAGCTTTTTCTGGTCGCTCTCTTGTTTTCTAGCACTCTTTCTTCCCTTTCAAGGAATTTCTCTAACTTTCTCTAATTCCCTCTTATTGCCCTGCGTTCTCTCCCCTTTCGCTGCCATTATTTCCTCTTTTCCTGTATTCTCTGGCTCTTTTTTTCTAATCTCTACCCAGTCTCTTCTAATATTGTTCTATTTCGCCTTGACCTCGTTTCGAAGCCATTTCCCGGTTTTTCATGGGAAAAATGGCTCCGACCACGGAAAATAACTTGTTCGTGTCGGGAGAGAGAGTGTGGGGCAATGAGAGAGCGGCGAGAGAAGGGGATTCAAAAGGTTATAGGAATGTGTGAAAACAACAATACCACGAAAATTGATAAGTGAGATAAACCGAGATTTTTAAAAATGATTAATTTTTGAAAATTACAAAAAAAATTTGGAAACAAAAGTTTTTGCAAATTTAAAATTTTTGAATTTCGAAATAAAAAATTTCATTCAAAAGCCAAGTAAATCGTAGAAAACTACAGTACACTCAAAAAACAACAATTAAAGTTACAGTAAGCCCAATGAAAAATAAAGTAGCCCATATACAACCCCTTGCAGTATACCACCCCTTTCAGAAACAACTACGAGCACAAATACATACTAAGTGCCATAATTCATAAAATGGATCAAATTTCGAAGAACTCTCCAGAATCCCAACGGCTACAGTACCTAACTCACGTTCTCAACTCGTACAAAAACAACCAGCTCGAAGTTGTACTACAAAGAGCTCTGGTACTATGTGCTTTGTACCGTATGCCAGATTTTATGGTCAAAGATCGCTTCAAATTGGACTATCGCGTACTTTTGGTGCATGTGGTCGATATTATGGTAGAGTACACGCATCGTGCCGAACACAGAATCCACACCTTCCTCTACAAGATCCAGTCGAGCAAGCAGTTTGAGGTGTTGAGAGCTGACATGTTCGAGTTACATCCTCGATATCATTTGTAGGTTTATTCAGGATGGGGGTAGGGATTAGGGTCAAGGGTAAGGGTAAAGTAGGGTAAGGGGTAGAGGATTGAAATGCGTCTTAATTATTATATTTTAGAGCTTTAAAAGATGGTACCTCGACATTACACGGCACAGTCAAGTATTTATTTGAAAACGACATCACAATATGGCATGGTGTAACAAAAAGTCTTCCAGTTTTTGAAAACTTTACACTACTGCCATATGAACTTCAAGTACAAGTACTGTAAGAGAAACGAACTTTATGTCTTTATATATATATATTATGTCATTATGACATATTTTTAGAGCTTTTTCCAAAAATTTTTCGCATAAATTCAAACTTCAAAAAAAGACTACTGTAAAGCTATTCAAATTTTAAAAAATGACATAATTTCCAGTGAAAACATTCCAAGAAGCACCCTAGTTCACTGTAGACTATTGTCTCGCGACATGAACAACGTAGTTAATTTCACTTTTCAAAAGAAACGACAAAAAGCCAGCAATGAACTTGTGGAACAGATAAGTACGAGTACAGTTGTGGAAAAACGCTTTGGACGTGATATGGTAGGTGTTTAGTTTTAAAAAGTAAAAAAAAGATAAATCATCAAAAAATGGTGGTAAAATAATGATTTTTGACTAAAAATGTCATTCTTTTCACAACCCCCTCCTCTGATTGATTTCAAACTTTTTATAAAGAAATATCATCTAAATATAACCCTTCAGGAAAGCACTAAAAATGCAAGTACCCAAGCGGCAACACGTATTTTACCTCAAGTTAAAAATACTACCATATTCTTAATTTATCTCCCCTTTTGAACTAAAAAACTACCCAAAAATGAAAGAAAACTTTTAAAAAGCGGGCTGCCCAAAACCGGAATCAAACAAAACTAGCCAAAAAACATGTTGTAGTACAAGAAATCCCTCGTTTTCAAACTAAAATACAAAAATAATGCCTTACTTTTTTTTACAATAAAAATCAACTAACTAGGTAAGTACCCGACCTGCCCCACTCAGAATCAGCACAAAATTTTTTTATGAATTCTTTGTACTACCAATGGTACCTATCAAAAATTTTGGCTCGCGCTTTTGAGTTTTAAATTTAAATTGTTTGGGTTTTCCGCAAATTTAGGAAACTTGCCATTGTGTTTCAAGCACTTTTTCGGCTTTCCAGACAAGATACGCTTACAAATTTAAAATTTCAGGTTCATTTGAAGCTTTTCTATCATAATATTAAATAAAAATAGTTAAAAGTCAAAAAATGGGAAAGTTAAAAGCTTGAAACACTATGCCAATTTGGCGGGAAATTCAAAACGCAATTTTTTGAGCTCTATTTTCTCAAGACTGGCCGCAAACCGCAACAGAATTTTGCATAAGATCTTACATATACATGATCTTTCAATAAAAAAAATGAACGAAATCTGGGCGCTGCAGGTCGGGTACCTTCCTTTTCAATGTACTTTACTATGTACAGTGAGTCGCGGCCGAACAGCTTCAAAAATGCCTTCTTCTTTGGGAGTCATTCTAGATTCATTTTTAAAGCTTTTGCAATTTTTGCCTGTGTCATAAAGATTCTCGTGCAGATGGTGTGTGTTGAAGATGACGTGCAGGACAATACAAAGCAATAAAGCGAAGATTGCAATAATAAAATAATTTGCTTTATAGTGATTTTTGAGGAGGGTACAAGTGGTTCGAATGATAACTGACTTTCTTGAATAAGATCGCGTATCGCATTGAAACGTGTTGGGAAAAAACAGTGGTAAAACCAATTGGTATAAAAATTTTGAGCTAATTCTAAGAAGGCTGGTTGAGTACTTTCCTTGTTAGCGTTGAATTAAAAAAGTCGTGAAACACAGCAATATAGGTATTGAAAATTAGTCTTTTCGCAATAATAACATGAAATCCAGTATTATTTTCTATTTTCCTACCTTTTTCAACTGAAAAACAAATCAAAAATTAAAGAAAAATTAAAAAAAGAACAGTTTTTCAAGTCCAAAATCGGTCAAAAACTGATAAAAACAAAATAGATGCAACTCGTATTTTACCTAAAATTAAAAATACTACCTTATTCTTCACTTATCTACCCTTTGCAACTCAAAGCCATCCAAAAAGTAAAAGAAAACTTTAAAAAAGCAAGCTGCCCAAGACCGGAATCGAACCGATGTCGCCACGGCCACAACGTGGAGTACTAACCACTATACTACTTGGGCCGGCAGCTCATCAAACAAACGTCGGAGGGGATTCAGAAGGGTCTCGTTTTGTTATACCTTGTTCTACATGTCATCAATTTATCGCAATAATTTTTTATTAATATTAGTGTGCTTACTCTGGCATGGTGGAGGGGGGAGATGGACTTGTATTTCCACTTTATGGAGGCTATATTGTGGATTTACATTTGCCGTACCATAACCCTACCCTTGTCTTACTTTTAACTCTGTCATTAGCCTCTTTTTAACCTACCCTCGCCTTACTTTGACCCTGCGCTTGTCTTATCCTAGTTCAAACTTAGACCTACCCCTACACCTCCTTCTCTTCCTCTAACCATAAGTCCCGGAGCTCCTCCGCGGAGGGGCAAAAAGCGCACAGCAAGATACTAATCCAAAACATTAAAATCAAATTTTAAATTTGAAAAATTTTTCAGATTCCATACGTAGAATGTCGGGTCAAAAGCCTTCGCCGCGGCAAATGGGTTCTACCGAAAGACTACAATTCTACTGTAACATTGCCTATGGAACGGGTGGTTTACATTTTGAAGGGCTTTCGTTTCTCAAATGAGCAGCTGGAAAGGATCCATCCTGAACAAAAAAAAATGCTCAATTTGTAAATAAAATGTCGATAATCATAGTATTCACTTGTGCTATCAATAAAGTTAATATTTGTTTAAAGTCACACTAGCATAATATTACAGTAGGTCTAAGGTAGCGCAACAGTATGCTTAGTGTAAGGTCAGGGCCGAGCGGGGACTTTTGGTCTGGAGGCGGGGGTCGAAAAAATTTTTTCCAAAAATCCACAGGGGAGACCACATTGGGGGTTGATAAAGGTATGAGTGATTCTACAGATGTAGGCGGTAGAGGGTAGCGGTTAGAGGGTTGGGGATAGCGGTAGAGAGTTGGGGAATAATAGAGATAGGGATGTTTCTACAAGTATAGGCCGTAGAAGGTGGAGGTAGAGGGTAGGAATTAGGGGGTAGGGGGTGGGGGTAGAGGGTAGGGGGTAGGGGGTAGGGGGTAGGGGGTAGGGGGTAGGGGGTAGGGGGTAGGGGGTAGGGGGGTAGGGGGGTAGGGGGTAGGGGGTAGGGGGTAGGGGGTAGGGGGTTGGGGGTAGGGGGGTGGGGGGTGGGGGTAGGGGGGTGGGGGGGGGGTAGGGGGGGGTAGGGGGGTGGGGGGGGGGTAGGGGTACAGTAAGAAATAGGGGTAGTTTTTTCAAATGTAAAGCCTTTATTTGTTAAAACTCTTTTTTAGTTTGAAAACATAGTATAATATACAAGGACTAGAATTGGTTTTATTTTGAGAACTTTAAACGCAGATCCTTAACGGACATTGCATAAGGCCCAGCTCCAGGAGTACGGACACCGTGCAGAACACGCAGTACTCAAGGATCATGAACGCGCCAAAGTATTTGTTCATTTTCCAGCCACATAAGGCGATGGTGGCGACGAGGAAGATGAGCATGAAGAACAGCATCGACACACTGCACACCAGCCCATTACTAAAACATTATACTGTAACTTTGGACTAAACTTGATTTCGTCTGTCAGCTTTGTCTTGATAGGTTTAGGCTTAGTAGGCTTATGTTTGATCGATTTACTTAGCAAACTTAGGCTTGAGTTAAAGTTTAGCGAGTTCTTGATAAGCTTAGGCTTAGCTGGATAAAGTTTAGAAGGTTTAATTGCCAGGCTTAATTGGCAAACTTAAGCTTGATAGGTTTAGGATTAGAGTGTTTCAACTTGGATTGTTCAGTCAGATTAAAAAGTTGCGTAGCCTTAGTTGGCTCAGGTTTGGCAGGCTTAGCAATCGCCGACTTAGCATGTTAAACAGCCTTAGGCTTAGTAAGTGTGTAATCGATAAAGGTTAATAGGCTTAACCTTAGTAACCTTATTGTTTTTAAGCCTACAAACCTTATAACAAATAGGCTTAGGTTCAGGTTTAACTTTCATGCTTGACAAGCCTAATTTACGTCTAATAAGCCTAATAAAGAGTAAAAAATATGAACTTGCCTACTAACCGCCACACTACCACTTGACCCAGTTTTGATAACATTAACAATAAAGTAGAGCAGCCATGGTACGGGTAGTCCCACGCAAACGTCAAATATGTTCGAACCCACCGAACTTGAGACGGCCATGTCGCCCAGGCCTTTCCTGGCTACTATCACACTGAAATATTGAGAAGATTATTTTTACACAAATATACTGTAGGCCTACAGTAACCCTAACTTTTTAAGCGGTTTTTTCTAATTTATAAAACAGGCAAATTTAAATGTATGCCCCAATTATTAAAATGATATCTTGATTTATAGCTGAGCTACGTAAGTTTGAAAATGTCAAAAATCAAAAAAAAGTTCAAATCCTCTTGGAAACCTTTTAAAATTTTAAAAATATTTTTAAAAGTTGAGTAGACCATATTGCAAAGCATGAAAAGTTATGTATTTACTACGAATTTCATCATAATCTTTTGAAAGGTAAAAATTTTACGTTCATCTAAAAATGCCAAAAATTCAGAAAATTTCGAACTTTGCAAAACATCAAAAAATTTTTTCAAAATTTAAAAAACCCGTATTGTTAAGCAAATTAAAAACTATGTTGTAAAGTAAACAAATTTGCCTATATACTACAACTTTTACTACTGTAACTCAAAAAAGAAAAAAGGTACATTCATTTGACAAGGTTCAAAATCCAAAAAAGTTCGAATCCTCTTGAAAACCATTAAAATTTTTAAAAAAATCGTTTCAAAAGTTGAGCCACACATAATGTAGAGCATACAAATTTACCTATATTCCACAATTTTTACTCTTCAAGCATAAAAAAGTTACATTCAATTGAAAAAGTCGAAAATCAAAAAAAGTTCGAATCCTCTTGTAAGACATGTCATTTTTCAACAAAATTTTTTTTTCAAACAGCCTGCCATTTCTAAATCTACATACATGCATTTATACTTCTAAACTCCTCAAAACATTCAAAAACCTTACCTAGTAATCAGATCCGGTATACTAGTACCAGCCGCCAATATTGTGAGCCCAATCACTTCTGTAGGTATCAAAAACGTCTCTCCAATAGTGTTCGCCACCCATACCATGATATATGAAAACGCTGCGATCCACAATATTGAGAATACGAATGTAACTGCGTAGTAGTTCTTCCTATCCGGCCTTCGTACGTCCGGTATTGTCAGCCATAGTACGTACAGGATTGGGGCCAGGAACACGTAGACAACTCGTTTTTGGAAGGTTTCTGGCCAAGTTATGTCCAGTGGTTGTTCGTCCTCGTCTTCCAGGGCTTCTTTCTGAAAATTAGCATGTTTTTCAAAATGATTGGGATCAAAGATACATCGAAAAATGGCAGAAAAATTAAAAATTTTTGAAAATATAAGGGTTTTGAGGCCAAAATTGACCAAAAATTAATTGAAAACAATATTATAGTACACAAAACTACTATTATTTTTAACTTAACTACTATATATTGCTTTATTTATTCTTAGTAAAGCTTTTTCGACTCTAAACATACTTAAAAATTGCAAAAAAAATATTAAAAAATTGTAAAAAATAGGGCTTTCAAGGCCAAATTGACCAACAACTAATAAAAAATAAAAAAAGAACAACTCGTATTTTACCTCAAATTAAAAACACTACCTTACTTTTCATTTATCTACCCTTTTAAACCTAAATTCTGCTCAAAAAGTATCTAAAATATAAAAAAAAGCGAGCTGCCCAAGACCGGAATCGAACCGATGTCGCCACGGCCACAACGTGGAGTACTAACCACTATACTACTTGGGCCGGCAGCTCATCAAACAAAATTCGGAGAGGATTCAGAGGGTTCGCTTTTTGTTAGACAGTGTTCTACATGTCATTAATTTGTCGCAAATAATTATTTTATTATATAGAGATCACTATCTCCCTATTCTATTTTTCTTCTGTTCAACCTACGTCGACTTAAAAACGCCCCAGCACTGTAGCGTTAACTTTAGTTCTAGTCCTAGTTCTAGTTTTAGCCTTAGCTCTCGCCCAAGCCTTATTGTAAGCTCTAAGCCAAACTTTTAGCTACATTCAAAACCAGTATACTTCTACCTTCTATAATCTTAGCTGACCATAGTCATAAGTATATGATAAGATAGATTTAAAATAAAAATTAAAGTTCACATTTTACCGTCCAATAACTAAAAGATCCCCTGTTCAGAACTCAGTAAAGACAAGACATAAAACAATAAAAAATCCTTACCAAAGTTTCGATCTCAGCTTTGGTAGATCTTCGTTCGCTTTGCCTTCTATTGCCATTTTGAAGTCCATTTTGTCGCTGAAATCAAAATCGATTAAAATTTTAATATTAACATTAAGCAAGTGAAAAGAAGGATTTACCCCCATTCACCCCTTCCTACCCCCTAGAAACCTCCATAAAGCCTATGCCAAAACATTATTTACAAAAAAAGTTCAACTCACCGCCAACACAGCCGCATTCCCATCGATCTGCTTAATGCAAGCAGCACTACTCTTCCTACTTCGATACCTCCTACTTCCACCGTTCTCCACGCCGTTCCCAACGTTTTCATTTTCATCCACTGATTCCAATTTCTGTGACATTATTTGCATCATACTGTTTCTGAACATGGCTCCAGTATGTAGGATTGGAATGCTTTGTCTTCGTGAGTTCATAGTGGACGGGCGACGTCGACCAGCAGCTAGCGAGTCGGATCGCTGAAGACTAGACTGTTGTTGATAATGGCGAGTGTTCGGAGGTTGGTACTCGGGTTGCATTGAGGACTTGCGAGATCCGGACTAAAATGGCAGATTTATCATGTAATATTAAGATTGACTCGAAGTGCACTGTACAAAATTTGCCATAACTTTTAAACCAAAATACAAAATGTCGCAAATTTTACGCGTTATAGTCGCCATAACTATAGTAATCTACTACACTATCAAAAACTCAACTTTATTACAAAATGCCAAAGTTATGAATAATTTATTGCGCAGTGCATAATTCCACTGTGCACCGTGCAAAAAGTGCCATAACTTTTAAACCCAAAAATAAAATTGCAAACTTTTTCCACCATAACAACATCAATATATCAGCAACATATACCTAAATAATTTTTTCCAAAAGAAATCAAAAAGACCTACAATAATGCTTTCACACTGTTCCGCATCGTTCTCTCCTTCCTTTTGCTTCAAAACCTTGACTTTGACAAACGTCTCAATATACTCATTATACTTCATGAAAATACAGTATCCAATGTAGAGGACGAACAGAAACAAAGCCTCCCACCAGACAATTTGATCATCCAAAAAGAACAGTACCACCGCCAACAGAGCCACGATGTAGAAGGCGACATCACGGAACAGTGGCCACCATGTGAGATAGAGCACGGTCGTAGAAAACAGTGTACAAAATGCTAGTACACAGAGAATGTTGAATGTGGCACTACCTGAAATAATAATTTTAGAGATTTTCAAAAATTATTTAAAAATTTCACAGAGGGCCCCAATAAAATAAGAACCTAAACTAAACATAACTGTTTTTGATTTTTTTACAAAATTGTATTTAACAGTTTTGTAGAGCATAAACAATTGTATAAAACTACAAAATTTCATATCAACATCTTGCTTATCCACAAAGTTATACCCGCTTAAAACTTCCATAACCAAGAAAAATTCGAATTCTCTTGGATAACTTCATATAAATTAGCCATAACTTCTTTACGAAACAACCTATCTTTACCAAAATTAAGCAAAACATGCCAGTTAACATACTTTTCAATTTTGTTTAATTTAAACTTTTCAGAAACTCTAAATGAAGTCTCTAAAACCAAATCCATCATGGATAATATCTAAAATTCCCCATTTCCCCGAAAATCCTTCCTAAATCTTATCAAAAGCATTCAAAAACTCTTACCAACAATTGTGCCAATCCCGACATTGTTTTGTGCTACAAATACTCCAATAACACTTGTGAAAAACTCGGGCGCCGAACCGCCAGCGGCCATGAAAGTTGCGCCAGCCACATCTTCGCTAATGTCCAGTTTTTCGGTGATAACACCTAAAGCGGGAACAAAAAACTCATCGCACACAATAGCCAGTGCTATGAACATGTAGATGAGACCAAGAAGATGCAGAAGAACGGCACCATTCCGCCGTTCTTGCAGCGTGAATAAATCTTGTGGAAATTGAGATTCATCCGTGTCTGATTGGCTATGTGATTTGTTTCTAAAAGAAAGAAAGGTTATTATTGACTAAATTGGACAAAAATTTAATGATCAATAGTTTTGGAAAAGTAAAATTATAAAAAAAACAATTTTCAAAGTGTAAAAAACATTTTCCGTTTAATTTATTTTTCGAAAAGATTAAAACACGCGGCAAAAAGCTTTCCTCCCCGGCCGGGAATCGAACCCGGGTCTCGCACGTGACAGGCGCGGATACTTACCACTATACTACCGAGGAACATGTCTACCCTCGCTTGTTTCTCTTCCAAATTTTTTCTAATTTGTTTATGAAGCAAAACTATTTTTAAAAAGTTGTAAAAACGGTATTGGAAAAATCGGTTGAAAATAGCCTTTTATTTTTAAAATTCCAAACATTTTTTTTTTCAAAAAAATCGACTGGTCGAAAAAAAATAAAAAGATAAAAATACTTAAAAAACTTTAGACCTACTTATTGCAAGTGGAGAAATGTTGATGTGGAGTTGTTGTCTGTAAGTCTTTGGGCTGATTCACGACACCATGAACATTTTCTTTGAAATAACTGAAGAAGGCGCCTAGGATTATATAGCTGACGAACAATAGTCGAGCAGGACGTCGTATTTTAGTCATTACATTTGAAAGCTAATATCCAATTCTAGCCGAAAGTGAAGAGGAGCTGAAAATTGTAATAATTAAAAGTATAATTTTGAAAATTTTAATTTTTTCAAAAATTTTTAAAAATCAGCCGGCTGTCAATAAAACGCGAATATTTTTCAAAACACGAAACAAATAGAAAAAAGAATAACAGATCGTCCATAAAATGCTATTTTAGATAAAATAAAGTTAAAATATAGAAGAAGCAACAAAAAGATGACTATAACTCGATTTGTCATAATTATGCCAGTTAATTACAAATTAGAGCACCACGTGCTAAACAGTAATTAATACGAAGAAATAAGGGTAAATTATGCATTTTTACTCATTTTTAGTTTCTAGTTTGAAAAAACTGGTTTTAGAAACAAAAATTATTTATAAATTTATAGTACAGTACGAATCTATAGTACAGTACTAACCTATAGTACATTACAAACTTATTGGAATTTTATGGCTTGTAAAGAAAGTTATTGCAATTTCGAGTATTGCAAAAAATTTCAGGCCATTTTGTGTTTTGTAAAGAAAGTTCTTGCCATTTTATGATTTGTAAAGAAAGTTATTGCAATTTTTTGTTGTGAAAACAGTTTTTGCCATTTTAAGTATTGTAAAGAAAGTTCTTGTCATTTTTTTTTATTTCACACAAATTTCACCACCCTTGTCCTCACAAAAAAAACTGTTCCTTCCCATCCAAATCCACTGCCCAATTCACCTCCCCTCCCCCTAATCCTAAAGCAACTGAAACCTTCTTTTTTCACCACCCCTGCCCTCACAAACAAAAAGTGTTCCCCACCCCATACAGTGATAAAGATGTTAGTATGTTCAGTTCGAAAAAAGCCGAAATTGAAACCATTCGAAGACGTGCCACAAAAAACACGCTCAATCTTTGAAAAAAGCGAATCCCCTAAAGACATAAAAGGCCAGTGCATAACGAAATTGCCCGAAAACTCGTTGATTTCGATTTTTGCCTAAAACAACAAAACCCGCTGACATGTTCGTGTCAGTTTGACAGATTTTTTTGAACCAAAACTTAATTAATCCCGCAGACAATCGTTCCTCGAGGCGAAAAGTTTCGGTTTTCGACGAAAAGTTTAAATGTTTTGAATTTAAAATTACAAATTTTAGAAAAGTACAAAATAAATTGAGTTTAAAAATCCAGAAGATACAATGCAAACGTATTTACATCAGTCTATATCAATTTTTCTTTAGCAACATGTTTTAAACTATTTAAAATAATTAATTTAAAAAACGTATTTTACAAAAAAATCTTTTCAAAAATAAAAAACATAATAAAAATGACATTTTTAATAAACTCACCAATAAAAAAAACAATAAATTACATTTAAAATCTTTAAAACCACATTAAATCAACTTTAAAATTCAATAAACGACGTAAAAACGGCAAAAAGAGCCTTAGCCCGATGCGGGGCTCGAACCCGCGACAGCCAGATTAAGAGTCTGGTGCTCTACCGACTGAGCTAACCGGGCACAGCCGCTTTTCTTTTCTTTTTCCAGTCCCTTTAGGGTTGTTAGGCTGACTGTGAGGGGCTAAATGAAAAGTAATTTTAGAGTTTTTGCAACGAAAAAACTTAATTTAAAAAAATTTTTAAAATAAAAAAAATTTTTTTTTAAATTGTAAAAATTGCAAAAAATATCCCACCATACTTACCCTACCTGTTATAACGTATTCTACCTTACAATTGTTAGACTTACGCGCAATTCTACCCGACCTTTACCATACCTTATAAAATAAAGAAAATAAACCTAATTTCACGCAAAACTCAAAAATATTTTCCAAAGTTGACCCGGTCCCCTCGAGACTATAACAATATGGCCGCGAATTTACTGTATTGTTTGATACGAACATAATCGAAATGAGAATCTCATTCAATATAAAAAGGCTTGAAAAGATTACTTTCAATGCAAAAAATGCTCCAAAAACTCATTAAATGAAAAATTGCAAAAAATCAAAAAAAAATTCCCATCCCCCCCCTCCCCTCCCGGCTATCTGATTATTTAAAGCTAAGAGCCAAGAAGGGATGACAATAAACTATTTTTTGCAGGTTAGATATATAAATTGAGTACTACAGGCTAAACGTTCTTAAAAATAGCTCAACGTTCCAAAAACAAGCTGAACGTTCCAAAAAAGCTGAACGTTCGAAAACCAAGCTGTAAGTTCCAAAAAAACAAACCCAACGTGCCAAACCCCCAAATAAAAAAAATTTAAATCATTATTGCCTATAACAAAAGTCCAGCCAAAGCTTCAAAAATTATCTCGAAATACCACGCTCGAATTCCTTTAAATTCAAAAAAAGCAATGCAATTTGAATCAATATTGCTCACAGTGTTTTGGCCAAAAGTTCTAGCCATCCAACATTATCGGCCTCAAATCCAATTTCTAATCTCTGATTCTGTAGACGCGTTTTACGTCACAAAAAACCTTCTTCTAATTATGGTTTGACTTCTTATTTCAGCAGTAATCAGAATGTAATCGAGATGGTTATGACTATGTTCAAGGCTATGTATAAAAGTAGAGCTAAAGCTATAACTAGAACTAGAGCTATATATAAAGCTAGAACTATGGCTACGACTAGGACTATATATGTATAGAGCTAAGACTGTAACTATAGCTAGGGGTGTACATAAAGCTGAGGCTAAAGCTAAGGATAAAGCCAAGGCTAAAGCTACATATAAAGTTAGAGCCATGACTATATATTAAGCTATGACTAAGGCTAACCCTAAGCAATTTTTAAAAATTTATGTCCTCAATTTCTTAAAATACTTAAAAATTCAACTTTGTTAAAGTCGGAAAGAAATTTTGCAACTTTGTCAGAAAAAAGTTGAGAAAGAATGTCAAAAAGAAATGAGCCAGAGGTTAACAATAACTTATGCATAAGCATTTTTGAACAATCCTCTTCTGGTCGATATATGTGTCAACATAAAACAAAAAAATTAAAAAAAAATATTCAGACAAGTGTAAATCCGTCATTACAGCAGAAGAATGGGTAATAACTATCCCTTTTCGAGGATTACCACAAACTTTTTGGGGGGGTTTTTAAAAAAATTTTACTTTTTAGGCTTGTGATCCAAAAGTTTATAGAATTTTTTCTTTTTTTTCAAAAATAGCAATAAATTTCCTTACGAAGCACAAAATGGCAAGAACTTTCTTTACAAAATATAAAATGGCAAGAACTTTCTTTACAAAATATAAAATGGCAAGAACTTTCTTTACAAAATATAAAATGGCAAGAACTTTCTTTACAAAATATAAAATGGCAAGAACTTTCTTTACAAAATATAAAATGGCAAGAACTTTCTTTACAAAATATAAAATGGCAAGAACTTTCTTTACAAAATATAAAATGGCAAGAACTTTCTTTACAAAATATAAAATGGCAAGAACTTTCTTTACAAAATATAAAATGGCAAGAACTTTCTTTACAAAATATAAAATGGCAAGAACTTTCTTTACAAAATATAAAATGGCAAGAAATTTTTTTACAAAACAAAAAATGGCAAGAACTTTCTTTACAAACCACAAAATGCAAAAACTTTCTTTACACAACAAGAAAAACAAAAACTTATAAAGTCTTTCAAAAAACCACTTTCACCCCCAACCAACACCCCCAACTCAAAAAAAAGAACGTTCAAAGATTAAAATTGTAAGTTTTTTTTTGAGAATCCCGTCCTCCCCCCCCAGGCAGTATTAAAATAAAAAGCGGGTCGAAAAACGAAAACAGGATGGGGAATTTGTGGACAAAGAACATGAATAACAACATTTCTCCTAATTACCAGATATCAGATCCTTTTTAATAATACAAAAATACTAAATATTTTGAATTGGAAAGTAAAAAAAATAAAAGAAATTTTTCATTTTTGTTAACGAAATTTAAAAAAACTTTTTAAATTAAAAAAAAAAACAATTTTTCAAAATAATAAAGAAAAAAAATAATGTAGGCAGTAACCCTTGCTAAGCCAACTCGTTTCTCTTTTTTAAATTTATTTTACTTTGTCGTTCGATATTACAGTACTCTCTCTATATAAGCAACCCGAACTTTCAAGCTCTAAATTGACCAAAAATTAATAAAAAAAACATATTGTAGTACCAGAAATAGTTCTTTTTTAAATTCATATTAAAAATACTACCTTACTTTACATTTATTTACCCTTTTCAACTCAAAATCAACCCAAAAACTAAGAGAAAATTTAAAAAAAGCAAGCTGCCCAAGACCGGAATCGAACCGATGTCGCCACGGCCACAACGTGGAGTACTAACCACTATACTACTTGGGCCGGCAGCTCATCAAACAAAATTCGAAGGGGATTCAGAGGGTTCTCTCTTTGCTACACCTTGCTCTACATGTTCATTAATTTGTCGCAATAAAGTTTATATTAATATAAGCGTTAAAGATTCATAAGCAACCTTCTATAACATATAGCAAAAGCACGGCACAAGGTACATGTCATTAATTTATCGCAATAAATATTATTATATAGAGGTCATTATTACTCGTCTATGTTAAACCTAATTCAGTCTAAACTAACCTTACTAAGTCCAATCTTACCCTACCCTACCATACCCAACCAGCCCTACCATATCAGACCTTATCATAATCTTCCCCTTCCCCCTAGAAGAATTTTTTTGCAATTTCCCTGCCCAGCCCCAAAAAATAATTATGAAACAAGTACACCCACCCCCACAAACCCCCTCCCCCCCCTCTGCCAAATGGCGTATACTAAATATTTCCTGAAACACTGGCGAATGCGACCTTAATGAACTTTTCCGGCCGATTACAGAGTTTATAAATAAAACGTTCCTTTCTCTACAACAACAACGTAGAGAAGATAAATAAATTTTCATATAACTTTGAATGCATGGCATTAAAATGCAATTAAATTGCCTTTTTGATGGCGTTTACATCATACGAAAACATGTTTGTGTTCGGCCAAGGGGCTATAAAAGTGGCTAGTGGTACTGC